TTTGCCCTTATGAAAGGAACAGAGTCCTCCTCTAGGGCTGAGGGCCCTGGTGGGAACTTTGAGCCAACACATCTTGGTACATGTGACACAGCTTGTGAAACAATGCAACACTCTTGAATAAAGCTGAATGGCCAAGTATTGTGAGTGGGAAAGAATAAATGAAATGTTGGCCTTGAAAGAGGGGTGTTTGTGTGGGTGTGTTTGAATATGAGTTTAAAACTAGATGTATCTATTAACTACGATACGATACGATACAATAATCTTTATTGTCATTGTCCCATACAGAACAACAAAATTGAAAAAAATCTAAATCAGACATTCAAAAACCAACAAGCCTGCTATCCCAGCCTGGTTTAGCCCCCTAAAAACTCTGATACCCCGTAATTAAATACAATATACTCCCATACAGACTACCTTACACTGCGTTTAAAACCAAAATTGCATTTGGATAGAAACTGTTCTTCAGGCGGCTAGTCCTAGTCTTTATAACCCCGTACCTTCTTCAAGAAGGCAGAAGCTGAAAGAGATCATTTCTGGGGTGCACACTATCCTGCGCTATCTCTGCAGCTTTCTTATGGCACCTGAAAGCATAGATTTGACCCAAGGTGGGAAGAGTGCACCCAATTATTCTCTCCCTGACACTATGCTCTGGTTGTAAGGTAAAGGTAAAGGGACCCCTGACCATTAGGTCCAGTCGTGGCTGACTCTGGGGTTGCGGCACTCATCTCGCTTTATTGGCCGAGGTAGCCGGCGTACAGCTTCCAGGTCATGTGGCCAGCATGACTAAGCCGCTTCTGGCAAACCAGAGCAGTGCACGGAAATGCTGATTACCTTCCCGCTGGAGCGGTACCTATTTATCTACTTGCACTTTGGCATGCTTTCGAACTGCTAGGTTGGCAGGAGCTGGGGCAGAGCAACGGGAGCTCACCCCATCGTGGGGATTCGAACCTCCAACCTTCTGATCGGCAAGTCCTAGGCTCTGTGGTTTAACCCACAGTGCCACCCGCGTCCCTTCAGGCTCTGGCTGTACATGTGTGTAAATAAAAATATCCTAAAGACACCACTGTCTCCATTGACCTTCACGCCAAAGAAACCAAAGTGCAGGCAACGTTGGAGTCTTTTGCCACTCAGAGGTTGGAGTGCACATAACAGTCTATAATCCACCACCCATAATTCAGCCCAGACCACCTCAGGCTCCTCTTGGCTTCAGCCAGGAACACTGCAACTTTCTGAGATTCCGAGCAAGGCGATGGAGATGCATTGCTTGTGGCCTGGCGACATGCTGCTGGCATGATTCCCACACACGCTGGCATTGGTTGTAGCAGAAATTAGCTATTAATCTCCACAACCGCTTTACCTTGCGACCTTCATTCTGAGAAGGGAAATCTAGCAATAAAGAAATAAAGCGAGTGAGTTCTGTGGTGAAACACTGGGCGAGGAGCCAGGGCATTTAGAGGAAATGAGGCGATGGGCCAAAGCATCGACTAGACCCTCAGTTCTGATTTTGCATCGCTCCCTGTGACAGACTCTAGGGCTTCCAATGTTTAGCCAGGGCTTGGTTTCCTTGCAAAACTGATGCAGGAGTGTGGAGAACTGAACTTAAGGGGGGGTATGAGAAACTGGAGAGAGAGAAAATGAAATTAACAGATTTCTCTACTGTAGCATGAAGAGGACAAGTGGCACATTATTCTGATCAAAAATCAGTCAGAGTGGCTTCAGACCAGAAGTCTGGAGGATGGAATTCCTAGTGAATGGCCCTGTTTCCTGTAGGGTCCTTTTAGCCACCATCTTTCCTGGACCTAGCAAGTGTCAGGACTTAGAATCAAAGAATCATAGAATTATAGAGTTGGACTTCTTTAGGAGTTGAAAGTGGACTGCCCGTTTGACTCCCCTATGGTCAACTCCCCTATGAAGAAAGGTTGTAGCTGTTTGGACCTTTTCATTTAGATAAAAGGTAAGTGGTGACAAGACAAAAGATGATAAAATTAGGCATGGCATGGAGAAAATGGATAGAGAATTTTTTTTCCCTCCCTCTCTTCTACCTACGGGACTGCCTCTCCTGGTATGTCCCACGGAGGACCTTAAGGTCTTCAAATAAAAACATCTTGGAGATCCTGGGCCACAGGGAGGTTAGGCTGGCCTCAACCAGAGCCAGGGCTTTTTCAGCTGTGGCCCCAATCTGGTGGAACGCTCTGTCACAAGAGACCAGGGCCCTGCGGGACTTGACATCTTTCTGCAGGGCCTGCAAGACAGAGCTGTTCCACCAGGCCTTTGGCCAAGGCACAGTCTGACCCCCTCTCTCCTTCTGTAATCTTCATAGAACTCTAGCCCAATGGTTGCCATTAATTTGATTCTGAACTGATTTTAGAATGTATTTCAATTAATTGACTGTTAGAACTCACGGATATCCCATGAAGCTGAATGTTGGAAGACTCGTGACATATAAGAGAAAGTCCTTCTTCACGCAGCACAACAACAACACGCAGCACAGTTAAATGATGGAACTCCCTCCCAAAGGAGGCAGAAATAGCCACCAACTTGGATGGCTGTAAAATAGGTTTAGGGAATTAATGGAGGAGAAAGCTCTCAATGGCCGCTAACCACAATGGCTATGCTCTTCCTCCACGACGATAGCAATGCTTCTGAATTCCATTTGCTGGAAACACAGGAGGAGAGAGGGCTCTTGTGCTTGGGTCCTGCTTGAAGGTTTCCCACAGGCATCTGGTTGGCCAATGTGAGAATAGGATGCTGAATTAGATGGACACTGGCCTGATCCAGGATGATGTTCTTCTGTTTTTACACCCACTGACCTTACTGCAAGTTAGCTTGCTTTTCAGGGTAAATGACTTAAGAGGAATCTTCATAGGAAACTGCCTTGGACAGAGTCGGACATTGACCCATCTACCTCAGCATCGTCTACACTGACTATCTATGAAGATGAGGATGTTGATGCATGCAAAGCAGATTGTCTAATCCTGTTGTATGGACACCCCTAGACTTGGGAATCTTCTACTGCATTTAAAGGGACTTTGGGATTGTCTCCCTTTGGAAATGTGGTTGATCTGATATAACAACATGAACAGAAGTTTCAGCAAACCTGCAGACAGAACAGCAGGTGCTTCAAAGTTCTGAAGAAACATCAAGAGGGGCAAGATTGGCCCAGGGTCAATGTGGGTGGGTTGCCACGGTAACAATGACTTGCCCTCCTTTGTGACATCTCTTGCTTCTCACTTAAAAGCCACCAACTACAGGTGTCCATTGTGGGTTAGTGAGGAGAGATCAGGAGAGATAGAGGTGTGGATGCGGTTGGCAGAAGGAGATTTAGGAGTGGCTTTGGATTTGGATTTTCTCATTTTGACTTTTATTTGATTTATTTGATTTTTTTAAAAATCTGATTTTAATTGTTTTAATTTTTAATTTAAATTTAATTGTTTCAAATTTTATTAATTTTATTTTACTTTTTTTACTTTTGTTCTTTATTTTAATACACACACACATATATACATACTTTTTTCTTTATTTTAATTCTTTATTCTTTATTTTAATATTTTTTTATTTTACTTTTTGTTTTAGTGCACACCTGTGCATATTATATTCCTTTTGTATATAAAGGGAATGGTAGAGTTAGACATAGGATTAGGGCTGGGCTTAGGGTTTAGGTTCAGGGCTGGGCTGGGGCGGGGTGGAGTGGGGTGAGGGTTGGAGTTAGGCTTGGGTGGGCATCTTAGCTAGTTAGGTAGTGTAGACAGGAGGGAGGTGCTTTTTCTGGACACCATGTTCAGGCTGTAAGTAAATTTCTTCCCCTTCTTTTTGTCTCCTGGGGGTGGGGTCCTGGGATCCCCTTCACAGCCTCAGCCCCCTGAAATCGTCTCGGCCAGTAGCTCCCCTCCTGAAGAGCTCAGCTCCTCCACACTCTTTCCCATTTCCTCTCCTCTCTTCTCCCATCTCATAAATTACATTCATTATTTACATTCATAGGCCAGCTATCCTCCAAGGAGCTCAAGATGGCACACATGGTTCTCCCCACCCTCACATCAACCCTGTGAAGTAGGCTAGGCTGAGGAAAGAAAGACTGGCCGAAGGTCAATCAGTGAGCTTCATGGGGATTTGAACCCTGGCCTTCCAGAGCCTCCTAGTCTAACCGCTACATGTCTCCCCGCCTCCATCTTCCATCTCTCCAACAATCAAGCCCAATACCCCCTTTCTGTGGGTCTCTCTGTCTCTAAGCAAGACTCTACCACCTTCTTCTCTCAGCTGCCCAACACTCTTCTTCTTGTCTTCTTGAACCCATCTAGCGGACTCCTCCCTCTCTGGGCAGGGCTGTCCTCAAAAAACTAGGCAGAGGTGCCCTTTAAATGCTGGCAATGCTTCTCTTTCCTTTGGGGTGGAGTGTTGCAAACCCTCACGGGATATAGCATAGCAGGAAAAGGAAAGCAAAGGCCTGTTTAGTCCAGTGGCCAACCAGATGTCTCCAGGAAGCCCACAAGGAATAGCCCAATCCTGTTTGTTGTCCTCTAAAAGGTGGCTTCAGTGGTACACTGCCTTCAGACCTGGAAGTTCTACATACTGTAGCTATTTCAGATCATAACCGTAAATACTCTCCTCTTCCTCCATGAATAGGTGTGACCCCCTCTTTCCAACCTTGCAAGCCAGTTGTCCTTTGTGCATCTTTCGGCTGCCAATTTCACAAACCAATTAAGTGTTATGTGAAGAAGTGTCCATCAATGTTAATGAATGACCCAAAGCTCTGCTATTCGATGGGGCAAAAACCTCCCCCGTCTCCCTATTTATTTTATTTGTTTGTTTTGTAAAATTTATATACCACTTTATTGTATATATAAAAAAATTAAAAACCTCTAAGCAGTTTACAAGAAGGTAAAACAATGTAGGTGTTATATGTCAACAAGGCCTTGCTCCTGTCAGCAATCACATTGCAGCATCCTGCACTAACTGCAGCTTTCATTCAATGGCAGAAAGATGGAAGGAATTGGTAGAGATGTGCCGACAATTCTCTTTTTTAATAATAATAATAATAATAATAATTTTTATTGATTTTTGCACAAATTTTCCAATGTAACAACTCCAAAACCACATAACAAATCTTTGGCTATCACAGCCTAAGACTTCCTTCAACCCCTTCTAATGGTTTTCTAAATTTCTTTCTAATTTTGCATTTTATTACCAGGCTTATTGCTGTAAATCCAATCTTACATCAGTTAATCTTAGTCCTTTTCACAATAATTTATATAGTCCTCCTTATAAAACTTCTTGTAATCCTACAAGCGATGTTAGGTAATTACAGTTATCTTTCAAATACAACTCCTGCCAACCTAGCAGTTCGAAAGCACATCAAAGTGCAAGTAGATAAATAGGTACCGCTCCGGCAGGAAGGTAAACGGTGTTTCCGTGCGCTGCTCTGGTTCACCAGAAGCGGCTTAGTCATGCTGGCCACATGACCCGGAAGCTGTACGCTGCGGCGCTCCCTCGGCCAAGAAAGCGAGATGAGCGCTGCAACCCCGGAGTCGGACATGACTGGACCTAATGGTCAGGGGTCCCTTTACCTTTTACTTCAAATACAACATAAATTTCTTCCAGTCCTTTAGGAAAGTCTGGTCATGCTGATTTCAAATTTTTCCTGTTAGTCGTGCCGGCAATTCTCTATTAGGCTAAACGTATTTCTGTCCTGCATCATCTCTTCAAGGCTCAGGCGATTGAGAAATTTTCTGACACTAAAAAGGAGCAACAAAGTGGCCCCACTCCAGCGCCAGGAGCCGCCTGTGGCAACAGGTGAGCAAGTGCCCTGCCGCTGCCGCCATTTTTGGGAAGGGAAGGGCAGGAATAGGCTAGGGTGGCAGCTCAGGATATAGGAGGGGAAGCTAGTTAAAAAAAAACAAAACTCAAAAGAGCTAGACTGCTGGATCCGACCCAAGGCTTATCTGGTCCAGCATCTGGAAACCCACTGGCCAGCCAGTTTTGTGGGGTCTGATGAAAGGAGAAAAGGCATTTCTGGAGGAAGCAGGTGGCAGAGGCAGCTGATTGGACAGGGCTGGGTGGCCGTTGTCAGTTAGAGGGCCACATTCTCTTGTGAGCCACATTCTGGGAGCTGCAGGCCAAGACTGGCCCCCAAGGCCCGGGGTTTGGCACCCCTGTAGTAGGAGTGTAGAAGCCGGGAAATCAAGGAGAAGATTCTTGGAATAATCTTGGAAGCTGCTAAGGGATGATCTAACTTGTCCCCGTGTCCTTCTCTTGTTGCAGTTGTGCCACAGCTCTTCAAGGCTTTTCCAGAGCCTGAGATTAGTACTGGGGAAAACAAAAGAGTAGGGACTGGATCCCTCAGACCCTCTGCCCACTGACTGTAGTCTTTGCCCTCAATTCTGCAGTCTCTGAAGCGGAGAAGCCCTCACCTCACAATAAACTGACAACCTGACATTTGCCATTTCAGCCACTGGACCTTGAAAAGCTGTTTCTTTTAACAGATGAGGGTTGTGGTGGTAGCGCAGAGCTCTGGGATAAGCTTGCTGTGGGGAACAGTGGTGGGACGTTACGCAGCCGCCATTGATAAGAAGCTGAGGGAACTGGCGGCCAGCAGCGTATCTTCGCTGCTGGCTTATGCCAAAAGGTTCCCTGACCTCAAAGTAAGCAGCTCACTTTTGTTTACTCATTTCTTTGAATACTTCCACCCCCACCCTCCAAGAGGCTCCCAAAGCAACTAATGCAAATAATGTGTGTCCCTGGGGTGTCAGGATGATGCCATAGGCATGTAGTGCTGCCCTTCCACCTCTACCCAGGAGGTTGCAGGGCCCATGGAGGTCCTGTGGGGCAAGGGATTGGGCCCAAGCCTGAGGGAGGCCAGTCTTTCCTTGCTTGGGCCTGCTTGTGGGCTCCCTTGCACCTGTTAATGGTGGGGTTTGTAGTGTCACAAAAGGCGTCTGATCCCGCTTTCTCTTTCCTCTGCAGAAGGCAGTAGTCCAACGACAGCTGTCACGTATGTGGCCAGCACCCGAAGAAGGTAACCGAGTCTCCACACCTTGGGGATGCAGAGTGTGTCCACGGAGCTAACTTTTCACTTATTAGCTTTATTGTTCGACATCCCAGGCCTTCTTGCAGTGTTTGCTGTGCCTTCCAGGCCTTTTCCACTTGGCCTGAGAAGGCAGGGCCCTGACTGACTCCAGATACAAAAATGACGTCTCTCCTCTCCCATTCTGGGACAAGACTCAGACGGAGGGGAGGGGGTTACCTGAGGCTGTAAAACCCTCCAAAAACCCCTGAAGGCAGTCGGGGGACAAGGACACCTGTGAATGTCTTTGTGCCTGCTCCTGCTGCTGAAGAAGCAAGGGGCTTATGATGCTTTGTCTCAAGACCTCCGCCGCTGAGGCAGTCTCCAAGTCCGCCATTGCAAGTGGCAGAGCTCCTTCACAATTTGGAATATTGGATCAAAATTAAAGGTGCCTCCAGAGATGTGGACAGTGAGCTGTAATCTGAATCAGACTGTCGAGATTGAGGGATGAAATTAGAGGGTCCTGCCTTGATTAAAAATGGAGAGAATTATTAATTTTATTATTATGTAAAGTCTGCAAGGGCTTAACACCTACCCCATTTGGATTAAAGAAATAAAAGTATCACAAATGAGGTCTGTTAAAGGACAGCTGGAAGTTTGTGAAATGCTTGAAATTCCTTTTCTAAAATGGATTACAGACTAAGAGAGGACCGGACATAAATTCCCAACTTAGTGAACTGTGCTTATATCAGACTATAGACATTACAATAGACTATATAAGTGATGAGAGGGGAACTATTGTCTGGAAAATAAAGAAAATTGTACAGGAATATTTTTGGATAAATGGATCTGGCATGCTAGCAGGTTTTAAGGTTAACCGTCAGGAAAACAAAATGACTATAGAAGAGCAAAAGACTGATGGAGAAAACAGGATTTAAAAGTGGAAAAAAAATAAAGTATTTAAGTTTTACTGTATGAACTGTATGTTATTTCAAAATAATTTTGTTAATACATGGATGGAAATCCAAAAGGATATGTTAAGATGGGAAAACTAAAACTGTCCTTGCTGGGTAAAATTTCTGTGATAAAGATTATACTTTCTCCCTCCCAGTTATTAAGGAAATTCAGGCAACTGTTCCCAGAGTGGTTTAATTATCAATCCCTCCTCCCAGGGAATTGTAGCTCTGTGTGGAGTATAGGGTTCTCCTAACAACTCTTGGCACCCTTAACAAACTACAGGTCCCAGAATTTTTGCGTGGAGCGGTGACTGTTGAAAGTGGTATCCTGGAGCTTTAAATGCATGGTGTGAAGGAGGCCTCAGAATCTGTACACTCTAGTACTGCCAAATCGATTTCAGTCTTTTAAAAAGCCCGTTCCCCTCTATCTTCGCCTTTTCTTCTTGTTGTTGTTTAGTCGTTTAGTTTTGTCCAACTCTTCGTGACCCCATGGACCAGAGCACGCCAGGCACTTCTGTCTTCCACTGCCTCCCGCAGTCTGCTCAAACTCATGCTGGTAGCCTCAAGAACACTATCCAACCATCTCGTCCTCTGTCGTCCCCTTCTCCTTGTGCCCTCCATCTTTCCCAACATCAGAGTCTTTTCCAGGGAGTCTTCTCTTCTCATGAGGTGGCCAAAGTATTGGAGCCTCAGCTTCAGGATCTGTCCTTCCAATGAGCACTCAGGGCTGATTTCCTTAAGAATGGAGAGGTTTGATCTTCTTGCAGTCCATGGGACTCTCAAGAGTCTCCTCCAGCACCATAATTCAAAAGCATCAATTCTTCGGCGATCAGCCTTCTTTATGGTCCAGCTTTCACTTCCATACATCACTACTGGGAAAACCATAGCTTTAACTATACGGACCTTTGTTGGCAAGGTGATGTCTCTTAAAAAGTAGAGACATCACCTTTTCTTCTTGGTGCTTCCCAAATAGCCGTTATTAAGCAGATACAAGTCTCATGCTTCTCCAGTCTGTTACAGGTTTATGATTTTATCTCAGCCTCCTCTGGGGGACTGCTTCTTGCCAGCCAAGGGGACTCTGATCGATGGCAGTCGAGTGTCTTTGATGCTTGGTGAACAGCAGGGAAGGCTGCTCTAGAGTTCAGCATCTCCCCACCTGCCCTGCCCTGCATCACTGACACCAACCAGGAAGAAATGGAGAAAAAGCGAGATTGTCCTTCTGTGACTTCTCTCCTGCTGAGTTAGGCCTGATGGCATGAGGAGGGCATGGCAAACATCTGAGAGGCTGGCGCACAGAAAACGGAGGCTTCTGAGGCTGGTGTCAGGGCTGGGCATCTGCTGAAGAGTGGGTCTCCGTAGGCCGAATACTGCAGCATCTACTTCTCTCCCTTGCTGTTCCTGCCTGTCCACTTCCCCTGTCCAGGAACACATTAAGAGCCTGCCTGCTGAATCAGGCCAATCCCCCATCTCCGGTCCAGCATCCTGCTCTCTCAGTGTTAACTGGATAGGTCTACCCTGGTAAGGAGGAGACTGAGAGGAGGTATAATAGCCATCTTCAAATATCGTAAGGGCTGTTACATGGAAGATGAAGCAAGCTTGTTTTCTCCTGCTCTGGAGAGTAGTACCTGAACCAATGGCTTCAAGTTACAGAGAGATTCCAACTAACCATCAGGAAGAGCTTTCTGACAGCAGAACAGACTCTCCTTCCTTGGAGGTTTTTAAGTAGAGGTTGGAAGGCCATCTCACATGTATGATCTAGTTGAGATTCCTGCATTGGAGGAGGTTGGACTAGATGACCCTCAGGGTCCCCTTCCAACTCTACAATTCTATAAACCTCAGAATGCATCATAAATTGGTATCGTAGTGGCTTTATGCTGTGAAGAAGGTCTTAGTATCTCACTGCCGAATTTCAACCACCCTATAAACAAGCAGGGAAAGAATCTGCATTCCAGGGACAGCATGACACCTACAGGCAGAACCAACAGATTCAGGGTGCTGGAGGGAGTATTTGCAGACTATTCCCCTCCAAGCTGCCGGTGGTCACTTTACAGACCCTGCCCTCCAGTAAAACTCCTTGAATATACATGAGCCCAGAAGGGCAAGTGTTTTGCTATCTTCTTGTCAGACATGTTCCATGTGTTAAGTATTCAAACATCCAGCCTTTCTACCTCTAGTCTGTACAACACATTGCCACACCCTCCAAGTGTCCCTATTTTCCAGGAATGTCCCTGATTTCAAGAAGGCATCCCGGTTTCTGATTTGTTCCACTATTCCTTGTCCCACTATTCCTTAGAATGTCCCTATTTTCATTGGAGAAATGTTGGCGGATATGGTGTTATCTGACTTTCGAGCCGTCTAAAGACAATTCTGTTTAAGGAAGTTTTTTAAATGTTTAATGTTTTATTATGTTTTTATATATGTTGGAATCTGCCCAGAGTGGCTGGGGCAACCTAGTAAGGTATGTGAGGTATAAATAGTAAGATCATCATTATTGAATGTGACGTCTCTATTTTCATTAGAGAAATGTTGGAGGCTATGTACTGCTCTATCAGGCATGGGGAACCTCATTCCCATCAAGAGGTGTATGTGCAGAAACATCAGATGGGCCATATGTCTCCACCACAGGGCTGAAAGCATAACAATCTGCTTGCACAGAAGCAAAGCTATCTTAGGACTGCCCACCAACCACCTCAACATCTGCCCAAAGAGGTATGTGGGGATAACCCTACTATGACCCCAAAACTTCCTTGTGGAAAAGCTCTCGAGTCTCAAAGCACTGATCTTGGAGTGCCTCTTTTAGGGAACAGGCCCAGATAGACACACACAAACACATGCATGTGAACATGCATGTGAACACGCATGCACGCACGCACACACACACTCAGATCACCACACGCTGGTTTCACCCAGGGAACACATTGGGGAAAAATAAACAGGTTGTTTTTTAATTGTGGAACGGAATTCCAATCAACAGATTTATAGGGCAGGGCTAACATCAAGGCCTGGAAGCAGAACTCAATGCTTTGCTCCGGAAGCCTTTAAAGTGACATGATGCACCTTAAAATAAATTAAGGGGGCTGCAGTTCTCTTCTTTTGTCATCAACAGATCTTCACTTCATGCTCTTGGCAAACTCTTCCCCTTTCTTGATGGAAGCCTTCAGCTCCGAAACTGCCTCTGCCACCATCTTCTCTTCAAAAGGAGAAATCTTGCCAATGCCTAGGTTCTTCTCAATGCCGTTTTTCTAAAAGGGAAGAAAGGGGGAAGTGAGGGGTGGGGAGATTAGCACAACGAAGCAAACGCAAGAGAGACAAATGTTGCTTTAGCTGGAAAAGTCTCTGTTACAAAGGCCATATTCAGACCACATGTTTAAAACACTATGATGACAACTCCCATCAGCCCTAGCAAGAAAAACACATGGAGGTTGAAGAAGGCTTCCCTAAACTACCTAGGGCCAGGTAATGCTGAAGACCTCCTTTGCAAAATCTGCCTGGCGTAAAACCCTTGCCCTGAACTCTGCTCTCTCTGTCCAAGCAAGGTCGCCCAGCCTGGCCCCAGAGGGATTTCAATGCCCGTTCACAACCCACCACTTCCTTCTGGCATTGTCAAAGTTATCTCCTTCCTCTATCCTTTTTCCTTCCACTCCCCCTTCCCCCAGTTTGGGTATCTTGTCTTTTTAGGTTTATGAGCCTGAGACCAAGGCTTCTCCAATGCAATGCCAGTGACAGGCATATGCCTGAAAAAATGGGCAAAATTCGAGAATCAAGTGGTTGGAAGGTGATCTACACATATATGCAAATAGACACAAGTGTCACCACAGCTCCATACCCCAAACAGCAGTGGCGTGGAGAAATATGGGCACTCAGTTTCCTCTGACCGGACAAAAGAGCACTCAATGACCCCCTCCTTCCCATTCATCGCATCCAGGACGGAGAAAACAAACCGGGCACCAGCATAAGCCATAGAGAGCGTGGCTGATCCTGTTGGGGGAAAATGGGAAAAGATTCAACAGCGTGGAGGAACACGGACAAGGGGTCTGCTTACCTAATGTGCAAGCACAATTCTGAAGCCATCATCTGGAGTTATGTGGGAAATGTTTCAGTGGTGAACCCTGCCCCCCACAGGCCAACTGTTTCCCCAAAAGGAATACAGCAAAAGCTTCCCAGCACACAGCATGCCTCAAAAGATGTATGCTGGTGCAGCCTACTAGCTAACAACATGAGCTAATAACCAAGGGGTCCTGCATTTGAATCTCACTTTTGCCATGGACCAGCTATTCTCTCTCAGCCTCAGCTGCCCATCTGTAATAGCCGACAAGGTGCCCTCTAGATATTCTTTTTTACTCCTAATGCCTACCATCCCCAACCACTGACCACATTGGGTATGGTTGGTAGGAGTTGGGAGTCCAACAACATCTGGACGGCACCACATTGGATACCCCGATCTGCAATTACAAGGACAGTAATACTCCTCCCCCACTTAACAGGGTTGCTTTAAGACAAGACAGAAAAACATCTGTGGCCCTCGTCTAGATGTGGTTGGACTCCCAACTCCCAGCAGCCAGTATGGTCAATAGCCAGGGATTATTTGGGGGGGGGGGGTAACAGTCTGATAACACCTGGAGGACCACAGGTTACCCACCCCCACTTTAAAGATTGCACAATAATGAATTCATCTGCAGCAATGGGAGATGAACTCATCAGCTGAACTACATACCAGCCACTATATGGCTCCTCCTCCTCCTGAACTATTTTTTCCCATTTCAGTTGGCCCTTATAGAAACTTTGTTCTTTTTACACCTTACTCCTTTTCCTTTTCCCTCCTTTTCCCTTTCATGCCACGTCTTAAAATCTGGATTGTCACCTTCATGGCAATAACCATCTCATACAGCCCTTTATGAAGTGTCTAAAGTTTCATTGAATGGGAACAAGGGTCACTGGGACACTGCACCACTTTGTCTCTCAGGAAGAATATGAAGGCGGCTGGGGGGGGGGGGCAGACCAGCCTAAACTCTATCCACTGGTCAGAGAAAGAAACTGTAGGGACCTTGCTTCCACTGGCCCTGCCACAAAGAACACTCCCAGTTGCCAGCTATTCTGGGACTGCAGAGCTGAAGGGAAGCTCAACACTCTCGCCTCAGCTGGAGCATTTTCACCTGCTTCCTTTGTGGTTGCTGGGCTGGAGAGGGATCAGTCCAGCTGGACAAGAAGAACAAGCTGCACTGCTGGCCGGCAAAACACCTGGTGAGGAAGGGGCACAAGGGGGAAGCCTGCGGCTGATAACTCACTAAGCCCCACTGGTAGCACTGCCCCACTTAAGGATACTACATGGGAATCCAGAGGGGGAACGTTCCCGTGAGTCAACCTACCTGCACCTGCTTTTGCCTTGACAACCTCCGTCCCAGCCTCCTGAATCCTTCCAGTAAGGGCTGTCAACTGGTCCTGAGGGAAATCTACTTTGGGTGTACACTGTAAGAGGAGGAGGAATAGATTTATGATTCAGCCATGTATGAGTCATATATTAAGTTTTGTTTATTTTATTAAAATTATTTTAACAAGTGTTACATGTACCCTGCTTAAGCATTTATAAGATTAAGGGTTGTATCCAACATGTGTCACATTCAGAGGAGACCCACTGAAAATAAATGACATAACTCAGGTTTGCCGGTATCAATGGGTTGACTCCCAAGTAGAGTTTGGCTGGATACAACAACATGCGTGGGGAATCTCTAGCCTGCAGGTTGAATGAGGCTCGACAAAGATTCCTATCTGGCCCACAAGGGTGTTTCCTCCAAATCACACTCACTTGTCCCCATGGGGAAATCAGTAGCACACCCAACCCTTGCAGGAAGTAGAGCCTGAAGGAAGTGCCTATCAGCTGACAGCCACTGACTTCAAGCTTTTGGCACTGACTGTGTTACTGAGCTCCCCACGCAGAATTTTGTCATCGGTCGATCAGGAGAATTTTAAAGTGCAAGAACAAAAGAGCCTGCTGGAGCACACCAATGGTCCAGCTAATCTAGCACCCTGTTCTCAGTGTGGCCAAACAGCTGGGAAACCAGCAAGCAGGATCCAAGCGCAAGAGCACTCTCCCCTTCCTGTGGTTTCCAGAAACTGCTATTCAGAAGCATGGCTGCCTCCAAGTGTGGAGGCAGAGGATAATCATCAAGGCTAGTAGCCATCAATAGCCCTCTCCTCCATGAATTTATCCAATTCTCTTTTAAAGCCATCCAAGTAGCCATCACTACCTCCTGTGCAAGCCCCCTCTGAACTCACTATCGCATGCTCTAAGATGAGACTGACTGTAGGACTTTCAGTCTCTCTTTCCAATTGGTCACATAAGCCTTTCTCTTCCCATTCATAGCCAAACTCTCCTGGAAGGCTCTGCAGCTATACTTCCAATAACAGACACTTTCCTCACAAATACACACAGGCAACTTTTCCAGAGCCAGAGCTATCATGAAACTCTGGAACAGTCAGGACTCTAACACAGACCTGAGAAATCAGAGGGATGATAGTCTTTCCTGCATGGCCGCCGATCACAGGGACGTTTACACGAGCTGGATCCAAGCCCTGTGGAAGAGAGGCAGGTCTGCCACAATTAGCAGCAATCATATGAACTTAAAAGGCCAGCAGACCCAACTGTATTGCAAGTACACCAGCCCTTTAAACTTGTGCCTAGTGATGGGCTGGTAGCTAGATGGGCTGGTATCAGTTTAAGGACTGGAAAAGGCCACAAAAGCACCATACATTTAAAGCACTATGACCATCATGGCTTCCCTCAAAGAATTCTGGGTGTTGTAGGGTTTTTTTTGAGGTTGACGAGAATTGTTACGGAAACTCCTATTCCCCCTCAGAGAGCTAAACTTCCCAGAGGTTTAAAAGCCAATCCTCTTCCAATGGGACTCTGGGAATTGTAGTCTGAGAAGAGGAATAGGGAGCTTCCTAACAACAGTCAGCACCATTAAAAAACTACATCTGTCAGGATTCCTTGGGGGAGGTCATGCTGGCTTAAAGTGGTATCACAGTGCTTTACATATATGGTGTGAACACGGCCAAAGATTGGTACATCCACTTACAATCTGGAAATGATCTGATGCATGTTGTTGTTGTTGTTGTTGTTGTTAAAGTGTAAAACTGAACTGTTGAATTGAAAGGAAGGTTCTGGGCACCAATCCCCAAAATACATGTATTATGTACTTTTGCATGACGGAATGTACTTTTCTTTTAAAAAAAATTTTTTTAAAAAGGTATGTGCATGCTCTTTGCACCTGCAGATGGATTGCGATGATACAGAACCAATATTCCCAAGATCCCGACTTTCATTTTATGATTGGGGGGTGGGGGTGGGGTGGGGGAGTTCCTATCCCTCATGGAACAGGGAAACACTCAAATTAGTGGGAAATGTCCAGTTAAGGCTTGGGCCCTTCCAGGGCGTGATAAGAAGTGAGGCTCTAGCACCTCTGCCGTTCTGTCTCTCCTAATTCCCATGCCTATCTTTCCTTCCCAAAAAGAAGTGGTAAAAGGTAAAAACCTTTGTAAGGTATAGAGATATTCAATTTAATTTGCAAAATGCAAATGAACTGCAGGTGCGGGCAGAACGGAAACATCAAGGTAACCCAACACTGCAACCCCTGAGAAAAAGCAGGTATTTAAAGTGCCCTGGCAGCAAAAGAGCAATGAGCACAGATTTGAGAGGCCTGATTTCTGGAAATACAGCTGAGCACTTGAACCCATAATCTGCAACTGAACTACGCTCAGAGGTTCTTCGGCCACCGCTTCTTCCCAACCCCAAGAGCGGGCTAATAATATGCAGAAGATAGATCTGGAAATGTTTTGGCCTGCAGCCGAAGTGCAAAGGAGTAAATCAAAACCACATCATGGGATTTCTATTTATTATCCCTGCAACCTTATGCCAAGGTGAAGGGGGGACATGCTGTTCTGTTTCAGCGGACAGCAGCTGGCCAGAGATCAGTTTTTCTTTGGCTCAGGACAATAGGCCTTCTAAGTCTTTCACAAAGTGTGCCTAGCTGGCAAAGAGATCACAGGGCGTTGAAACGTCAAGCTGCCTTTTGCTTTGTGACTGGACAGGCAGAGAACAGGACCCGCAGAGTCTAAGGAGGTTAGGGTGTTCATCATCCTAGCAGACCCTGAGGCAGCAACCATGCTGTTGAACGCCAAACCACCCAAGTAACAGCCAATGTGTTACCCACGGCAGGGTGTTTGCCACCCAGTCAACAGCCTGCTGGGCATGGCAGCTTGTAATTTTTATAGGTTTGATTCAGCCCTCTGTAGTTGCAGAGGGAATATTAAAGGGTACAAGGAATCCAGCTGTTGTTCAACAATATCCAGAGGGCACCACATTGACTGCCCCTGCTTAGGTGCAATATGATTTGCCCTCTCAACTGGCTACTTCCTCCTGTAGCTGCTACTCTCTGAATCAGGATTCTGTTCACAGTCCCTTGTTTAGATTATCCACATGCTGTTAGACAAGTCCCAAATCTGCACTCAGTAACGAAGTTTGTAGCATTAAACACTGGCTTAAGAAAATTAAAATCCAGGTACCGTAGATTCCAGCATATTAGGCGACTGGGAGTATAAGACGACCCCCCAAATTTTGCTGTTCAGTTTTAGAGTTATAGAGTTTGAGCGCTGCCAGGGGCAGAGCACACACCCCTCTGCTACCTCTGCCGTCGCAGCAGCCCGAGGCGAGCCGTTTGGCGGGCGGGCAGGTGAGCACCGCACTCGGAAGGACTATCCGCGTCCCCTTCTGTGGGAATGGAAGGGGAGCGACGGCAGAAGGGGCGCCTCTGCTCACCGGCTCCCTCTCCTCCTTCCCAACGCATATACCCAGTGTATAAGACGACCCCCGACTTTTGGGGTGATTTTCCAGGGTTAAAAAGTTGTACACTAAAAAGCATACGCCTGAACATACAGTACCTTTTCTACAGTAGAGCCATTTCTGGCAGGGGTGGAGGCAGCTCAAGGACTTGGGCTTATGAAAGGACAGAGCCAAAAATTCACTTTCTAACTGGGCCTGTACCACAGACAGGAATCTGGGGAAGTCCCATCACCACAAATCCTTATGCTACAGTGAGACCCAAGGACATTAATGGAGTCCTCAATGCCAAATGTGAGCCCAGACTGCAACAACATACCTTCAGTTCAGCCACAAAAGTGTTTGCTCGGACAATGTCCAGTGTTGTGACGCCGAAAATTTTGTTGGGGTTGTATACCCCATGCTTCTTAAAGACCTCAGAGGTAATTGGGATGGTAGAATTGACCTGAAAGCAAAAAGAAAAATTCATTGCCCCTTTAAATGCATAAAGCTCCCTCTATATCAGGGGAGATAAGAGAAAAAGGCACACACCTGTTTCCCAAGCCGGCTACTGTCAGACACACTGAACTCCTTTACTCACAGGCAAAGGGAGGCTGGAATTTGCTTACCGGATTTGCAATCACACAGATCATGGCTTCAGGGCAGTGCTGGGCACAAGCGGCTGCCAGGTTAGCAACAATGGTGGCATTCGTGTTGAAAAGGTCATCACGGGTCATACCTATAGAGCACAGTGGAGAAACTTATTAGCTGCTTTCCAGTATCTATCTAACCCCCATTCAGATGAAGAGAAATCACATCACAGGTACACTCATAGATAAGTCCCCAGCTGGGCACTACACACGAGGCAGGGGACCTGAGGGTCTGTGGGATGAATGCGGCCCTCCATCTCTCTCTGGCCCTCAGGGCACTCCCTAGGCCATGCCTCTCTGCCCCTGCTACACACCCACCATGAGTGCCTTTGAACTGTGCTAGTGCCTCTTACTCGCCTAGAAGGGCAATGGAGAGATGTGGAGACTTTTGCATGGCTGAAATGTAGTCTACCACACCAAAGCAAGAGTTGTATATCCATTGCGCTGCCCATCACTGGCTGGAAGAAGGCTGCCCATGATGGAATGTAGTCCCTGGGCTGTCGACATACATGCCCCAGGAAAAGGCAGGTGCCTCCCTTGTCTGCAACACCACTGCACTTCAACCATCTCTGGTTGCCAGCATGGAACATAGGCTGAAACACCTCCTCTGGCAGCAGCAGGCAGTGAAAAAGTTCGGCTCTTCCTGATCCCCTCCAGAGTGGAGGGAGGAATGACACCTCTGGTGGCAACTTCACACTGAGCGCTCCAAGTACCTCTAAGGCCCAGTGTAATTGTGCAAGCTGGGTTGAATTTCAGGATTCAGCTGCATTGCACCGAACCACTTTGAATGCTAAACAAACAATACCTCCCCCAAAGCTGATGAAAGAGCAGGGTCTCTCCCCAAGGCCTCACGCTGATTTTCCCCTCCAGTTTCAGAAGAGGGCTCTTGACAAATTTAAATTAAAAGGCATGGTTGCCAGAAGTTCTCAAGTGTCAGATGGAGACAGTGGCAGGAGGCACAAAAAGTGGGTATTTCAAGGAAAAACAGACTTTGCACTGCCTAAAAGGGCTCCAGCCTACCTCTCTCCTCCCCCCAAACATTCTTGGACTGTGGGGATTAGAAGCACTGAAGGTCTGCAGGAAGGAATTTAGATCAGCAAATGTTGGACAAGGCAGCAAATTATGGGGACATAGGAAACTGCCTTACATGGAGAGCTGAACCAAAGGTCAGTCTAGCTCAGTGTTATCTACATCTTGACTAGTGGTGGCTCTCCAAGGTTTCAGGCATCAATCTCTCCCAGTCCTAGATATGCCAAGGATTGGACAATGGCCCTTCTGCAGTCAAAGCAGGTGCTCTACCACCGAGCTATGGGCCTTCCTATGGCAACTGGGAGAAGCCTGGAGAATAGAGAGGGAGGGAATTGTAATATTACAAGCTATTTTAAGTTTGCTGAGCTTTCTCCTCAGGCCATTCTGCTGCCAACTGGCCTGTGGGAAGACTCCCAGTTACAGTCTATGCATTCTGACATTGTTTATTGTGGTTTTTAAAAATGCAGTTTAATGTTTCCTGTAAGCTGCCTCAGAAAGCAGGATATAAATAATTGTACACAATAAATAAAAATAAAATACAAGGTATCAAGCGCTTTATTCCAGCTTCACTGAAGAGCCACCAAGCGAAGACTTATGCACAGCCCTTTGAGTCTAATAGAAGCTCAAGCAGGAACTGTTTTGATCATTGGCCTACAAGGGGAGGCAGAGGTACAAGTTTTCCTGGAATACCATACCTATTCCTCAGGCACAATAATAATAATAATAATACATTTTATTTATATCCCGCCCTCCCCAGCCGAAGCCGGGCTCAGGGCGGCTAACAACAATAAAACAGTACAACAGTACAACACAACACAACACTCTTAAAATCATTCATTAATTCAAATCAAACCACTGGCAACCATTGGGCCAGAGCTCCGCGAAGATTGCCGAAGGCACAAATTTGAGTGCCTCAACAGGGGCACCAGGCGATGCCAGGTGCACTTACCCAACAATCCCACGTGACTTGGCACGCCTTTAGAATTTCCGTAGATTAAAAGACTTACCCGGCTTTCTAGGAACACCGGCTGGAATAACAACAACTTCGCAGCCCTTCAGAGACTCTGGCAACTGCTCAGGTCCTAGGAAACCTGAAGTGAAAAAAAGAGATAGCTGCATTTACACTTTTCTATTGGCAGATCATTCATCCAGATGAACTCAACATGCTGAATTATGTGTGTGTGCAGGAATTGAAGACACATTTGCTGTTGATGAACCAATTTTTTCTATTATTTTAAACGTAGCATCCTGAAGCAGTATTCCATTGCATCAAGATGCAGCACCTTGCAGCTTCCAGTCAATACTTAACACACTTCTATACCACTCTTCATGTAAACAGATTTTGACAATATAGACAATACATTAACTAAAACCCAATACATCATTTATAATTAAAACTTAAGACAACGCACACTAACATCAGGAATCAACATTGAAATATTCACCCTGAAGATTACACAAATTAAAATATCTGGATAAAAACGTCTTAACCTTCATCTTAAGACATGGGCAGGCCAAGATTCCTCTTCAGGTAAGTGGGTTCCAAACCACTTATGGCTTTATTAACAGCACTATGCACTGATCCTCAATGGGGCACAAATATAGGCAGAATAAGAGCTTCATGGAGCAGCAGCAGATAGCATGTCAAGCAAGCTAGCCAGACAAGTTCACTTACTCAAACTGGGAAGGCATATTCAGATGGGGTGGGATGGGGGTAGAATCTACAAACAGAGTTCTGAGCTGAGCAAGCTCAAGCACCAACCAATAGAAGCCTCTCCATAAGCTTTATATCATTTTTAATTAAACCTGCAGTTGAGTGTGGCTGAAGCTTTGTCCTTCTCAACACAGAGATAGGGTTATTATGGAGGACAAACAAAGGGCCACCCTTTGCCGCTTGCTCAATTCAGAGTGTGGGATACTGCAAATGGGAATGTGTTTCTCTCTAGGCAACCTTCCAACAGGGAAAGAGGAACTCATAGAGAGATTCATAGCCACTGCAGCTGCACACACACAAACTTGCATTTCTTACAATGCACTGGTCAACAACAAATTTGTTGTCTGCGTTTTTTCAGCTGATTTAGGACGAATCTGATGCGCTGAATCCAAAAATCACATTGGTTTTGCTCAATCAGGTCAAGTTTTTGAGTTATGGCCACATGTCATTTTTTTACATTTTTGTTCACATGTACGCTTGTGTGGAGCATTTTAGAAGAAGTTGGTGGGGGTAAAATGCCATGTCAAATAATTGTTTTGATTGGAAATGATTATTTTAATTACAAGAAGTATTCAGGTTCAATAGTTCTGGGTGATTATGTCGAAAAGGGATCAGTTTGAAGTCATAAAACCTCGAAATCTTCCATAAATTGGTGCGGCAAAGCATAAAGTTGGGGATCAAAACCCCTGGCTCACTCGAGCACACTGAAGGAGAACTATGAAGGGGTGAAGTATGTGCTGGAGAAAATTGGTTATGATCAGCATAAGTGGTTTATTTGTGTTGACCTGAAGATGGTGAACTTTTTGTTGGGACAACAGTCTGGCTTCACCAAGTACCCATGTTTTCTGTGCATGTGGGATAGTAAGGACCGTGCTCAGCATTACACGAAGAAGGACTGGCCTGTGCGGGAGGAATTGGTGCCTTGCAAAAAAAGGAACGTCATCAACGACCCTCTGGTGGACAGAGACAGAATACTCTTCCCACCACTGCACATCAAGCTCGGCTTAATCAAGCAGTTCACCAAGGCTCTGGACAAGGATGGTGACTTCTTCACTTACTTGTGCCAGGCTTTTCCAGGATTGTCCATGGAGAAGTTGAAAGCTGGCATCTTTGACGGTCCTCAGATCCGTCAGCTCATCAGAGATCCAGAGTTCGGAAAGTCAATGAACAAAGTGGAACTGGAAGCGTGGAAGGCATTTGTTCTGGTAGTGAAGAACTTTCTTGGCAACAATAAGGCCAGAAACTACGCAGAACTTGTCAACAACATGCTGACTGCTTTCAGAAACCTGGGCTGCAACATGAGCGTCAAGATGCACGACCTATTTTCACATATGGACCGGTTTCCTGAGAACCTGGGTTCAATGAGTGACGAGCAGGGGGAGAGATTCCATCAGGACATGAAAGAGATGGAGACCAGGTATCAGGGTTGCTGGGATGCAGTCATGATGGCTGACTACTGTTGGACTCTGAAGAGAGACCTCCCTGCCGCTGAGCATTCCAGGAGTTCCAAGAAACGGAAGTTCAAGCCCTGAAGTTTGAAAAATGGTGAAGCAACATGCAATTTACGTGTACTTACCTTTATCAATGCCCACCATTCAGTTTACAGTATTCGATGTTTCTATCAGGTAATCAATATATGTTGTTGGAAAAACATTTTTTTCTCTTAAAAACATATTTAGGATGATATGTGTTGACAAAAATCAGCTGATAATGCCACAAAAATGTAATCGATTTTGTCACAAGATCTGATTCTTTTCAAATCAACATAGCACAAAAACCTGACCTGATGGAGAGAAACGGATGCCATTTCCTGATTCAGCAGTGCAAAAATACTCTAAATCAGTTGTAGAAATCTAGACAACATTCAAAAAGTAAAAAATTGTTGCCCAGTGATGTCCTCCAGGAATAAGAGGGCAGAGGTGGATCAGGAGAGGTAGATAAGCAGAGATTCTCTGTCACTGTAGTTCCACCTCCCACCAACATGATTCATGGTGGGAAATGGAAGGATGAGGCCAAACCTTCAACTCTGCTAACAGCCACAGCACAAAAAAGGAACCACCCTGCTCTCCCTTGTTCTACACTCCAGAGAATTCATGGGTTTGCACTTTAGCACACAGATAAGCCTTTGCAATCAACACAAATCACACTGATGCCACATCACCATCCTGAACACCCTTTGCCCATCCGCAATTATGACAAGCATCTCCACTTTTTCCAAAGCATGGAAGAACAGGAACTTTTCCAAGACCTCACACACACTTTTCCACTGGGCAAGTACGTTTATAGGAAGCCTGTAGTGGTAGGTAGCCCAAGACTTTTCTAGTTTTTTCAGCACAGCAACCAGCCCATTCTGCAAAACAATTTGACTCTGTGTGCAAAGCTCTGAAAAACCTTGTGGGGATAGATTAGATCTACCACATTTGTCTGGCTTTGGATGACACAATAAGCGGCAAGATGACACAATCCAAAACAGAAGCAAATGCTTCTTAATCCCTTTCTACAGCCACACCAGAGAAGTGCCCAAGCCAGTGGCTCACTGCAGCTCATTCTTGCAATGCTAAACTATGGTTTAGTGTAGGGTGGGGAACATTTCTCAGCCTAAAGTCCATATTTGGTCCTACCTGGCTGTGCTCACCTGAGTACTGGGTGCAGCACCAGGGCAGACTTGAGGGTTGGAGAAGGGGAGTTGCTGTATATAGAGTTGCTCTCCCCCTCCAGGCTCTTTGTCCAGTTTTGTGGGGTGGGGAGAATCAAAAATGTGTACTCCTTGCATTGGGCAATATGCTGATGACACACAGCTCTACTTCTCCTTTATATCTGCAGGTGTGGCGGTGGATGTGCTGTTGTCTTGCTTCAGTAATGGACTGGATGAGAGCCAACAAAATGAAGCTCAATCCAGATAAGAGGATTGAGGCACAGTTAGTTGGCGGTTCCCTAGACTGGATGGATGGAAGGTTGGCTATGAATCAGAGGTGGGAACCCAGGGGTGGGAATCCTCTAGTTGCTGCTGTACTACAAAGTCCCATCAATTTCTGACCACGGGCCATAGTGGCTATGGCACTGGGAGTCCAAGTTAATCCACATCTGGTGGGCCACAGGTTCCCTGCTCCAGTTATGAATGATTATTACAATCATTTAGAGAAAGCAATGGACTGGATAATCTGAAGCTGAATCCAGAGAAGGCTGGAACATAGTTAGTGGGTGGTTCCCTGGACCAGATGTATCCGCATAGGGGTACTTCTGAATCCATCAATATTGCTTGAGGCTCAGGTGGCACCAAGTGCCTTCTGTCAGCTTTGGCTAGTGGCCCAGCTCACTCTAGTTCTGGGGAACGCGTATCCATTATGGGTTCTTACAACCAACTACATATATAAATGCTGTGGATTAGGAGCACACAAATTATATATAAACACAGAGCACTAGACCAGAAGTTTAACCGGCAACTCATACCTTTCACTTCAGCTCTCGTTTCGATGTGGCTGAGGTCAGCTGCTACACCAGGAGTGTGGGCGATATCATAGAGGTTGAGACGACTGATTAAGGGGCTATTCTTCAGTAGGAGAGAGAGAGGTTGGCCAATCCCACCAGAAGCACCAAGCACGGCCACCTTAGCATTGTTCTAAGAGCAGGCAAAGAGAAGAAAATGATTTAAAATGGAATATTCTCAGGCGCTAACCAGAAGTGGTCAAGTGATGCTCTTGTGCAGAGCTTCCCAAAGCTTTACATGGTCACATCACATCCTTCATCATAACACGAAGAATACCTGCAGTTTGCATGACAGCCTAGATGCCCTGCACTGGCTGTAGTGCAAACCTCATGGAGGGTACCAGATTGGCAAACGCTGCCATATAATATAAGTCCAAATCTTGCTTCATCACCCAACAGTTCTTGTCTCACTTCTGGAAACAAAAGACAGTACCCCAGTTGTCCCAAACACCAGAGGTCTAAGTATTTTCCCCATCCAAGGAAGTTTTTTTGAACATACACCAGAGATCAGTATACAAGTTACTTTATATGTTTATGGCAATAGCCAAACAAATTGGTATTCTCTGGTTAGAATTTGTAACCTTCGTGGAACTAAAGATCTCAAATTTGAAAGAGCACCCTATATCCTATACAGGAGTTTCTGTAAAAAAAATTCTGCAGCTTACTAAATCACCCTTCCTTCAAATCCTTCCTTAAGTCCCATTTTTTCAGCACAGACTCTGGCTTGGCTGGAAAGTGAGCACCAAACCCTTCTCCTTCATTTCTTTAAGAATTCCCCACTATATATTAGCAGTAATTGATTAGGGACCATAGGAGACTTGTAAGGAGCTTTGCTGATAGACAAGAGGGACTTCTATCCTCTGGCCAAGGAGAAATTAAGCCACTGCCAAGTTCTCCAATTACTTCCATGGCAGACTGATGCCGCTGGCAGTGCAGTTTTGAAAGAAGGAAACTGCCAAGACTACTGAACCAAGCAAAGGTGATCCCAATGCCTGCGTTACAGGTGGCTAATAGCCCAAGCAGGAGGAAAAAGAAAAACATTGAGGATAATATTGGCTGAGCTGCTCCCCCTGCCTTTGGAGGCACTCTGACTTTGACCTCAGGGCTTTGAGACTCAAAATGGAGGATTTTTCAAGGTCAACAGGGACAAGAGGATTCACAGGCCAGATTAACAAACTGGATAACTTTCTCAGGGCTTGTATTAACAATTGACAAGAAACAGAATAAAGCTGCCTGCCAAGTCACACATTTTATTCCTTAGGTGGAATGTTCTGGTGAACAGAAAGCCCTGTCTCATCAAGCCAGCTCACTGCACCCACAAAAGCTCTTGTCACAATAAGCTAGTTAGATCAAGGATGGGCAACCTGCACCCCTGGCATCTAACTGTGTGTGTGTGTGTGTGCGCGCGCGCACAGGCAAGGAAGGAAAAATGAAGGGGAGAGAAAGGCAGAGAGAAATAGAAAGAAGGGTAGGCACGCAGTCCTTCCCTGATAGGTTGTCCTGTGGGAATGTAGCCTCTCCCCTGCCCAAAATAAATTCTTAAAGTGACACAGTCACTGCCTTTCACCTCCAAAGATCTGTGCATACTTTAATCCCCTATTCTCCACTATTACTTCTAGAGTCCAGAAGAAGGGAGCGGGGAATTTCAGTTTGAACAAGCCAACCAGACAAATAAAGCTGATGTGTATTTTAATCCATAATTTTAGCTTAGAATGCAATTTTAAACTGTTGATATTCTTCATTTTGCTTTTTATAAACTTGTATTTTAAATATTTTGGTTGACAATTTTAATGTGCATTTTATATTGTTTGCAAACCACCAAGAGATTTAATTTTCAGTTAAGCAATATACAATTTTTGTTAAATAATTCAAAAAAGTGGCTCCAGTTTTTTTAGAATATTTGGGTTTGCCCAGAAAGGTTGAGCGTTTTCAGGTTACGCTCTGCGGCGTCCCGGAACTAACAGAACACGTTACTTCCGGGTTTTGCCGCTCGCGCATGTGCAGACGCTCAAAATGATGTCAAGCGCATGCGCAGAAGCAGCGAATCGTGACCCACGCACACACAGGTTGCATTCTACTCAGGATGCGAACGGGGCTCCGGAACGGATTCCGTTCGCATCCAGAGGTACCACTGTAATTGCAGAGTTGGAAGGGACCCTAAGGACCCTCTGATCCAGCAATGCGGGAATCTCAACTAAAGCATCCATGACAGATGGTCAACCAACCTCTGCTTAAAAAACCTTCAATGAAGGAGAGCCACCGTCTTCATAGGAAGTCCATTCTCTTGTCAAACAGCTTTGAGTTCAAAGAGTTGCTAGACTTTTCCACAGCTCTGGCCACTGACCCATCCACAGGGGTAAAATATAGCACAGCTCTTTGCTACACAGAACTGCCTTCATCCACAGCAGTTCCACCAAGTTATGCATTTGTGGGAAGAAAGGCAGCAATCCCACCACCACCACGTGTGCCTGGAACCAGCTGCAATCTGGCTCCTGCCCCTCCTAGACCTGTATCATGACATGTCTGGGGCTGACGGGGAGTTTTAGTCCAAAACACCTGGACGGAAGTAGGTTGGAGAAAGAGGACTCCCCTAAAGACACAAGCAGGGCAGCACAACAATAACGTTCCACCAGTTGGCTAAAACATTCAAGGAAGCACTCCTGTGCAGTTTTTTTAGTACCGGTTCCACTGAAAATTCTGGACATCTCTAGTATTTGTGCTTCTTTGTTTTTTACTAGTTTACTGCACAAATTTTATCCTATTAACTGTCTTGCTATTTTATAATGAAAGTCTGGCTACAAATCTTTGAATAAATAGAATTAAGCAGAGCAAATGGGGGAAAGTTGACAAAAAGTAACAGTCATGAGCAAAAGCCCTGCAAGTTTAAGGCCAGCAGTGAACTGAAGAGTAACAGTTTCTGTCTCCCACCCCCCTCCCTCCCTCTGCAAAGCCCAGGAATTTAATGTAATCAGAGGCCACTGATATTGCAAAGCTTTCTGCAGCGAACACAGATGATTCAGAAGGGAGTGTTCTTGCCCCAATGGGAAGTAGCGGCAATTGTGCAAGAACAGGAGAGCCCCAACCCTGAAAAGAAATGAGCAGAAATGTTACCGTTAATAGGTGGGAGTTGCAAAAAGCCCTGACTAGGAAGGGTGAAAGGTCTGTAAAGTAGCCAGGATGAGGGATGTTGCAAGACATTTGTACAAATTAAATGCGAGGCCTGAACTTGTTAATGAAGTGCTTTCCTGGCAAACAACCAAGAAGCAGAGCACTAATGAGGAACAAAGCCTAAAAAAAGTAATAGGATGAGAGTCATTGTGTTATTCAGAGAGGCGCATTAAGCTAAAAGGAACTGGTGCAGACAATGCCATGAAAATTTATTTATTGACCACAAGGTCATTTGCCATCAGAAACCTGCGCCTCCACCAACAAACACCTCCATGTCTTGCTGCTTCCATCCTGTACCCCCAACAAATTGAGACTCATTTCCTCAGCAAACCTTCCAACCATGCTAGCCTGACTTGTGCTCCTCCATCACTAGTCTGAGTCTTCCCATCCCATTCTGGCACTGCCAATACAAGTTCCTCCACATCTCTTTTTCAATCTAGCCTCTGCTCAGTCATCTGCAAAAGGGTCATGCCATTCCTACCATCTGAATGAGACTTAAAATACAGTATTAGCCCAAATCTTTATCTGAACTGGCTTTTCACACCTTCTTGGGCTAATAGGCAGCTATTTACACTAAGCAATTTACTGAAGATCCTTCCAGTGGACTTTTAACAAGCAGTTCTTTCCCCCCACTCCAAAAGCACAGTCCTCCATTCCCAATAGAATTTACTCACCAAGACTTCTAGAGCCTTAGTCAAGAGACTGGACAGATCAATTAAAAAACATTTTGGTCAACAGCCAACATTTGTCAGAGACCACAGATTCCTTCTGGAAGTAAAATTTATTTATTGCATTTATATCCCACCCTTTTTCTCCTAAGAGCTTGAGGTGTCATATATTGTTCTCCCTTTCTCAATTTAATTCCCACAACAAGTCTGTAAGGTAGGTTAAGCCGAGAGGCAGTGACTGGCCCAAGGTCACAGCTTCATGGCTGTAGAGATTTGAACCCTGGTCTCTCCCAGGTCCTGGTCTGACACTCTAACTACTACACCACACTGGCTCTTGGTGTGAATAAATAAAATGAATTAAAACGAATAACTTTAAAATGAATAAAGAAGACTACCACATTTATCAAGGGGATGACCAAAATAAGACAAAATGTTTTAATTATAATGGTCTCATCCAGGACACACAGCTGTTTTTTATGCAACTTTTCTCCTTGCGGAGAGACACAATCAAGTAATAGCAAAGACTGCAAAATTCCCAGCAGCTGCTATTTAAAATAAGGAGAACCCATGGTGCTCTCGGAATCTTACCTTTGTATCATTCTTAATCTGAAAGCGTTACCTGCTCAGTTGTGTTTGTATATGCCAAATGCATTTTGCATAAAAGCTGCAATGACTGCGAGATGCAGCAAATAAACGCCTATTAAGACAAAATGCATCAGCTGCATATGCATTTGAATGGATTACACCTCCACTCAACATTAGGAAGTTTCTCTCTCATCTGCAAGTGTATGTGACTGAATGAACTAACCAACCCAAAGGGAAATGATGAAGTCAGCTATAACCTCCAACAGTGAGCCAGTGTGGTGTTAAAGACCTGGGGGAGTCCAATCCCCGCATGAAGCTCTCTGGGTGACCTTGAGGGCCAGTCACTGCCTCCAAGCCTAGCCTACCTCACAGGATTGTTGTGAGGATGAAATGGAGAGGGAGGAGAACCATGTGCACCACCTCGAGCTCCTTGGATTAAAATGCAACAGAGTAATAACAAAAATAATCAACTGGGCAACAGCCGACCAGCCCCCGTAACCCCGTCGGGTGCAGCGCCACCAAAACCTGGCTGCCTTGCACAGCGCCGAGCACAGAACACCCCAGACGCATGCGCACTATCTCATTCAAGCAGGCCCAAGCCACGGCTACTCGCTGCCGCCGCTGCCTCATCCCACGTCAGGTAACCCTCGCGGGCCCCCGTCGCCTCCCCGCTTCAACTACCTGGGAGGAGGTGGCGAACCCTCTGCGGAGCGCGGCGGAGGCGGGCCGGGTAAGGCGGGAGAACATGGTCATCGGCTGCGAACGGCGTGGGAAGAGTCGGCGGCTTCTTTCTCCTTCGGGAACGACCTCCAGGCAGCGAGGGCACCGCGAGACTTCGCCGTCGTTGTCTCGCGAGAGCTCGGTCTCTTGCCGCTTTGGGCTTTCCGTTTCCACGCTCGCCGCGCCCACCCCGTTTAAGCCCCTCTCGCGTTTTCTCGCGATGTTTTTGCACACTACCTCGCAAGCTATGAACCTGTCTGGGAATTTGATTCATATTTATATATTTTTTTTAAAAAAAATATTTTTACACATTTTATATATGTGTTAATATAGTAATCAAAAATACATTTTGGCGTTGGTGGAAGAATCTTACACACATCCACACACACCTACCTACAGTGAGTTGCAAACTCAGAGTAAATCCATTTAAATTAATGGATTTAAATGTGGATGCAATTCTAATCCCATTTTCATGGAAGTAACGTCCCACTGAATTCAATGGGACTCATTTCTGCATATACATTGATTGGGAATGCGCTGTAAAATCATGTCCCTTAATTTGGATTGGTTTAAGTCTGAGTCTGGCGAGCACTGGATACACAAAGGCTTTATTTCAAAGACCTGTAACTTTCAAATTTTCATTTATCCATTTAAAAGAGCGATTGGCCGCCTTTTTAAACGTTAATGCTGATTTAAACCCAGGGTGTCATTTACACAAAAACTTCATGTTAATAATAATCTGTAAACACTAAAAATTATTTAAATTATTCCGTGAAGTTGCACAGTAGCAGAAAGAGGGGAAAATAACCCTAATAAAGTACAATTGAAGACTGAGACCTCCTATTATTTTTTCCTGTGCAGATACAGCGAAGGGGCATAAAGCCAATCTACAGAATACATATCAGTTCTTGAGAGTGTCTGTTTATTTATTTTTCCTTGGCCTTTAAACTATCCTGAGAGTAGAGCTATGGTGAAAGGGATGAATGGAAAGGAAGCTAAGTAAAAAAACAAACAAAAACAATCCTTTTGACATTTTAAACCGAAAAAATGTACTTTTGATGTCCTACGAATAGAACAGAGCAAGCTACGGGGTGTGGGGGTGGGAGATAGGGTTTTTTTGCAACTCTCGCGAGAGTTTGTTGCGTCCAGGACCCCGTGTCCTATGGGCAGACGTTGCGCCAAACTATCGCGATAATCAGCGAGCGTGAGAAGACGGGCAATGGCGTCAGGCCTTGGGTACCGTGAAGCCTCGCTCCACAGCAACAGCAAGAGCGAGACGACGGGCCTAACGAGCGTGAGGGAAGGGCGTGGGGCGGTGAGCCGAGCCGATAACGAAGGGATAGGTCCTGGTGTCCCGCTCGCCCGTCGATGGGCTCCTATGGCGCCCGCTGTGAGACGCACTATCTGTCCAGCAGGGCAGTCGCTCCAAAGGTGGGCGTGGCCTCCGTGACTATGACGTCGCAGCCGCCGGCATTGTGGAATACAAGGTACCATGGTTACTATGGCAACAGTTGACAAACGCACCATGGCAACGGGAGCCACAGGTGTCATAGCAACGGGAACCTGAGGCCACTCAGGTTGGTGGGCTTCCATCATTCATCATCATGTTGTGGTGATGATAATAATTCAGTCATAAATAATAATTATTAGTAATATTATTTGTTTTCATGAATTGGATTGATTGATATTTGAGGAACATTTCCTTGTTTCGTTTTTTAAATAATTGCACCAGTTTGTGATGCAAGAGTATATATTTCTTACGCAAAGGGACTAAATGGTCACAATCTGCCTGTTGTGGTCTGCTCTCGCCTTATTTTTCAGAAGCATACAGTTAAAATCTTGCTGTTGCAGTGATAACCCATCTTTCCTTTAAGGGTGATTTGCAGGCTTCATCCCATTGCACCCTTGCATCACTCCTGCAATGGGCAGGTCCAATGGGCATGATTATTATTTTTTTATTGCATTTGTATCGCAGCTTTTTTTCTCCAAGCTGCTCAAGTTGGCATACATAGTTTCTTCTCCCCATTTTATCTTCACAACAATGATGTGAGGTAGGTTAGGCTGTGTGAGGCAGTGACTGGCCCAAAGTCACCCAGTGAGATTCATGGCTGATTGAGGATTTGAACCCTGGTACTGCAAGTCCTAGTCTGACACTCTAACTGCTACACTACACTGACTCGATTGATTTCAGTGAGTATATTCTTAACTAGATACAACCATGAACCTCCAGAGACAGAGAGAGTCTCTCTCTCTCTCTCTCTCTCTCTCTCTCTTTTTGCAAACTGCAGGGGCAGCACAAAGCATCACCCTCTCCTGCAGTTTCCAACAACTGGTATTCAAAAGCGTTACCACCTCTGACTGTGGAGGCAGAACTTAGGCATTGTGGCTAGCAGCCATTGATAGTCTACTCCATGAATTGGTTCAGTCCTTTTTTAAAGCCATCCAAGTTGGGGGCCATCACTGCTTCCTGTGGAAAAGAGTGCCAGAGTTTAACTAGGAATTGCATATCTCTATATGCATCTGTATTACTGGTATTCATTTTATATTGTTGTTGACATCCCTCTGTCTTCAGTGACAATGGAGAATAAGATGCTGGACTAGATGAGCCATTGTCATGATCCAGCAGGCTCTTCTTATGTTTTTAATTCATTAAAGGTGGTGTGATTTCTATAACTAGATGGAAGCCCTGGTTAACAATCCACATTTTCCCTTTGCTTTTTCAGTTGAACAGTATCCAGACACCCAGATTCCTGCACAGAACAAACTACCTGGATTTCCAGACTGCAAGCTGAGATATGAAGAGGTCTTTTTCTGTTTGTGGATGAACTACCTGAATGTGAAGTAGCCTACTTACAGGAGTTCAGTTTTTTGAGAATACAGTTGTGTCCTCAGTGTTGAATCATTCTTCTCTAGCATCATGGCTGGAGTGGCATTGTGTGAACCAACAGAACTGTATAATATGTTGAACCAGTCCACAAAAATCTCTAGACTAGCAGAACCAAACTATCTCTGTTTAATGGGTAAGTTATGTTCTTTCATACTGACTGACTATGTCTTCTATTTCTGTTCATTGAACATTTATGTGACTTCTATTATTTGTGACTGATATATTTTCTGTCTATGTATTTTGTATAAATACTTGTTAGCACATTATTAGCTGCGTGTTGCTTGTGGTTGTTCAGAGTTTACCTCTCCCATTGGCATCAGTTGGACTTCCTGTCGCATCATCATTAACCACCCGGTAGCTTGCAAATGACATTGTACATACACTTAATCCTTATAGCAAGATATCATTAATAACAAGCCAATTGACCTGCACCTGTTTCCTCAGCTGCAAAATGAGTATTTTTCTCCACCCTACAGAAGCATGTCAAGGGTTTCTTTTTGTTTTTTTAAAGAATATTTATTCCAATTTTAAGATTACATAGAAAGAAAAAAGCAAAAAAAGAAAAACAAATCACATACATCCTACAGAAAAAGAACAACACACGATACAGAAAAAAATACAAAAGACAAAAAAAATCACAATACAAAAATAACAAAAAATCAAATTAAACCATTAGGATCGTTTTCCCATTTACTTATTTCCGTGACTTCCTCTCACTTCTCTGCTTTGTATTCTAATTTGAATCGTATCTCCAGCAAACCCTTCTAACCTTCTTTTCATTTACTTATTTTAACATTCGAAAATATTTAATTCTCCTCTATCTTTTATTTTACACTACATATTTACTTATTCCATTATACTCTGTCTGCCGATACGGTCTAATGTTCTTCTCCAACCTTTTCTAACATTCTTTTATATTACAGTATTTCTGAAGATATGTTTTAAATTTTTTCCAATCATCTTCCATCGACCCTTCTTCTTGGTCTCGAATTCTGCCGGTCATCTCAGCCAGTTCCATATAGTCTATCACTTTTCTCTGCCATTCTTCTCGGGTACATGTCAAGGGTTTCTTGACTTCCTCCTGTTTCCAAATGGTGAGAAATGAAATTGCTCAAAAAATTGAAGGCTGTCCTGAGGCCCAGGAATGCATCCTCACTGAGCGGTGCATGCCTCCTTGATTTTCACTTTTGTGACTCTGCTCCTACTTCCATCAGGCCTCTGCTGGCATTGGGTGTAAGAATATAACGAGGGCTTCACTGAATGAGATGCAAGTTCCATCTAGTCTGCAGTGACCAAGCAGATTGACCTGCCACAGAATGTGGAGATGCTACATAGCCATAAAAACCACCAGCCTTGTAAAGGCTTGTCATTCTGCTGCCTGTGCATCAGGTGTCCCTTCTAATTGCAGACTTGCAACAGGATTACTTGCCCCAGCTAAGGCCACAGCAGTGACTCAGGCAGAAACACAGGGCAAGGGGGAATTCTTACCCTTTCACAGAAGTAAATCACATTGTTTTAAAGATAAACAGTTCCTGTAGAGTAGAAATGAAGAGAATGCAGAAGCGTTTGAAAAAAATAGCAAAGGCAGAATCAAATTTCTCATTGTTTTCAGTTCAGTCATTTGCTTTCCTCATGTCTTTCTTTTCTGTTGCAATGCTTTCAGATGCTCGTACGAGGAGGGAGTACAATGAAAGCCACTTGATGACAGCGATACGTGTCAGAAAGGTGAGTGACATTTTGGGGTGTCTTGGTTGTTTGTTTGCAGCCACCTCCTGTTGTTGGACAGACCCAATGTGAAGCATTAGATTCTCCCCTGCTGGAGCCCTTTCACTGTTAGGCAAAGGTTGGCAGGAGCAATTAAACCATTAAAATAAAATAAAAACCATGTTATATATGTTGGTGCAATAGATGATTGGATTCTGAGATCCAAATTTCTTTTTGGTGAGAGAACCCCTGCAGAGATTTAACATCACAAAATATGTAGTAAAGTACGGAAATGCAGGCTGTAAAACCTTTAAAATATGCTCTTTCAAGTGAGTTCCAAAATGTCCCCTGAAAATATTTTTTTCCAAAGGTTCCCTCTTCCCCCAGCATAAGAAAAGACCACAAATGGTTTATGTTCATGTGCTTCAGAGAAGTTGCACAGGCAGTAAAACTTAGGTTAGTTACAAAGTTGTCAAAGTTCCTAGATTATTGGTACACAAACTCAAGAATGACTGATGAGAGCCATGCACTTGAGCTGGAGCAACCAGCTCAAACCTCTTCACACACTGAGCTTCCCAGGTGGACTAGAGGCGAACAAAGGCTTGACTACCTAATTTCTCACAAGGTGAAGAGAATGGACATTTCTAAGTCTGGCAGAACATCTTGCTGCATGGTATTATTCCCTTCATGCATTAATTAGACTTAAGCATGTTGGTTATATGAGGCTGGTTATTTCACAATACAAGTAGCAGATTAAAAATCCAACTAAAGCTATAATCATCAGCACAGTGGGACTTAATTATGAGTAAATATGCATCCAATTGTGCTGTTTCACTGTACCATGAGGCTTGCCTGGTGCTCACATCAATATCTGTTCAGTGCCAGGTTAAGACATGCCTCAGAGTTAAGAGAAATAACATTTTCAGGCCAATAGCCACTTTGCTTTCTGAGCAAACTCCCAGAGGCCACATGCCAGCAGGAAACGGAACCAGAGAGGAAAGTGGGTGGAGATGTAAATTTTACCTTTATGCAATCAGTTTGTCTCTCTTGTGTGATGCCCCTCCATTCTCCAACCAAGCAAGCAAGAAGCATTGTCAGATTCCAGCCAGGCAAAAACACTCAAGGAGAGTACAAAGTAGGGCCGGTGTGGAGCATGGCCTGGGGAAAAGAGAGGAGGAGTTTTAGCCTGTGGAGAATCCCAAGGGCCAATTAGAAAGGTCTAGAGACCACATTTGGCCCCCAATTCTGAGGTTCCCTCCCCTCACATACCTCTTTTACCAGGCTTTTGAGACAGTTGGGCGTAATGCATTATTTGTTTGGGGCGGGGGACAGATATTTGTTTTAGTGTTAAACTTGCTGGCTGTTTTCTTTAATTATTTATCTAAAGTTGGTCGCTGAGAGACTTTTGGAGCAGGCGACATAAATTGAACAAAGAATGCTAATGGTAACAAAACAACAGAAAGGTAATTGAAAGGGTCTCTGTGCCTACAGTTCCGTTGATGCGCAAGGCACAAGATTTGACTTGGGCCTAAGAGGTAACAGGGCTCCAAGCACACACGTCTTTCAGAATGCAAGTATCTTTCATGCAATACAGTAAGAAGTATGTTCCTTTTCACAAAGTCATTAATCCAGCCCCACCCTTCTTTCTTTCTAAAGAATGCATTGGGCAAATTCATAGTTCCTCCATCCGTCAATCTGGAGTGTGTTCGATACTGCGTGGTATACGATGGCAAATCTACCTCGGTGGATGCTGCTTACGACATAGATTATGATTTGTATGAAGTGGATAAAGAACTAACCCGTAAGTCTTCCTCTTTCTGCTGTAGTTTGCGCAGCCTTGCTGTTTTGATCACATAATCCTAGCTCACGCAAGAGCAAAGCTTAAAAAGGGCTGGGACACATCTTGAAGTAAAAGCTCTTAATAATCTGTTACAAATTTTTTTTCTCCTCCACCCAGCATATGACATGGGAGAGGACATCAACAAATTAAGAACCAAGCCATCTTCTGAGGAGAGTAAGTTCTATCTGTAATCACGATGGTGGCAGTCTAGAGGTTGTTAAGACAAGCCAGGGAGCTATGAGCAAAACAGGCAGACACTATGCCGAGCCAAAGGGTCTGGTTTTGAAGTGTCCTCCTCACTGCACTTGGTGTGAACAAAACACATTATTGAGAGCTGAGGGCAAAATAAAGTGGCTCTGCAGGTTTTGATCAAAAAGCCCCTGTGGATGTCAGCATGGATGGGTGGCTGGTTAGTTGGCAGAGCACCTGATTTGGATCCAGAAGGTCCCAGGTTCAGTTCCAGGCATATCCAGGGTGGGGCTGGGGAAAGACTCCTGCCTGAACTCCTGGCAAGCCACTGCTGTTCATGGTAGACCAGGGTTTCCCAAACTTGGGTCTTCAGCTGCTTTTGGACTACAGTGGTACCCTGGTTCTCAAACACCTTGGTACTCAATTGCCTTGGTTCCCAAACACTGAAAACCCGGAAGTAAGTGTTCTGGTTTTCAAACGTTTTTTGGAAGCCGAACATCCGATGCAGCTGTCGGCTATTGTTTCCAGGAATCCTGCACCCATCAGAAGCTGTGTCAAACAGACTTCTGGAATGGATTAAGTTTGGCGCTTTTGTTTTTGCTGTTTATTTTGCGTTTTTGCTTTTGAGGCTTTTTTGGTTAATCCGCTTTTGTCACTGTGTGGAACCTAGTTCAGCAACTGATTGATTGATTGATTGATTGATTGTGTGACTGGAAATGGATAAATGCCCCCCATCCAAACAATGACTTTCATCAGTGCATGTAAGAATTTTTTTAAAAAAATCATCTATAATACTGTCTTAATTATTTTATAGTATAGGACATTGATTATTGCTTTCATTTTATGGATCAGTGGTCTCGTTAGATAGTAAAATTCATGTTAAATTGCTGTTTTTGGGGTTGTTTTTAAAAGTCTGGAATGGATTAATCCATTTTTCATTACTTTCTATGGGAAAGAGCGCCTTGGTTTTGGAACAGACTTCCGGAACGGATTAAGTTTGAGAACCGAGGTACCACTATACAGTTCCCATCATGACTGACAGTTGGTCCTGCTAGCTAGGGATGATGGGAGTTGTAGTGCAACAACAGCTGGAGACCCAAGTTTGGGAAACCATGGTGTAGACAGTACTCAGCTAGGTTGACACAGCTTCCTATGTCTCTTTGTGATATCACCAGACACACTACAACACTCCAGGGGAGGGAGTATATGGGAAGAGGCATTCCTTCAGAGGCAGGTGGTCTTGAACGGTGGGAGGAAAAGGAAACAGAGATTGTCATCTGATTGTTTTGAACGGTGGGCTAAAAAAGTAATGGGAGAAATGCAATTGATAGCAAATCCAATGGTTTTGCGGTGACAAGGCCAGATGCGGGTGCCTCTGGAGTGCTTTTCTTTTTAAACACATGCCTCTCACAATTTATCTAGATGCCCCAGTGGGATCCGCAGCTCGTTGTGCCAGGATTATGCAGCGGTTCACCAGTTACCCAGTCCTGGTCCTGCGGGGCGGGTACGAATTGTTCACAGCGACTTACCATTACCTGCGGACCCAGAAGATATTCTGGATGCCTCAGGTGAGAGGGATACTTCAGAGAGCAGGCTTTCAACTTCTTAATGAGGTTGTTGCCATCTCCTCCTCAGGTTGGGCTGCTGCTCTCAGTGTGCATATTTTTGGCAGGGTATGGGGTGTTGGCGTACCTTGGGTGCGCACACCCCTTTTGGTTGGACCTTCAGACCAGGGTGGGGGGCCGCATTCCTTAAAGTGCAACCTTCCCGGGGCCACGTGGCGGTGGGCAGGTCCAGAGGCAAGAGTGGGCAGACCAGTGAATGTATGGTTTAGCTTTGTGCAGAAGGCTGGTTTCTACATACGCTCACTCCCCCTCTATCCTCCAGTCATTCGAGGCGTTATGAGAGCTCAGGGATTCCTTCCAGCTGGGCCAAAACACCCAGGTGTGAAGCACCACCAATGAGGATAGCCTGCGGAGAGTTCCAAGTGCCAGACAGAGTAGCTGTCAGGAGCCTGTGAAACACCAGTGTCAGTGAAGTTAACTCTTTATTCAAAGAAACCCAAACACCACAGGCCTAGTGATCCTAGCAACTCATCCCAGTAGGTCTTGCCCTAATGAGGCAGTTGCAAGGACTAAAGGACCCGTGCTTTCCACTGCTCCGCCAGGTCTATCCCAAGCAACCTGAGGCTCCTTCATCATGTCTCTCTTTGCTTCACCCTCTTCATTCCTCTCGTGTTATGAGAGACCAGGGGAGAGAGGAGCTTGTTGCAGGAGGAGAGGGGGCGACTCTCTGGATTCTTCAGCAGCCTGCTTCATCTCTGTCTCCTGGCTCCCCCTCCTCTCCTGCCTCCGATTCTGCAGTGCTCTCTTCCCCAGCCCTTTCCTGCTCACTAAACTCTGTTGCCTCTTCAGACATCATATCTGCCTTATAGTCACTTCTTGCTGATTGAGGGTTGCCATATTTCGAAAAGTGAAAATCCAGACACCAAAGTTGCTGAGCTCTTGCCGACATGGGTTGCCAAACGTCTAGATTTTCCTAGATTTTCCTGGCAATTTCCACCCGGACACTGCTTCCGACTATGCTGATCCCTTAGCCAGGTGCCTGAAGAGGAAACCAGGCTGGCAGTCCTTGAACTTCTTTGCCTCCAGAGAAGCTCAGGAGACCCATCCTCCCCTGGTCCACTCGTTATTTCTGCATGTTCTAGGCCACTCTCCACAACTCACCTAGGCCTTATTCACAACATTTGGCTTCCCCCAAAGAATCCTGGGAGCTGTAGTATGTTGAGGGTGTTGTTCAGAGGCCCCTGTTCCCCTCACAGAGCTAAAATTCTCAGAGGGAAGCTTGTTAAACCACTCTAAGAATACTTTCAGGATCAACCCTTTTATTGTGGATATAATACGTTTTAACTGTTTTTAAATCTGAACATGCCATGGTCCCGCTGGTGATGGGCAAGTCATAAATATAAATATGAAGATGCTGCTGCTGCTGCTTATGATGATCTTTCCTTCCCCTAAAGGAGCTAGAGGCCTTTAAGCCCTACCCAGTGGAGATCCTGCCTGCTCGCTTGTACATGGGAAATTACGCCCAGGCCTGTGACAGCCAAATACAGAAGGATCTGAAAATCAAAGCCCATCTCAATGTCTGCGAAGAAGCTGGCACATTGTAAGTTCCAGTGACAACCGGCTAAGCAGTAGTTGGCTGTCCGTTCTTTTCCAGGCTTGCAAGGAAGGCCACAAAAGTTACCAGCTCATAAATAATCTTTAGGCCAGAGTTGTGTTTAAAGGTTAAGGCAGTGGTTCCCAAACTTTTCTGGGTCTCCACCCCCTTGGTTTCCAAAACTCATCCCCATTGCTCACTACCCTTAAAAAAGCATTGCAGCGGTTTGCACAACCCACGAAGGAATATAATAAGACAATACCATTCAAAACAGTAATAATTAATTACATATTTATTCAAAATCCAATTAATTTTTGCTTAATTCAACAAAATGGATGAACTTGCCTATGGAGAGGACTAATTAATCAGTGAACCTATTAGGTATGTACCTTAATGTTATACTTTTGGCAGTGCTTTTTTCTAAAAAATGTTTAGGGGTGCTCTCATCTTCCTACTCGTATTGAAATACTACCCCTCAATGAGGCCAAACTTAGATTCACAAAATGTTTAGGGGTATACATACCCCTGCGTCCCCGCAGAAAAAAAGCACTGTTTTGTAACTGAGAATCCAATAGCATGTACTGCTGAAAAAGGGCAAACTTGATCCAGTGGTGCCAGCTTTTCAATGCCTGATAGTCATTCGTACCTCCAGTGCCCTCCTGCCGCCCCCTGATGATGATGATGATTTATATCTATGCTGCCCATCTGATTAGGTTGCCCTAGCCACTCTGGGCAGCTTCCAACAAACTATAAAACCACAGTATAACATCAAACATTAAAAACTTCCCTATGCAGGGTTGCCTTCAGATGTCTTCTGAAAGTCAAATAGTTGTTTATCTGTTTGACATCGGCTGGGAGGGCTTTCCACAGGGTGGGCACGACTACCCAGAAGGCCCTTTGCCTGGTTCCCTGTAACCTCTCTTTGCGCAAAGAGGGAACCGCCAGAAGGCCCTTGGAGGAGGACCTCAGTGTCTGGGCTGAACTGAGCAGGTGGAGACACTGCCTCTTAGTGCCCCCTCCCAGAATCTCACTGTACCTTGGGGTACCACCCGTTTTGGGAGTCACTGGGTTAGAGTGTTGGGCTGGGATCAAAGGGATCCCAGTTCAAAGCCCCATTCAGCCATGAACCTCTTGGGGCTTGTCATTATCAACACTGTCTTTGGTGTCGAGATTGTGGGCCCTTGTTTCCCCCTTTGATTTGTTGCCTTTTTATCCCTTCCCCTTCCCCCAGGGAGCTAACCTTAACAGAGTTTGCTCCACCCCACGTGGTAGGGTATAGTGAAAGGGAATGACTGGCTCAATGCCAGCCTTTGGGCTTCAAGGTGGGCTGGGGACTTGAACTAAACACTGGAATCTGTGACATTCCAGATGGTGCTGGACTTCCAGCTCTCATCATTTCTGGCCATTGGGCAAATAGGTTGGTGACTATACCTGCATCATTTGCCATTTTTTGCTGGGCTGGTAGAGTTTTTTTGCAAGTGCCCCAGCAGGTCTTCTCTTTGCTGTTCCCCAGTTTCCTTGAAGACACTGACAGACTGCTTCATATCCCCATTCCGGATTCTCCAGATGCAGAGATCTTTTCTTACTTTCCCAAGATTTGCCACTTCATTGGTGAGTAGACCAAGGTGGCTTCTCCTCTTACCCCATGCCCTAAACATGAGGAAACGCCAAGGAGGGGCACCAACCTCTGGTAGGACAGGGGTGGGGAGCCATTTCATCACTATCATACCCTTGCAGGCCAACTTTAACAGGAGGGTTGGGACAACTCACCTATCAGATTCCCAATTGATAGCTGGATTATGACACCCACTTTGTCAAAATCCCTTGTGTAGCGCTTCCCAAGTACCCAGAACCCAGCTCAAACTTGGGCACTCGGAAAGCACAAGCCAAAGGAGCTTTTCCAGCACTATGCTTTCTGTAGAATCACCTGTGCCTGAGTTCCCCATGGGGAGCTTGGTCATGCAGCTGATCCAGCTGTGTCTCTAGCTCCCCCGCCCCATGTCTCATGCACATGTGATAGCAGGCTGCAGGGCAGGTGGGTGTGGGGATTTTTTGGGGGGAGGAGGGGGACAGCCTTCCAGGCCAAATTAATACCCATGCCAAGCTAAACCTGTCCTGCAGGCCAGAACTTCCCAAGCCCTGTAGAAAAATCTTATACACTTGACTTCCTGGTTGTGGAAATATTAATAATATTTATTAAATTTATTAGTTGCTTGTCACCCAAATGATCTCCAAGAGACTTATATTAAATATATATGCCTTATACCATAGAAGAGTCAGTGGTGGTGGGGAATTAATATTCCATATTGGGGAAACAAACAAAAAAACAACCCCACCAGCTCCTTCCCCCTATAACAGTAACAAAAAAATTAGCAGTACAGCACACCAACAATAAACTGAACAATACCCCCACCCACCAACAGATAAACATAAAAATTCAACACGCCAATACTCCTCTCCCCAGTCCAAAAATATACCCATCAACCTAGAATTTTCTTTTTTAATCTCCGCAGCTCACCATGAAGTCCAGTGTCAAAGTCAGTGAGGGTTTATGAGGCTCAGAGAGTTATACATCAGCCACTGCCAGTCTGGTGCCGACCAGATGCAGTGTGTGCTACATTTCCCAACAGCCTGAGACCAAATTCCAGCTACGCAAAAGCCTGAGATTTTTCTACATACAAGCAGACACACACTTTTTCATCAGCACAAGCACAAGGGATTATCACAGTTCAAGGACGCACTGCAGCCAGGCAGGTGCACTTGAGGAAGTGTGGGGGACCACAGTCATTTAACAACCCAATGGTGCACTTGTCCCTTTGAAGCTGACTTGACAGCAGACTGGCACTGAAAATTCCTTCCACCCTGATGATGAGGCAATGTCATCCACCACAACTGTAATGTGAGCAGTGGGCCATCTTAGGGGCTGCTGTCTCCCAGAATCTGCTGACTAAGGTGGATGCTTCATTCTGCCTAATGGTAGGGCTGACCACATTTAGCCAGCAAGCCCTACCCAAATCCTACAGCCTCTCCTGGTCACTTTCACCAACTCGACGTCCACAGTGAAAGCTGAAAAGAGCCTTTTGCTTAGAATGTTCAATTACCACGCGGGCATTTATTTTTGTTCCTCTTCTCTAGACAGTCACATCCACAAGGAAAGAGTCCTGGTTTTCTCCACCATGGGCATAAGCAGGTGCAGTACAGCCGTCATGGCCTACCTCATGCATTCCTGCAGGCTTTACTTAAAGGTAAGTGGAGGCAGGAGGGGGGCAGGCAGGGTTGCTTCCTAACAATCCATATATCCTGCCTTTTAACCCTCCTTGAGGTGCTCATTTGTGGCTGCCCAAATCCAGAAGCACGACAGAAAATGACGTTGCCCTCGTGGTTTGTAAAGCTCCATGTACTTAGCAAAAGCAGATACAGTGGTACCTCAGGTTACAGACGCTTCAGGTTACAGACTCCGCTAACCCAGAAATAGTACCTTGGGTTAAGAACTTTGCTTCAGGATGAGAACAGAAATTGTGTGCAGCGGTGGCACAGCGGCAGTGGGAGGCCCCATTAGCTAAAGTGGTGCTTCAGGTTAAGAACAGTTTCAGGTTAAGAACGGACCTCCAGAACGAATTAAGTACTTAACCCGAGGTACCACTGTATAAATAAACACAACAGTAGTGCCTGCTTTGCACAAAGAATGTCACCAGATAAGGCTAGGATGAAAGACCAAGTTCTTTGGTAGGATGTCTTTCCCATCACCAGACTCTTGAGCTGGAGATTAGTTACCTGGCCAAGATGCTCGGGGGTGGGGTGGAGTGTCCAGATCCCTCCTCTCCCTGTTGTTAGAAGACAGATTCCTCCCCACTCCCCCTGCTACTTCTGCTGTTTGCTTGCTTTTTTTGTAGAAGTCTTGGAGCTACGTTCAGAAGTGCAAAATCAACATGCGGCCCAATCGGGGGTTTGTGCAACAGCTGTCAGAATGGGAGACACGCATCTACCTGAGTGACATCACCGATATCTCCGAACCGAATTACTGACCAAGAGCGAGTGACAGAGAAAGTCCCTGAATCACTGCTGGCTTCCTGCAGTGGCATTTCGATGGCTTTCGAGTGGTGGTGATTGAGATAGAACTCTATATTTTTGGAAGTTGGTTTTTTAAAATAAATAAATAATTATTATTATTTTTCATTATCATTATCTCTATCCTGCCAGGTTTATGACATATCTCACAGGTTCTCTTTACTCCTGTGTACAGAGCTAAATGGCGTTAGGACCTTTTGTGTCCTTTATTCAGAAATAAATACCTTCCGCCTCTGTGTATCTAGAACTTGTCTATCAAGATCATCAAGAACTTGCACCGGGGAGCTTTCTGGCCTGTCTTTATTTGTTTATGAACTTGAACAATTTCTGTCCCGCCTCTCAGCAAAAGCTTTTCAAAAGGCACCAAACAATAAAAGAGAAAAATGCAAGTATTAGCATGGAAAACAACAATAATGGGATATTAAAAACTGCAGAAAATTAAAAGGTCATAAAAACACAGACAGGAATGATAAGAAATCACTGCCCTGTGGAAACCTGGGAAGAATTAGGCCAGCAAGGCAAGTAAAGTAGACGATAGTAGAGTATCTCTACAGAGAGCATCCCACAGCCAGGATACTGCCACCATCACTGAAGATTTCCTGTCTCCAGCCATAGTACAAGGGAAAGCACGACCCTATGCTTAATGGCAATATCACACCAAATAATCCAACACATTTGAAAAGGGCATTGGATGTCAGTCAGCCCACCTGAGAGGTGCCAGAACTGAGTTCTGGCTGAAAGTCAGTTAAAACAATTTATATTCAGAAGAAAAGCTTGTATCCAGAGAGAGAGAGCTCAGTTGTCAAGGGCCAGGATAATAATTAGGTGTGTCAGCATATGATGGAAGTTATACAGTCGTGCCCTAGTTCCTGAACGCCTTGGTACTCCTATGTTTCGGCTCCAGAACGATCGAAACCCAGGACTGTGTGTTCCGGTTTTTGAACATTTTTCGGAAGCCAAATGTCCAATGTGGCTTCTGCTATTGTTTCTGGCGCGCCTGCACCAATCGGAAGCCACGCCTTGGTTTCCAAACGTTTGGGAAGTCGAACGGACTTCCAGAACGCATTCTGTTTGGGAACCAAGGTACCAACCACTGTATACTCATGCTAGAGCAGGAATGGAGAGCCTTTGACCCTCCAGATATTGCTGAGCTACAACTATCGGGCAACTCATTTTGTGGGTGGGTGGGTGGAGAAATGGGAGACAGGTTATTCTATGTACCAAACATTTTCCAACCTAGCAACTTCCAGGTGTTTTGAGCTGAGACTCCCATCATCCTTCCCCAAGAATCCAAGTTGATGGCCTTCGCTGCCTCCTGCGGGAAGGATTTCCACAATTTAAGAATGCAACTGTGTTAAGGAGGACTTTCTTTCATCTTTCCGGAATCTTCCAACAGAAGCCCTGAAATGGCTATTCATGCTTGCATACGCTTCCCAGGGGAAGGCTGTACAACAATTTTATTTTCCTATAAATATGCATACATCTGCATCATGTATGCCGGAATTAATACAATATGATGCATGGCAAAGTCTCCTTGATCATGCTTCTAGGACAAAAGGAAGCGCCAGAATCCCATAAGCCCCGCCCACTCCCTCGCCCCGCCCACAGCCCCTCACCTCTCCGTGCCCTCGCGACGACGGTTGCCCCTCGATACGTCCCGCCCCCTACTGCCTAGAGGCGACGTCGATTGGCTGCGCCTACGCAGGGCGAGATGTGGGGCTCCGCCGCGGATTGGCCGGAGCTGCTTTCCGGAAGTGCCACTCTCTCTTCCTCCCCTTCTTATTCCTCGGCCCCCCCCGCGCCGCTGAGGGACTTCTTTCGCCGCTGCCATGAACCGACGGGCCTCGGTCAGCGACTGCCTGAGGGACTGGGAGGAGCTGCAGGACGGCTTCCAGCGCGTGCAGGTGCCGCCCCCCCACCTTCCCGGGGAGGGGAGGGCAGGATAGGGGTGGGCAGGTGGCGGGAAGTGACATAATGGGGAGGGGCGTGACGTCACTTGTGCTGTGGGTGAGGTGGCGGGACCTGGCCCCCGGGGTGGGGGTGGGGGTTCTAGCTCGGCATAAAAAAGAGAGGCGTTCTGGGCATGTGCAGAGTGCCTCCCTCCTTTCTGTGTAGCAAGAGTGCCTCTGGGGATGTGCTGAGTGACTTTGTGTGTTGAGTGCCTCTGGGCATGTGCAGAATGCCTCCCGTGTTTTATGTATATCTGTGGGGCGAGAGCTCTTTGGGCATATGCATAGTCACTGAGTTGACAGAGAGTGCCTCTGGGCATGTCCAGAATGCCTCCCCCTGTGTGTTTATAGCAAAATGTCTCTGGGGGGTGCTGAGTGACTGTGTGTGATGAGTGCTTCTGGGCATGTACAGAGTGCCTGTCCGTCTTGTGTGAAGAGGAAAGCAGCTTTGGGCATATCTGGATTCCTTTGTCTCATTTGGGACTTTAAAAATAAGCATAGGTTTGCATCCTGCTTTTCCTCCAATGTCTTTTGCCCACCCCAGTTTTATCTTCACATCTACCCTGAGGTAGGGTGTGCAGAAGAAGTGTGTTTGATTGGTCCAGGGAAACCAAGTCAGCTTCATGGCCAAGCGGGTCTCCTGAGTCCTTCTCTGAACCTTCTTAATTACTATGTCCATGTGCATGTGAATGTGAAGAAAGTGCCCTTCCTTCTTTCTTTCCTCCCTCTGCTGTGTGTGAAAAGTAAGCAGCATTTATGAGCATGTGTGGAGCGCTTTCCTATCCCATCCATAACTTTGAAGAGGAGCACATTCTTGGGCATGTGCAGAGTGCTTTCTAATTCTGCTCCCTCTGTGAGATGGAGAGCTTCTGAGCATGTCCACAGTGCATTCCCTGGCAACACGGTTGAAGCTACCAAGGAGCACATACAGAGTATCCTTCTCCCCAGTATTAAATAAAAACAGTTGAACAATAGGGCTTTTAATCAGTGGCTGCTAGTCCTGATGTTTAAACCTCATTTCTAGTATCAGAAGCAACATGACTCTGAACACAAAATTGCTGGGGGGCGGGGAGAGTTCTTATAAGCTTTTCAGAGGCCTAAGAACCTAAGAAGAGCCTGGCGGCTGGATCAGGCCAATGGCCCACCTAATCCAGCATCCTGGCCAAGCAGTTTTCCCATTGAGAAGCCTGCAAGCAGGAGCTGAGCACAACAGCCCTCTTCTCACTTGTGATTGCCAGCAACCAGCATTTAGAGGCAGGCTGCCTCAGATGGTGGAGGTAAACCATGGTTGTTGTTGTGGCTAGAAGCCTCAGATCGCCTTTTCCTTCATGAAAATATAGAGCCACTGTCAAAAACAAGATGATGGTCTTAATAGGTAGACTGTGCTAGACATATTATCCTAATTATTTAGTTTCATCCCTCTTGGGACCCTTGAAGTAGCTCGGTTGTTTATAATCCATCCAAACAATCCTGCCTTACAGTGTCTGCTCAAATGTTTTATACAGCCAAAAAAAAAATACGTCCTGCAGCAAGAACTGGGACAGAATTTGTAAACGATGCTGTACTGTATTGCAACATGATAGCATCTTCTGTGTTTTTTTGGAGATGTACATAAGTTTGCGAAAGAGTGGATCATGCCATTTCTAAGATAGGGCTATCCACCAGCAATTCAGAACATAAGGGCATAATGGATCTTCTAGATTCCTTCTCTAGAAAGCCATCTGGCTAGTGGCCATCTTTGTGTGCCCTGTGAGTTAATGACTGAGGAGTGTGGCATTAAAGTCATTTTACGTGCTCACCACAGAGATGCAAGTGATCTCTGGATCACCCTGGAATCTGGAATAATTAGGACACACCATTTTAATGATCACACTGAAACTTAAATAATGGCAGAGTTCATTGCTCTGCCTTTCTGATGTACATTTGCCTCAGATGAAAGTTTATTCTTCTCTCTTGCAAAATGCAGCAGATTAAGCAATGCCCCCCCTTTTCCTCGAACCAAGAGGCTCAGTTGCGACAACTCCCTTTCCCCCTTCCTACGCATGCAAGAGGAGGCGATTAGAAGCTTCCATTTTGTTCCACTCTCAAGTAGAGGCTTTGTTGCCTTTGGGGACTTTCGGACAGAAAGGGTAGATAGAAAGAAACGTGTTACGTACAACCAACTTTGGATGGGAAAGCAGCAAGCCTGAGTATATAGATTATAAGTGGGTAATGCAAGCAAACACCTTTGCAAACACTACCAAAAATTTCCTGGGAGTAAGCCCATTGCAAATGAGCCTCCTTGTCCTTCTTTTTGGCTGTTTAAGGCAGCCTTTGCCAACCAGGCGCCCCCTTCCCCAACCTTTTGGATTCCAACTGTGCCGTTGTTGGGGTTGGGAGCAGCGGTGCCCAAATCCCGACCTAGGATGTCAGCTTTCAAAGCTGGGCTTGGGGATGCCCTTTGAGGGAGGCTGGAACTGGGACAAGAGCTTCAGCTGGAGGTGCTGCTAGGACAGGTGGCTGATCTCCAGGTATTTATACCAGGGTGACTCAGAAGCTTTGTGCTGCTTCCTGATCACAGGGGCCAACACTGTGCAGCCCCTGCTGTGTCCGAGACCCTCACATGGCCCCTCACTGTGCTCAATCCCACCCTTGGGCTGAGAGAGTCTCCAATGTCAAAGTGTGTGTGCATGTGTTGGCCTGAGTGGTTAACTGGTAATAATAGTAATAATAATAATACCCTGCTGGGTGGCTCCCAGCAGAACATCAGACATTAAAAACTTCCCTAAACAGGTTGTCTCCTAAGTCCTGACTCATTCAAGAGAAGAGAGAAGAGCCTGTGTGGTGTAGCGGTTAGAGTTTCGGCACCAGGGTTCAAGTCCCCACTCAGCCACTAAGCTCAATGGGTGTCCTTGGGAGTGGCAGTCTCTGCCACTCAGCCCTAACCGACCTCACAGGATTGTTGTGGGGATTAAGTGAGGAGCAGAGAACCATGAACACCACCTTGAGTGCCTTGGAGGAAAAAGTGGGATGTAAATGCGATAAATGATAAAATACATTGGAATGAGGGTGATGTAATAATGAAACCTCCCTTCCCCTTAAAGAGGTTTTAGGCTGCAGCCTCAGTTGACACCCTTTCCCCCCCTTTCTCTCCTTTCTGGCCAGGAGACTCACAGGCTGTACAAGCAGAAGCTGGAGGAGCTGACCAAACTCCAAGATGGGATTTCCAGCTCCATCAGCCGGCAGAAGAAGCAGCTGAAGGAGCTCTCTCTGGCCCTCAAAAAGTAGGTTGAGGGCAACTGCGGTGGCAGCACCTGCTTCCCTGGGGGAGGTTGCTGTGGGTCAATTTGTTGTTGTTTTTTTAAAAAGATATTTATTAGAGGTTTAATAGTTACAGAAAAAAGAAGAAAAAAGACAGAAAGAATAAAAAGTTAAACAAAACAAAACAATACCTTACAATACATCAGAAATAAAAAGAAAAACAAAAAACAATACAGCAAAACAACGAAAAACCCAAAAACATTTAAAAACACATCCAATATTTCCGTATCTTTATCTTTCATTTACTTGTTTCATTGACCTCCTCACACCTCCCTTTTTTGTATTCTGGTTCAATTAACTAATTCAGCAAATCCTTTCCATCTTTCTCAATTTTTGTTCTATAATTTATCTTAACACAATCTAACCTTAAATTTTCCATTTTGACCCATTAACAATCTATTTTTACTTAATTCTTTATAACATTTCTGCTAAAGCCATATAGCTTCATTCCAGCATCCGTCTAGCATTCATTAATTTTGCAATATTTCTGTAAATATACTTTGAATTTTTTCCAATCTTCTTCCACCGACTCTTCTCCCTGGTCTCGGATTCTGCCAGTCATTTCCGCCAATTCCATGTAGTCCATCAGCTTCATCTGCCATTCTTCCCGGGTGGGTAGGTCTTGTGTCTTCCAATGCTGTGGGTCAATTTGTGGCTTAGCTACTGGAGCCTGAGCATTGCTGAGTCAAGTATCGCTTGAGCAATGTGGGTTTAGCAACCAGGTGGGCAGGGACTGTCATCTAGTCCTGCAGCTCGCAACCTTTTGGGTATGTCGACTCACAAGTCCAAATTTATTTGGTATGGTGACCCGTCAGTTGTTTATTGCCACGAGTGTCAACAAAGCAAGATTATAGGCCAACAAAACAAAAAGGTGTAGGAGGAGGTATTCATCATACCAGTTAAGGATTGCAAGCAACAATTATATTCTTTTTATAAATGACCATTGCTAACAACCCCACAGTGCAAAAGCAGGGTACAGTATTCTGTCACAGCACAGACAAAGCAAGCAAACAGTAATAAGAGAAAGAAGTGGTAACATACCAGCAAGAATCAAGGTATCCATTTTTCCTGAACTGGCACGGAGGGTGAATGTTGGGCATCTAAGCCTGAAGCGTAAGAAATAAATTCTCACATTCTGAGTTCTCCATCCCTCTAGCGACATGTGATTTATGTGTTATTTCTTCCACAACAGCCAAAGTCCATAAGTTCTTACACTGCAAAGAAAAATGCCGATTTTTCAAGGTTTTCCCTTTCTGGGCTACTGAAATTGTAGTTAACTGCCCTTCTAGCTCATCATCAGATGGACATGGGGACTTAAATCCACCACCATCACTGAAAATCTTAGCCATCTATTATCCAGTATTTAAGATTTCAACACCACAAGGTCTGGAAGCTTTCATTAACAGAAGAGCGAATTAATCAACTAGGTTAACTGGGTGATTAAATCAAGAGCACCTTTCCAAGCAATTAGGCCATGTGTCATTTACAATATATACAGTTTTAATGCAAGTACAAAGATCTGGAGATCTTAGGAGAGGCCTTCATCCCATGTGTGAGAGAAGGGAAAGTGCTTTTTATACCATGGTGATTGATGAGACACATGGAGAAATATCCCTTTGAAAAAGCACATGTTTTCAGAACTATTGTGTCTTTTTGCATGCAAAAATTTTCCAGGCTTCATGAACGTAGATCAGGGGTGCCCAAAGGATGTGAGGGCGATCTGGCTGCGACATCTGTCACCCCATTGATCGCCAGGGTTGATTCGGCTGATCTGGCTGGCTAGGCGGGTGTCCCCTTCCTCCCTCACCGCTCCATGTGCGTCCCTCCCGAAGCTGCGCGCTCGGTGGAAGAGGACGACCATCCCAGATAGAAGGAGTGTACCATTCTTCGGTCAAGGGTATACGATAGCTGCGCTCCCCTGCTAGAACCTCCAAACAAACCTTTTTCAAAGAATGCCAGATTTGATGAAGTGAACATACGTGAGGGCCAGCCAAAGTTGTTGAGAGCTTTTTTTAGGATTTTACCCCACAATATATATTGCCACAGGGGCTGCATTAAAGCGACCGGTGCGCCAGATTAGGCCCCCAAAATGGACTTCAGGCATGCCTGACATAGATGGATCTCTTTCTTGGTCGGCAGCCAAATCCTAAATTAACTATTACAATAAACTATTGTATATTCTGACATTAGAGGGACTGATAGATGGGGTGTTTCATCTCCTGTTCTGCCTGACCCTCTTTAAATAATAGGATAGCAGCTCCACTTGGCTTCCAGCTACGCTGCAAGAGCCTTCAAGATGTGGCTGTCCACTCTCCCCAGTGAGGTCTTTGGCACAAGGCGTTTGACGGATGATTATTTTGCTGTTTGTGGTGTGTTTCTGCTGCTGTTTCATTGTGCTTTGGATGGTTGCATGACTTCTCTTGTGCTGTTTTGCCCAGGTGCAAGTGCTCTCTTGCCGACAACAATGAGGAGGAACCGAAGGAGTCCTTCCAGGAGCTCCAGAGCATGATCAAAGAGCGGCAGGATGTCTTCTTTGAAATGGAGGCCTACTTGCCCAAGAAGAATGGGTAAGGGCCCACGCCCTCTATTTATAAGAGCATCAGAACTCTGCTGTTCAACCAATGAATGCTTCCAGAGCGGTTGCATACAATCAAGCTGTAGCACACAAGGAAAATGGCACAGAGAGGGAAGAGGGGGAAGCAAAACTCAGCTGCCGGTTCTTTCCAAGTTAAATAGTACTTATAATGAATGGAGGTTAGCTCTGGAAGTCCAGCAGCTGGGAGGTTAATGGGACTCTGATGGCTCCCACCCAACACCCTTTTTCTCCAAAGTGGCCCACCAGATGTCTCTGAGGGAACTCACTTGAAAGTAGCCTTTCAGCCTAGTTGGTTGGCTGGTTCTGAGTTTTTTATATTCTAAGGGAGACTTCCTTTAGAAAGAGAGGCTCCATTTTAGCCATTTGCAGCTAACTGCTGTCAAGAGAACAGGAAGATGTTCCTCCTAGTGTGGTCCTACATCAGGGGGTGGGGAACCCTCCAGGTGCTATTGGACTACAGTTCCCATCAGCCTCGGTGAGTGGTTGGGGACAACGGGGGTCCCAAATCTGGAGGGCTCCCAAATCCCTCAGTCCTGTCCTAATTATCCAGTGTTTGTAATAAGCGCACACACCCTTTTACAATTCTGCATTTGACTGTTTTCATAGCTTAACATTTCATACCCTAAACACAAGCAGGCCTGAGAATTCATGCAGGAGAAGGCTGTCAATGGCTCTGCTCTGCCTTCACAGTCAGAGGCGGTAATGCTTCTGAAGACCAGCTGCTGGAAACCACAGGAGGGAGGAGAGTTCTCTTGTGCTTGTATCCTTGCGGGTTTCCTGCAGGCATTTGGTTGGCCACTGTGAGAACAAAATGCTGGGCTAGATGGGCTACTGGCCTGATCCAGCATTGCTCTTCTTAAGCTCTTAGGACTTTTTCATTACTCTTGTGCAACATAGCAGACTGCCCTGCAGTCTGAGATGTTGAGTGCACTTGGCGTGTGGGAGCAGTTTGGCTTGGGGGCATGTGTTGCAGAGGTGTATTTAATTATCTCCTCTTTCTGTTGTGATCCAGGTTGTACCTGAGTCTCGTGCTGGGGAACGTGAATGTCACTCTGCTCAGCAAGCAGGCAAAGTAAATGCTGATCTCCTAACGCTTTGCTTCATTGCTTGCCTTGTGGTTTGCACTCATATGAGCTATGAACTTGTTTTTTGGGCGGGTTTGTTTGTTTTGTTGAAGGCTGAGGTTCTTGGAATGCCTGGTGCCATGCTCATTACCCAGTGCTGCTTCCTTTCTTCCACCTGACAGTTGGATGGAACTGCAGAATGCTTGCAATCGGGGCTACAGGAAATGTTTGTAGCTGAAGGAGAATTTGGAGACTGGAGTGGGTGGGGGCCAAGAGATGGGACGGTCAGCTAGAATTCTGCACCAGCAGAAGCTGAATTCTGTGGTCTGCATTAATTATGCAAATAAGCAAATGCTTACATGATTTCTCATTTTGCATGCTTCTGTCATATGTTACTATTTTGCATAACTTCTGGTGTTGCTACTTATAAGAGGGGCACACACGTTGAAACCCACCATCACTGAAAATCTTAGCCATCCATTATTCAAGATTTAAGATTTCAACAGGCCTTGCTCACCTGCGTTCCAGTGTGTTTTGCCACCATGAGGACTAAAAGCTTCATTAATATAATAGCTACAATGTTTAGCTGATTAATCAATCAGCATAACTGGGTGATTAAATCAAGAGCACCTTTCCACAGAGTTAGAGAAGGGAAAGTGAGGTAGTGATTGATGAGACACATGGAGAAATGTCCTTTTGAAAAAGCACATGTTTTCACAACTATTGTGTATTCTTGTATGCAGAATTTTTCCAAGCTTCATGAACGTAGATGAATCTCATTATTTGTCCACAGCCAAGTCCTGAATTCAGTTGCTTGCAAAGTCCTGCAACTGAGAGAGTTCACTGAGTTCTGAAGCCTGGCAATTTTCCAGCTTCTTCTTCAGTCTCAAATCTCTTTCACTCGAATCTGCAGTGGCAACAGATAGCCTTCAACAATTCTTGCAGTTCCTGAAATCTCCTACCATAACCCAGACAGTTTGCTGTAACCTGAGCCCTTTTATACACAAAGTTATTTGCCAGATCTGCCCAGTAACACAGATAAGTCACAGGATGCCTGCAGGTGCATTGTGGGGACTGAAGCATCTCTACTGACTCATGGAGAATTAACCCAGTAACTGCATTCCTCAGCGTACCTGGAGAAAGGCATCTTCCATGATCTTAATGCCTAGGCAGGTTCGTTTCGGGGTTGGCCAAGCCTGGGCCCCAAGCCACAAAGAAAAGCTTAGGCTGAGCCCTGGAAGCTGGGTGCTGGGCAAAGTCCATTCACTGCTCTGCCTCCCTGTTCTAGGTTCAGGTACAAGGATGAGTATGAGAAGTTCAAGCTGTACCTCACCATCATCCTGCTTATAATCTCCTTCACCTGCCGGTTCCTGCTTAACTCCAGGTGAGTCTGCGGCAGCCTTGGATTGGGACCACACCGCTAAAAGTGAGCCATCATTCCTGTTTTTCCCCCTGAAAAGTTTATTAGATTTTCCATAATTATAACAAATATCACATAACAAAATGACACACGAAAACAAAAACAAGAAAAACAAAAACAAAAAATACATCAAAGAGAAAACAATAAACAAATAAACAATAAAAACAAACTTAATTCTTTAAAAATCCAGCCTTATAAACCTCTTAATTGACTTCCTCCAGTCCCTCCCTTCTGAGTTTCCTTGTAAATGAATGTAACAGCTTTCCAATATCATTATTAAACTAAAATATCTCCAATTATAATTCAACTTATTCACTTTTCTTAGTATTTAAGTCCTATTTATTTAATTATATCCTAATTTAATCCTAGGCCTATTTGGTACTTTCAAGTAGTTTCTAATTTTTTATATTACAATATTTATTCAAATAGTCTTTAAATTTCCTCCAATCTTCTAAAAGTGAGCCATCATTCCTATCCCTGCTCGCTTGAATGACATCCCTCTGAAGCAGTGGTTTTTCTTTCTTCCTTAGAGCATTTGCACCTTGCTCTTTGGCCCCAAAGGCTTCCGGAAAGCCTTATGTACAATCAGTTATAAACAGGAAAGTCCCTGCTTGCAGGCTTACCGTCTAGAAACACCACCACCACACAAGGAAAAACAGGGGGAGGGGGCAGAAATCAATCTGAGGAACCCATTCTTAGAGAGTTGTTCTCATAAAGACCAGCCAGCACCATTCAGGATTGGGCAGTGCCTGATGGAGCTGGTCTTTCTGCAAAGCTGATGGAGCGAATTCTGCTACTGCCCATCTCTCCCACTGATGCAGCCTGATGGGCTGGCCGTCCCCAGGCACCAGTTGAGGGGAGAAGAGGCCTGATAGTGCCAGCCTGTCGCAGCAGAGCCGACGGAGGGAGCTGCCCATCTCTCCACTGAGGACTGTCTGATGGACTGGCTGTAACAACCCGAGGTTGTTAAAGGTTGCAGGGTTCCTTGCAGGCAAAAGAAGGAAGACCACTATGAACCCCTTCTCTTCCATCAGGCACAGTAACCCTTTCCCTCTCTCTCCGCTTGCCGCAGGGTGACGGATGCCGTCTTCAATTTCCTCCTGGTCTGGTACTACTGCACCCTCACCATCCGCGAGAGCATCCTGATCAACAACGGGTCCAAGTAAGTTGTCCAGACCCACTGAAAGCTCTGGAGGCAGAGCTGGTAAGATGATGAGCCAGGGCGGTGTCCTCTGACCGGCTGAGCTTTCCAAGGCCTTCTCCAAGTCTTGCTTCTTGAGATCAACCTTAACTGGCAGTGCCGGGAGCGGAACTAGGGACTCTTGTGCTTACAGAGATGGTGGTAGGATAAGAAGCTGCCAGTGGTCCATCTGGCACAGCTGTGCCTGCAGTGATTGGCAGCAGAAGCCATTCCTAGACCTTCTGTCTGACCCCTAACTAGAAGGGCTGCAAGATGGAGCCTGGGATCTTTTCCATGGCCTCTCCTCGTACAGCTATATATTTTGGATAGTTGCTTCTTTGCTATGCATTTGGGCACCTCTTAAGAGATGCCCATTCATCACGATAGTTCCTGAGATCAATGAGAAGATATCCTTCCATGATTGGATGCCATTTTGAATCAAGATAGCAGACTGAAGCTTTCAAAACTGCATTGAGTTTAACCACTGGTTTCAAAATGGCACTGATTTTTTATTTTTTGGTCACTTAGCATGCACAAACAATGCCAGGCTGTTAGCATTAATATAAATATTAACAGCCTGGTTGTTTGCCTATCTCCTCTAGGACCCTTTGTGACTCACACTGATAGGCATGTTTGGGCAGGCTGACATTTCAAAGACAGCACCTGCACGTTTTGCCCCTTAACTTTTCCTACAAGGCCTGGAGATTTCCTTTTTTAAGAAAAAAGAAAGAAAATGAAAGCTGAGAGTCTGGCGCACGGGCACCTGCTTGGTCACCTCTGAGCCAAGGTGTTGCAGGTTGCCACTGTTGCATCTGGCGGCTTGATAGCCCTCCTTGGAGCCACGTTGCAGCTGCCTGTTGATGTTCCCTCGTCATCTTGAGGAGGAACTCCCAAGCAAGTGTGCTGAGCTGCAGGGCTTAAAGTTAACACTCTAACAAAAGCCCCTCCCCCCAATCCCTTGTGTTTCCCCAGAATTAAAGGCTGGTGGGTTTTCCATCACTACATCTCTACCTTCCTCTCCGGCGTCATGCTGACTTGGTGAGTCCTCAGCTAAGCATCCTCTCTGTTGCCATTATATGATGTCCTGGTGGCCATCAGTGGTCCCCTGTGGCTCAGAGGCCCAGCTCACATTCACCTGGATTTCTGCATACAGTACTGGGGGCCTAACTCTGCAGAACTCCCTCTTGGCTGAGATCAAGCTGGCTGGCCCCCTTCATTTTATTTGTTGCACTAATATCCCACCTGTTCCTCAAAAGAGTTCAGGTTGGCGTGCATCTTTCGCCCCATCTCAGTTAATCCTCTCAACAGCCCTGTGAGGTGGGTTAGGCTGAGAGGTGGTGACTGGCCCAAGGTCACAACTAGTGAGCTTTGCGGCTAAGCAGGGATTTGAACCCTGGTTCAACACTCTAACCACGACATCACACAGGTTCTCAAGGTGTTGTTTTTTTCAGTAGTCATTTTAAATAAACATTTTCTGATTTTTGTAGTTAACTGACTTCGTCTTCTGCAAGGTTTCCTGTAACCTTGTGGGATGCTGCTTAGAAACCATGGCATTAAGTAGCGTATAAATTTTCCCAATAAATAAGTACAGTGGTACCTCAGGTTACATACGCTTCAGGTTACCGTATTTTTCGCTCCATAGGATGCACTTTTTCCCCTCCAAAAATGAAGGGGAAATGTGTGTGCGTCCTATGGAGCGAATGCAGGCTTTCGCTGAAGCCTGGAGAGCGAGAGGCATCGGTGCGCACCGACCCCTCTCGCTCTCCAGGCTTCAGGAAGCTATCCGCAAGCCTTGCAAGCCGGGTGGGAGTTCCCGCGGGCTCACAAGGCTTGCAGGCAGCAGCCTGCAGCCCCGGCGAGTGTCCGCAAGCCTTGCGCGCCTGGCAGGAGGTCCCGCCGAGCGCGCGAGGCTTGGGGCAGCAGCCTGTCGCCCGAAGCACGGGAGCCCTCCGGAGGGCTCCCCGTGCCACGGGCGAGTGTCTGCAAGCCTTGCGCGCCCGGCAGGAGGCCCCGCCGAGCGCGCAAGGCTTGGGGCTGCAGCCTGTCGCCCGAAGCACGGGAGCCCTCCGGAGGGCTCCCGTGCTTCGGGCGAGTGTCTGCAAGCCTTGCGCGCCCGGCAGGAGGTCCCGCCGAGCGCGCAAGGCTTGGGGCTGCAGCCTGTCGCCCGAAGCACGGGAGCCCTCCGGAGGGCTCCCCGTGCTTCGGGCGAGTGTCTGCAAGCCTCCCGCGCCCGGTGGGAGGTCCCGCCGAGCGCTCGAGGCTTGGGGCGGCAGCCGCGGCGGGGGGGGGGGAATAATTTTTTTTATTCATTTCCCCCCCCAAAAAACGAGGTGCGTCCTATGGGCCGGTGCGTCCTATAGAACGAAAAATACGGTACATGCGCTTCAGGTTACAGACTCCGCTAACCCAGAAATAGTACCTCGGGTTAAGAACTTTGCTTCAGGATGAGAACAGAAATCGGGCTCCTGCGGCGCAGCAGGAGGCCCCATTAGCTAAAGTGGTGCTTCAGGTTAAGAACAGTTTCAGGTTAAGTACGGACCTCCGGAACGAATTAAGTACTTAACCTGAGGTACCACTGTAATAGCATAGGAAGCCAACTTTTACAGAGTCGGACCCTTGGAGATTTCAGTGATTGAATCTGGGACCTTTTTGTATTCAAAGCACAAGATCTATGGCTCAGCTACAAACTTTCCCCTGTGCCGAGAAAATGTAGGTTTGTGCTGTATATTTCAAGACTGTGTGTCTCTGTGAATGTATGGTTACACTGTACAGCTCAGTGCGCTCCCCTAGTTAAAGCCATCACTGGTGGTGGAAGTGATCATATCCTGCTTCAGTGAGTTCCCTCGGTTAAACATGTGCATAGGAAGTTTGCCTAGCCCAGCATTGTTGGAGGAAGCTCTCTTGAACCTTCTTTGAAGCTTTCATCTGCTGTGCCCGTTCTTCATTTTCCTGTTGACTTGTTTTGCTGCAAGCATTGCCATTAAATGGAATCAGGGAGCAATTTTGGCCCAGCAGGCCAGAACTTTATCTGAATCCCACCACACCAGCTAATTTTTACAAGTGGGTAGGACCGCCCTGCCTGCCAATCATCTGATGTTAGGACATCAGATGATTGACAGGTGTGTGGTGCTGCCCCCCTGTCAAAGTTGCCTGTGGGACGGGTGAGGAGATAGCAACCAGGTAGGATTGAACTCTCCATGCATCAGCTCCTGCACTTCGGAACTCCCTGCCTGTTGACACCAGTCAGGCACCTTCCCTGTGCTCTTTTCGGCTCCTGCTAAAAACATTTATGTTCTGGCAAACCTGTCCAGATATGTAGAATCTTTACATGTGTTTTAATCTGGGGGGTTCTTAGATCATCACTGATTTTAATTCTTATCTGAATGTTTTGCATAGCTGTTTTTTTTACTGATTTTTCTATTCCTTTTTTGAAAATCACTCTGTGTTTTCTTTAATAATCATAGACTCAGAGAACTGCAGAGTTGGAAGTAACGCACAGGGTAATCTCGTCCAACCCCCTTCAATGGCGTTGAAGCCTTAGATGGCGTTTTCCACCCACTTTGGGCTGCATTCCCAAGCAACTCGACTCCGAGAAGGCCTGGTCTCGGTGCGCTGGAGGGCTCTACTGACCTCGCAGCGCTCCTTCCAGCTCTATGGTTCTATGAGTCTATGACTGTTAGAGAAAACCACAAAGTGATTTTCAAAAAAGGATAAAAACAAACAAACAAAAAACCCCATCAAAGTGTTATATAAATTGTATGAAATGAATACCTGCTCCACAACGGGAGCAGGTTGTCACAGTTTGGGGGCCCAATTTGGCCCATGGGATGGAGGGTCCCCACCCTGTGCTAGGAGAACGGGTTATACATTTCTAAATGAGCATACTTTTTCTTTTCTCATTTTCTCTCCCCCCACCCTCCACCTGATCCCACTTTCTTGGTGTCCTTGCAGGCCAGACGGTCTCATGTACCAGAAGTTCAGAAATCAGTTTCTCACCTTCTCCATGTATCAAAGTAAGTGAAGCTGCCCACAAGGAAGCAGGAAGGTCAGCTGAGCACCCTTGAGCCTCAAAACCATGTGGGTGGGGCAGCGTGCTCAATTAGCCAAGCACGTTTTCAGAAGTGGGCTACGTGAACTAATTTCAGTAGTGCTCATTTCAGTAATTCCATTCTTGAGTAGGATACAGGCCTCCAGTTCCACAACATGAGCTTGCGAGCAGAATTGTCCGGGTGAGACTAGCAAAACTTCCAGATTTCCTTGTTGAGAAAGAAAGGGGTTTGTTGGATGGAATGGGAAGGGAGGTGTGAGGAAGCCTTTTATAGCCCTGGTGGGCCAAACTCCATTCTAGGTAGTCTTCTGAGCATAGCTGTCAACGTTTCCCTTTTTTAAAGGGAAGTTTCCTTATTCTGAATAGGATTCCTCACAAGAAAAGGGAAAAGTTGACAGCTATGCTTCTGAGGGCCACCTGACAGCCGTGGGCAGGGTCAGAGGCAATTGAGCGGAGCAGATGATGTAAATTTTACCTTCCTACATTTGACTGGTTTCTACACACACCTCTCTACCTGTAAGATAGGTTAGGCTGAGAGGCTGAGACCAGCCCAAGGTCTCACCCAGTGAGCTTCACAGCTGAGTGGGGATTTGAACCCTGGTCTTTCCTAGGCCCTAGTTCAACACTAACCACTACACCATGCTGCCTCTTTATGATTCAAACTTTTGTCCCATTTCTTAGCAAGCAAAAAAGTCTGTTTAAAAAAACAAAGCTCAAATTCCCAGGACCCTCTTGAAAAATAGGGAGTTGGAAGGGACCCAACAGATTATGATTTTTAAACCTCTGATGCTCTGAAAGCCTTTGCAACGTCTGAGAAGCCAGGTTTTGGAATTGGCCTTCCAAGCCGCCCGCGACAGTGACCTATCTCACCACCTCCTTCCGACAGGCTTTGTCCAGTTCCTCCAGTATTATTACCAGAGCGGTTGCCTGTACCGGCTGAGAGCCCTGGGTGAGCGGCACACCATGGACCTCACAGTGGGTAAGTGGCGTCTCTTGCTTTGGCCTCCTCTCCTCTTGCTGAGGAGGCAAGCCTCTCCAGGCCTAGGAGAAGCCCAAGCTTAGGAGAGGCAAGCTTGTGACCCTTCAAGCTGTTGGACTCTGCATTCCCCATCGCCACTGCTTAAGACTCCTGCCACAAGGTGTAGTGCAAGAGATGCAGCTAGTTTCACTTCTCTGACACATATCTTCTTCTTTTTTTCTCCTGCCACCTGCAGAGGGCTTCCAGTCCTGGATGTGGAGAGGCCTCACCTTCCTGCTCCCATTCCTCTTCTTTGGCCAGGTAAGTGTGCCGTGGCATTTTGGGGGAGGGCATCTAGGAATGGTGGGATGTCAGGGACTGGACTGAGGGAGATGAGACTGAGGAGGAATGGTGGAGAAGCGCCCCCCTCCTCCTGAACTTCCCAGAGGAGAGGAAGGCAGTAAGTACAGTGGTACCTCGGAAGTCGAACGGAATCCGTTCTGGAAGTCTGTTCCACTTCCAAAACGTTTGGAAACCAAAGTGCGGCTTCTGATTGGCTTGTGAAAAAGATTGACTTTGTTCTTATTTATTAAATTTATATGCCACCCTTCATCAGAAGCCCACAGGGCGTTTTTACAGTGTACACCGCAAATAACATAATGTCATATTGATGCAACATAAAAGAATAAAATTATTATAAGGAGTGCATAGCACGATGCAGATTCTCCTAACAACATAAAAAGGAGAGAAAATCAGCAACACGGTATCTCAACTGCAAAGGCAGCACACAAATACAGAAGCTTCTCTGAAAGAAAGCGACCCATATCTCCCCTTTTCCTTTCCCCATCTCTCACCCTGGGAGATCTTCAGTCCCCTGCCTCTCACTCGGGGTCCTTCCACCAACCACCTGTCACTTTCATGTGGCGTGGAAACTGTGGCGTATTATGTATTTACTTGCTATGTTTACACCCCACCTTCCCCCCCAAGGAGCTTAAGGTGGTTGTGCATGTGGGTCTCCTCCCTCTCCATTTCGTCCTCACAACAACCCTGTGAGGTAGGTTAGGCTGAGAGAGGCAGCGACTGGCCCAAAGCCACCCAGTGAGCTTCGTGGCCGAGTTGGGATTTGAACCCTGGTCTCCCCATCCCTAAAGTCCAGCACTCTAACCACTGGTCCACACTGGCTTGTGTAACACGTTGCAAATAAAATGTCTGTTCTCCCTTCTCTTTCCCCGACACCTCTAGTTCTGGCAGCTTTACAATGCCCTTACCCTCTTCCAACTGGCCAGGCACCCAGAATGCAAAGAGTGGCAGGTAAGAGCTCCTTGGGGCAGAGAGCTACTTTTCCCTCTTTTGTTTTAACCCTGTGAAACCTTCAGAGGAAACTTCCATATATGCAGCATCAGGCTATTGGCCCAGCTAGGGTAGGATTGTCAACACTGACCCTCCTGAGGGCAGAAAGCCCTTCTCTTTTCTATCTCAAGGCCTGGTCCCCATTTTGAAGGCTGCTTCGGGGGGAAGAGCTGGGGAACCTCTGGGTGGAGCCGTCATTTCCAACACCAGCCTCCCATAACTCCTTTCCCCCTTCCGTGCGAGGGGCAGGGTGTGTGATTTTGGTTGCCGCTGTGTGAACCAGCCGTGGGCTTCTCTGCAGGCCAGGTGCAACTTATAGATCCTATTCAAAAAGAAAACTAGCAAATTGGAAGTAGGAGCTTTCTTACTCCAACAGACTTTTGGGAACTGATTGCTTTTTATGAAAGGGCTGGTGCTGTGCTGTTTTTATTGTAATTATGTGTATGGTTTTTAATAGATCTTAAACTTTTGAATTCTGTTAGTGGTTTTTTTTAAAAAAAAACTATTTTTAAAAGCGTCTTTAGCTGTACTTATTTTATTTGTAAGCTGCTTTGCATCCCTGTCAAGGAAAAAGGCAGGATATAAATAAATTTATGATGGGATAGATGGTAATGCAGTTTGGCTAAATTAAACTTTAGCTGTGATTCCTGCATTGCAGAGGGTTGAACTAGATGACCGCTGCCGTCCCTTCCAACTCTACAGTTCTATGATTCTATAAATGTCCTGCTTTCACTGGTGGGGGGGACGGACCTTGAGCCAAAAGGCAAGTAAGATGGGGGGGGGGGATACACAACTTGCTGGAGCTCTGGAAGCAGCATGTAAAATGAGGGGGGAAATAGAGGTTCTTTTGAACAGCTCTTGGAACAAGTTCAAAGAAATGAGATTCATTGTGCCACACTCTGGTCCTTGACCACAATAAATCGATTCATTCATCGTGTTGGGTCTGTGACAGCTTCTTTCTTCGGATGGGGACAGGATGTCCACTCATCTCCAAGAACTACCATCTGGGAGAACTGCTGGGGTGACCCCCCTGCCATCTCCCCCACCCTCCTGGCAGGGCAAAGTCTCACCAAGTCTTAAATTCCTCCGGCAGGTGCTGATGTGCGGCCTCCCTTCTTTGTCCTCTTCACCGGCAACTTCTTCACCACCCTGCGTGTTGTTCACCAGAAATTCCAGGACAAGGCCAAGGTGGAGTAAAGGGGGTGGGGCTTGCGGGGCCTGTCCCACCCCACTCTCCTTGTCCTCTCCCCCCACCTTCACCCCCGCCAACAAAACTGTATTGCCATCTGGTGTTCTGCCGTTTTTTTCACCTGGCTGGAGGCAGCGCTGGTCCTGCTCCAGCTGGTCTTGAACGGACAATCCGCTCAGCGCTGGGCGCAACTTTCCCGGAGTCCACCGACTTTGAACCAGTGCTTCAAACAAAGTGGCGGGTGACTGGGCAAACTCCTGTGCCCTTTTCCGCCGAGGACAGGACCTCGTCCTCAACGGTGGGAGGAGATTCTCCAGGATCATAGCAGCGTGCTGGAGGCCTAGATCGACCCACTTGGACATGACTCTCTATGGTACCCTTGGGCCCAACCCTCCTAGAAGAGCAGGCGACGGATTGCCAACAGCCACCATGCTCTTTTCTAGCAGACTTTTAACAAGGAAGCAGGTTCAACTGAGGCCACGGTATGTATAGGTAGTGAGGATGTTGTGGGGGGCCTCCCCTGCCCCATTTTGAACCGCCTTGCAAGAGAAAGAAGTCTTTGCCTTTGCCATACAAAGCATCACTTCCTGCCTCGGAGTGCTGCTCTGCTCCTCAGAAGGGACCCTTGTCCTGCACCCTTGTCTGCTTTCTTACATCCCGAGGCCAGGGTGCATGGGTGGCAGAAGGGAGGATTGCCCCAGCCTTGCACGCAAGCAACCTTCCCCCTCCTGTGACCCAGGAATGGTTCTTGGCAGTTGGCTGGCAGTGAGAAGTGGATGGCTCCGCTGCTGAGGGTCCGGCGCTGCCATTGTTCAGAAGCCTCCAAAGGCTTTCAGGAAAGTGGGGATTAGGAAACAGCATGGTCTGAATTTGCCACGTGATGGTGTAGTAGGGGGACAGTGTCTTGTTCAAGCTTTGTGGTCTCTTTTGTGTGTTTGTGTGCATATCGATGTCTTCAGGAAGCTGGGAGGAGCTGGTCTGTGTCACAATCGTCTTAAAGAATGTACGCATGTCGTATTAAAAAAAAAGGGGGGGGGAACTATTGGAATAAAAGAAAAAAAGGGAAATGCCTTTGGTGCCTCTCCTGCCTTTCAACCAGCAAGGGAGAGGAGGGATGGGTCGGGGTTTTGCACAATGTCCATTGCAATGGCCAGCACCGTTGGCTATTAATAGGTCCAGCTGAACAGAAAGGCACATTTTGGGCCATTGCATAGTGATGAGAGGAGAGAGATGGGACATTGGGTGGCTTTTTTGGGTATCTGGGCAGCAAGAGAAAAGGATAGCTTCCGTTGCGTGCCTTTGCATTTGGAAGGAACTCTTTCCTCTCCCCCCCTGCCTTCCTGTGATGGGAATGTGTCCTTGAAGTGTGATAATGTCTCTTGCTTGCGTAAGCATTTTTTTAAAAAACACCCTGATTTTGAGGGAGGGCAGCACAGTCTACTAGTCTGTTCTGCTCATACCCACTCTAAAAGGTTGCCCGAAACAAATGCAGTCCTCAGGCTGAAAGCGATTCCTGAAATTAATGAGGAGTCTTGTGCCAAGTGCCAAGGCACCTCTGAGCAGGAGCTTCTGGGAGCGCCGTCAAACATCTGAGGGAAGTGCGGAGTTCAGCTTCCATTCATTCTTTTGAAGCAATGCCTCCATTTCGCAGGATAGCAGGCATTGCCCATCTGCTGCAGTCCTAAAGCAGCCAGGGAAGTGGCTGTGTTGAATTTCTGCTTTATCCTTGCTCCTCCCATGAAAGCAGCATATGTGAAATAGTAAAAGGAAAGAGGGAAAAATGCAAGTGTTGTTCAGGTTGTGCGATTTCTGCATGGGATGCAGTGTTTTGTACAGGACACACAGAGAGAGGCGTTAGGTATGCTTTGCCTGGAGAAGGGAAGACTAAGAGGGTGACCTTATAGTCATCTTCAACTATCTAAAGCGCTGTCCCATGGAAGGTGGAGCAAGCTGGTTTTCTGCTCCTCTTGCAGGACCTGGGCCAATAGATTCAAATGACAAGGAGATTCTTCCGTGCAGGTTTTTCAGCAGAGCTTAGAGTGGCTGTCCGTCATTGATTATTGAGTTGCGTTTACTGCATTGCAGGGGGTTGAACGCCCCCCCCCGCCCCACAGGAGGGGATCTCTCCCAAGTCTACAGTTCTGATCCCATGAGCTCTTCACTTATGGGCTTTGTTAAACTGTAAGCCTTTTGATGAAGTAATGATGTCCACCAATGTGAACGGCTTTAAAACGTTATCGGCAAATGAATGGAGGATGAGGGCAAGCAATGGCTGTGAAGCATCTCCACTATTGGAGGAAGTAGGTTTCTGATGGCCTGATCCAGCACGCTCTTATGTGGATGGCAAAAGATGCTTGGTTGGTCCCTATGAGTTTCGGGGCTTTGAAAAGGAGAAGCAGACCACCACCCCTTCTCCTCACCATGGTAGTAACAGTGGTTCCCACACTTCACACATACACACAACCACTTGAAAGTTGAAGATCCTTGCAGACCTGTTCAGAACTTCCCCTCTGTCTGCTGTACCTGTTGTAATGCACTGTGCCAGATGCCGTCTGGCTTTGTGGCTTCCTAAGCACACGATAGCTGAGCTGGTTAGAGCATGGTGTCAAGGTTGCAAGTTCGAGCCCCCATGGGACAGATGCATATTTCTTCATTGCAGACGGTTGGACTAGAATGGTCCTCAGGGTCCCTTCCAACTCTACAATTCTGTGATTCCTTCCTTCCTTACATTTCATACAATTCAAATGGTAACCCAGCATAAGAAATAGTGCATTGGCTGTGCAGCCTCCCATCTCCAACCCCAAATCCACAGACCACGTTGTGGACCTCAGCTTGGGAAACCCTGTAGTAAAAGCTCTCTCCAAATAGCCATCTGTAAAGATTAGCAGCGTTGGCGAGTGGGTTGCTGCCCACTACATGTGCCTTGATAATGTATCAACGAATGGTTTGGTGCATCCATGGAAGGTAAGGCTGGGAGCATCACTCCAGTTCCAGCTTCAGCTCCACAAGCCCCCACCCCACACAAGGCCTAAGAAGGAGGCAGAGCAAAAGAATCAGGCCATATTTTATTCCAAGAGCAAAGTCTCCTTACAGTTATGTACATTCAGTGGACAAGCTGCTCACCCCACACTCAATCCAAACGTACATCCTTGGGTACACACTGGCAGCTTCAACACGAACTGTTAAGTTGCATGGCTGGGGAGGCAAGCCACACCGGGACTGAAAAGCACCATGGCTGGGCTCGGCCATGGCACACATATTTCTCATGCCAGGGGCAGCACCCCATCGGTCTCAGCAAGGGGGAAATGACAGGCGGGCCTAGGAACTGGCCGGAGGGGGCCGCTATGTCCGGAATGGGCTTCCCCACTGTTTGGGGGGGGGGAAGGGAGGGAAATTAAGTACCAACGAAAGAGGACTGGACAGCCAGGTACTGTCCTCCAGCCCAGACTGAACTGTGTCACCCTGATCCACTGCCACCCTCCATGGCTGTCTGCTGGTACAGCAGAGAGGGCGAGAGTTTCATCCAATGAGGCTGTAACAGGAGGGGACGCAGGCAAGAGTTAGGACTGCAATCCCCAGACAGGTGAGCCTGAGACATGCCAGCATGCAGACCAGGTATCAGATCAGGACAGCCGCCAACCCAAATGCACACCTCCCATGTTTGATCCAATTTCACACAGATGGTATAAGGTCTCCAAGCTTGTTCTAGGCACAGTAAGAAGTGAAGGGGCGGGAGAAGAGAGCCCCCCCTCCGCTCACACTGCTGGCTTCTTAAATACATCGTTTTGCTCACCACTTGACCCCCACCCTGTTATCCTACTGGGGACCCCCCCAACAGCACAGGTCACTGGTCACTAAAACCCAAAGCAATGCCATCTCTGGCTGCGGCAGGAGCACCCTTCACAGCAGCTTGGGAAAGGGCGGGGGGGCAGGTCTGGGGGGCCTGATCGTTTACTGCAGGCTAACTGAAAGCTACGCATCTTCCGAGGAGTTAAGGGGAGGGGTCAGCACCTGAGCCCCGCTTTGCAGCTTCTCCTGATGCAGAGACTCCTGAAAGTAAGGTTTGACATGTCGAGAAGGGAGGATGAAAAACACCGTGCACCCAGAAGTCCTCGGAGGAGCAGCAGCAATTGCCAAGATAGAGAGAGACAGCGCGACTAGTGATTCTGGCCTGAGGTGGCCTAACCCGCCCCCTGGAAAACCATCCAAGTCGCCCTGGGGCACACTCTTAACATGGAATGAATGGGAGGTAGCGAGGAGGGAGACAGGTGTGCGCACCTGAGCACAGTCCCACAGGGGGGCAGGATGCGCAGCCAAGTGAGCGAGTCCCTTCCCTGCCCCTCCTGCAGCCCCCCACTGAGAACCGCCCCCCCCTCTACCCAGCAAGCACCGCCCACCCTAACTCCAGACGTCCAGGGAGTAGCGCCCCTTGGTCATCAGCTTCTTGACGTAATCCACAGCCTGCTGCTGGTTCATCTTCCCATATTCAGCCACGATCTCGTAGAAGGCGTTTTGCACGTCGCGGGCCATGTTCCGGGCATCGCTGCAAAAAGGAAGACCCCCGCAGAGAGGGGGAGGTCCCGTTAGGTCAAGTGCAGCCCTTATTTATTGCATTCGTAACCCAACTGGGTCTCTCACTAGTTTGACAATCGAACCACACGGAAGTCTCTTCAGATTTGACTCAAGGGCAGGTTTTAGGATGCAGGTGGGCAGGGTGGGGAAACACACAGAGGGGTGAAATTTCAGTAGGCAGCTTCAGGTTAAAAGGTAAAGGGACCCCTGACCATTAGGTCCAGTCGTGACTGGGGCTGCGGCGCTCATTTCGCTTTATTGGCCAAGGGAGCCGGCGTACAGCTTCCAGGTCATGTGGCCAGCATGACTAAGCCGCTTCTGGCGAACCAGAGCAGCACACGGAAATGCTGTTTACCTTCCTGCCGGAGCGGTACCTATTTATCTACTTGCACTTTGATATGCTTTTGAACTGCGAGGCTGGCAGGAGCAACGGGAGCTCACCCCGTCGTGGGGATGTGAACCGCCGACCTTCTGATCGGCAAGTCCTAGGCTCTGTGGTTTAACCCACATTGCCACCCGTGTCCCTAACCTTCAGGTTAAAGGTAAAGGTAAAGGTACCCCTGCCCGTGCGGGCCAGTCGTGTCAGACTCTGGGGTTGCGCGCCCATCTCGCTTAAGAGGCCGGGGGCCAGCGCTGTCTGAAGACACTTCTGGGTCACGTAACCTTCAGGTTAGGCTGAAGCAAACTGTGAAAGGAGTTTTATGCAACTTAATGCGGCCTCATGGGGAAACATTTTTTGGAAATGAGCAGAGGACTCATTGCATCCAAATCTGGTGATAGTAAGAGCTGTTCAGCAGTGGAACGGGCTCCCTCAGGAAGTTGTGGACTCTCCTTCCTTGGAGGTTTTTAAGCAGAGGTTGGATGGCTGTCTGTCATGGATGCTTTGGTTGAGATTTCTGCATTGCAGGGGTTTGAATTAGATAACCCGTGGGCACCCTTCCAACTCTAAAATTCTACAATTCAGATCCTATGTCTTAATTTTTAACGGCTCACAGCTCAGTGACAGAGCAGAAGGACCAGGTTCTGGGAGGAAAACCTGCTCAACAAATGGAACTCATGTTGGGTTTGAAGACAGATTCCCCATCGTTTTGGGAGACAGAGCCATCATTTTCTTTCAACTGAAACACAGCTCTTGAGATACATAGCCTTTTGGTGGAGAAGTTCAGCTTCACCACTTCTCGAGAACTTCCAGTAAATACTTGTATATGAAACTGACTATCGTAAGTCTGCCTTGCCCAGGACTGTCTCCTCTTACAGATATAACGGGAGATTGGAAAGGACCTTAGCCCAGCTGCAGAGCACCTGCTTTGCATGCAGAAGGTCTCAGGTTCAACCCACAACGGCATATCCAGGTAGGGCCAGGGAGCCACTGCCAGGAGTGTAGAGTAGCCTCACTTCTGAGCTGAATTGAAGACCCGGAAGTTGCCAGGACAACTACTCTGCTCAAGGCAGGCTCTTCAAGGCAGGACACAGCAACCGTCCTCTGCTTGAATACCTCCTCACTAAAGGAGAGTCCACCTCCTCCTGAGTCAGCTCATTCCGGTCTCGGAGCAGCTAAGGCGTTCAGGCAGTTTCTCCCAAATGTTTAGCCAAAAATTCTGCTCCTGCGCAGTTCCCAGCTGCCAGTTCCGGTCCTGGCCTCCTTCTTTTCCTGCCTGCTCCATCTTCTGCAGCTCAGAGAGGCAAAGGGACTGCAGCAGCTGCCTCAAGAGAGGGCTCTGCACACCCACAACCAAGCCCCCTACTCACCCGCACACGTAGATGTGCCCGTTTCCTTCGTGGATCAGCTTCCAGACATTCTCCTTGTTCTTCTTCAACAGGTGCTGGACGTAAATCTAGAGAAGCAAAAGCAGATTGAGGGGGTGGGATGGGGAACAGAAGCCGTTCAAGCTTGTGAAGTCTCCCAGTTGTATCATCTGCAGTCATATCGTAAGAAGCACAAAGCAACTTCCCACCAACCGTAACTCACTCACTCACTCACTCACTCACTCTCTCTCTCAAAACACACATAGGCAAACTCGGCCCTCCAGATGTTTTGGGACTACAACTCCCATCATCCCTGAACACTGGTCCTGTTAGCTAGGGATGATGGGAGTTGTAGTCCCAAAACATCTGGAGGGCCGAGTTTGCCTATGCCTGCCTTAAACACTTTAGTTCGGCCCTTTCCAAGCTTGCTGGGACTGATGGGAGTTGTAGTCAAAACATCTGGAGGGTGCCGGGTTAGCATACCGTGTGGCATCCACTAGGAGCAGCCAACATGGTAACTTCCAGGTGTTTATGGACTCCAGCCCCATCGGTCCCCCAGGAAGCACAGGCAATGGCCAGGGATTATGGGAGTTGTATTCCAGCAACACCCAGAAGGTGTTACAGAATCTTATCATCTGCTTCATTAAAACACACAGAGGGAAAAGATTCATTAAAACACACACACACACACACGGAAAAGATTCTAGTCCTTATGATTGCAAAGGTGACTTGGCACATTTAAACAGAGAGGAGCTAAGGAAGACAACTGATAGGAAGTGCCTAGGTGAGCAATTGCAGTGGCCCTACCACAAACTCAATCGGGCAGCATGTATATCGGCCGGGCACGAGTTCTTTGCCATGATGCCATGTTGCCCAGCTGCACGGCCGGGGGGGGGGCAGCGACACAAGGGGCGCCCCTCCTCTCCCATCAGTGCAGCCCCCTTTCCCACCCCCTGAAGAGACCTGTCAACCCTTAGAAGAGATTTGTGTGCTGCCTTTGTATTTCAGATGCCCCACCGCTGATTTCCTCCTTTTTATGCTGATGCTCTTATGACAATTTGCATTTCACCTTGCATTCCTTATTGGAGTTGCATTTATGTAACTGTGTTGATCCTTATGCCGGACAGATAGGACGTTGCGAAATTTATGTTGCGTGCGGTGAACCGCCACGTGGCCTTCAGATGAAGGACGGTACATCAATTTAATTAAGAGGAGGAAGACAAGAATGAAAAGGAGGAGGGCGATGGCCTCACTGCAGTGTCAGAATTACGCTTGACAGACAAAGCCCTGCAAAAATCAAGGGAGGTGCACAGCAGGAATACCTTCTGAGGTTGGTCCCTGGAGAAAGCGACATTGAGCTGAGTGAGGGCCCCTTCCTTGAGAAGCTTGGCCAGCTCCTCCTTGTAGAGGTAGTCCTCGTTCTCGTGCCGACAGCCGTAATAAAGCACCGTCTCGCCCACATCCTTGCCTGGAACGAAAAAAACCCCATCCTTCACTCTGGTGCAACTTATTGACAGGGCGCCCCCTCTTGTGATGGAGGCTGCCCACTGCGCCTCTGCCTGAAGCCCTGCTCTAAACTGGCCTCCCAATCGCAAGACTCGGTTTATTTTATTTTATTAAACTTGTATCGTGCCCTTACAAAGGAACTCAGAGACAAAGAAGTAGGTTGTGGGGTGCCATCTAGTTTTCCCTCCCAAGGTGCCAGAGCCAAGACAGGGAGGAGTGCCTTCATTCTGATTTGGTTTCAGGCAACGCCAACATTGCCTGGCAGCGTTGACCTCCATTGCATCAGCAAGCCGGTTCAGAGCAAGGGCAACGCTTCACGCCCTTGCTCTGATTGGACTTCACAACACTGCTATGTCGCCTGGCAGCACTGGCCTACAAAGCACTGTTAAGTCAAATCAGGGCTAGACAGTGCTTCATGCTTCCACCCCAGCATTTTACAGGGGAAAAGAACTGCGGAAGCCGTGGAGAAGCCAGAGGTTTCTACAGAGATACTTCTCCATCCAAGTCATGCAAGGACAAATTTCAGGCAGGCAAGAGCAGTTGCAGCAGGCACAGAGCACAGCCAATGAGCGGCCAGAGTCCCAAGTGAGTCCCACAGCACTTTAGGCCTTGAGATCCCTCACCCCTAGTGCAGATTGTGGAATTCAACAACAAGCCGTCCCATTTGCCACTGGCATGGCCAATCAGAGTCCAGTAAAGAGGGTGGACTTGTTTGGGACGGCACCCACCTTGCTGCTTGAGCCAGCCCCGTTCCTGGATGAAGCCCATGAAGGGGGCAATGCCAGTGCCAGGCCCGATCATCAGGACGGGAGTGCTAGGCTTGAATGGCAGGCGGAACTGGGACTTCCGGACATACATGGGCACTGTGGACTTGTGCCCGTTCTCGTTGGGCTGCTTGTTCTTCAGCCAGCTAGTGGCCACCCCTTTGTTGATGCGGTCCGTCTTGGTCTTGTACTCGACCAGCACAGCGCAGATGTGGATGGAGTTGGGTTGCACCTGGGAAGGGGGCGAGAAGAGAGGGAGAAGGCTGATGGCAGGGCTGGTGGAGGAGCTTCAAGTCACAGGCCTGGGCCGGGGACACTGGAGGAACAACCAGCGATGGTCCTGCAGATGATCCCAGTGACCAAGCCGGGATAGAACGGCTCAGCAAGCCCTGTCTTCCTCTCCCCCACCCTTCGCCCCCAAAAGTATCCAGGCTGCTGCATTAAAATGAAACACCATGAAGGGCCAGGCACGGAATGCCAACTGTCAGTGCAGCTGGCGTGAGGGAAGTAGGAGGTCAGTTTGACCAGTCCTGAGGGAGGAATCCTCCACTAAAAAAAAAGGACCCCTGGACGGTTAAGTCCAGTCAAAGGCGACTACAGGGTTGCGGCGCTCACCTCGCTTTCAGGCCATTTTCAGGCATTTGCCCACATACAGCTTTCCGGGTCATGTGAGCAGCATAACTAAACCGTTTCTGGAGCAACAGAAACCAGAGAGCATGAAAATGCCGTTTACCTTCCTGCCACCTATTTGAGTACTAGAACTGGCATGCTTTTGAGCTGCTAGGTTGGCAGGAGCTAGGACAGAGCAACGGGAGCTCACCCCGTCACGGGGATTCGAACCGCCAACTTTCTGATCGGCAAGCCCAAGAGGCTCAGTGGTTTAGACCACCCACGTCCCTAACCTCCAAAAAGGCTAGCACTGGCAGATGGAAAGAACTGAATGCCACACATTAGCCAGCAGACAAGGCCTGCTAGGGTGGGAACCTGAGGAAGCCCCGGAACACCTCCCTCCCCCCCTCTCCCTGCGCCTCCCAGTGCTCACCTTGGACGTCGAAGCGATGGAATAGTAGCGAGCCTGCAGGCGGGGCAGCAGCTCGCAGAGGTGGTCAATGGGGGGCCGGAGGGAGGGCGTGTCCTGCAAGATGGCCAGGATGTTCCTCCGGGCTTCAACGACCCAGCTGAGATACAGCGACTGTGTGGATCAAGGAAAGAAGAGACGCCCTCCAGTGAGCCACTTATTATGCTGGGCAGGCCCACAAAGAGATGCACTTGCTCGTCAGTGGTTCCTAAAGGGAGAAGTAGCGCCCCGGGGGGCAGGGGCGGTGGGAGGACCTGGGGTGGATGCTAAAAGGCAAGGAGGGCTGTTGGGGGGGGGTCCCGGAGGTTTACATTTTGCTATGCATTTTGTGGTTTTTATATTTTAATTTTATGTTGTGAACTGCCCCAAGATCTACAAGCGTAGGGCAGTATACAAATAATTAATAATAATAATAATAATAATAATAATGTAGTTAAAAGCTGGTATCACTGGATCAAGTTCATCCATTTTGTTGAATTAAACTAAATAGTTTTAATGGGATTAATTAATTAAATGTGCCATTTGTTGCTACTGTTTTAAATTTTATTCTGTTAGTGGGCTGTGCAATCCACTCTTCTGAATAATGCTTTTTGGAGGGAAGGGGGTGAGTTCATGGAACTCAAAGGGGACAGCGGCCCAAAAAGATTTGGGAATTACCGAGCTACAGGCCATCCCCAGAAGAGGTGCTCCTCCCTGCCCTCACTTGTTAGAATAACCCACAATGATGCATGCAGACACAGAGAACTAAGAGGAGATTTTAGTGCAAAAGGACTTTTAAGGTCAGTTCTACGGCAGAAGACAAATACTTAAGGCTGAACAGACTTGAGCATGTGCTCAGATTAAGAATTTGTTTTCAGCACCATGAAGGATCCAAGCTGGTAGGGATGAGGAGACAAAGGGGATTCTCTCTCTGGTCAGAGCCCTGGAAAGTCACTGCTGGTCTGCAAGGAAAATCCTAGCGGGAGGAGACCACTTGTTGCTCCCTGTCCTACCCAGCTAAGTGTGAGCTGGTGACCTGAGCTCACCTCCCTCCAGTCAGCTCAGTCAAGGGTCTTGTAAACAAACGCAGGGGTGAAAGAACATTTGAGCGCAGATCATCTCTATGCTTACGTGAGCTGAAAGCAAGTCCTTCTGGGGTGCAAAATCAGGGCAAACCTCCAGCTATTTAAATTTCGAGAACTGCCGTTCTGGAAACTGGACGGTTCATCAGCTTGACGTAACAAAAGGGAATCAATTGGAAGGGCTCCTGGGTTAGGGGATGGGGGGAGAATAAGAGTTTTTGCCTCTCAGCAATCAAAGCAGGAATCAGACGTTCACTGAGGTGAGGCAACAGACAGGGAGTGATTCACCTCTCTTCCATGACCAGTTGCTCTTTCCTGCTGGACCACTGAACAAGACTCCTCTAACTCTTGATAGGGAAAGGGTTAAGCAGGCACGCAAACACATGCACACCCCGGACTGACAACCAGCCCCTGCCCCACTCGGCTTGGCCCACTACGCCCGACACACAACAACCAGCTCTGGAATTGCAGAACCCTAATCAACGTTTTCTGAGATGTTGCCTCCACGCCACTAGGGGGAGCTAGCTGCGGAGGGTGTGGCCAGGACCTACCTTGCCTTCGGTGTGGGAGGAGGCCATCTTGCGCAGGTGCTCCTGCTGGGTGGCGTCCGTGGCGTACTGCGCCAGCTCATAGAGGACGTTGGTGCGGGGCGGGTTTGTGATGTCCAAGTAGTAGGTCAGGGCTGTGCGGTAGGTCGTGGGGCAAGGGAACGGGTGCTTCTTGTTGGACTCCTCTGCAGGAAGGAGGCGGAGAGGGGAGAGTTGGGGAGCTGCGCTGCCACAAAGTACAGCTGCGGGGGTCTTTTTCTGAAAGTCCAAGAAGCTCCCCAACCCTTTGGTGGGCCTGCATGGGCCACGGTTATCAAAGCAGTTTGATGCTGCCATTCGTGGTCTCGATTTGGAAATGGGGCTTCCCCTATAGAGATGGCCCCAAGAATCACCCCTGGGGATGCCCTGTGAGCTGTTCCATAAGCTATGGAAGTCCATGTGACTGGGGCTCAGAATAATAATAATAATAATACATAATAATAATAATAAATTTATTTATACCCCGCCCATCTGGCTAGGTTTCCCAGCCACTCTGGGTGGCTTCCAACAAAATATTAAAATACAGTAATGCATCAAACATTAAAAGCTTCCCTAAACATGGCTGCCTTCAGCAGTGGTCTCTCCCACCCTGCAATTTTCCCATTTTCTCTCTCTTGAGATTAAGGCAGACCCCCCCCCCCACTCTCACTGAGTTTTGGTGGCAGAAGCGACTCCCCTGTGAAAAAAAGGCTGCAGCTCTTGGGACTTTTTAGCTTAGAGAAAAGGCAAGTGAGAGGTGACAGGATAGAAGTTTTACAGAGATGGAAAGAAGATAAAGTTTCAACCAGAGAAGAATGGCGGACTAAATTGATGGATTATGCTGAATTGGCAAAAATGACCGGAAGAATCAGAAATCAGGAAGACCAAAATTTCAATAAGGAATGGGGAAAGTTTATAACCTATCTTAAAAACCATTGTAAACAGTTAAAACCGTTAGTAGGACTGGAACAACACTTGTAGTTTAATGGTGAATTCTGGACATAATGGAGATGTAAAAGATTTTCATTATCATAAAAGATGCAGGAGGAAATGATTAACAATAGGACCCACAAAGGGAGGAGGGAACTCCAGAAGATTCTTTGGAATCTTGTTTTCATGTTGTATATTGGATATGTGATTGTAAGTGGATAGAGAAAAATGGTTTCCTCTCTCTCATAGCAGTAGAACTCATGGGCCTCCCATTTAACTGAATGTTGGAAGTTTGGGGACAGACAGAAAAAAGTCCTCCTTCACTCGGTTAAACTATGGAACTCCCTCCCACAGGAAGCAGTGATGGCCACCAACTTGGATGGCTTTAAAATGTTATCAGGGGCTAATAGCTACAATGGCTCTGCTCTGCCTTTGCAGCTGGAGGCACAGATGCTTCTGAATCCCAGTTGCTGGAAACCACAGGAGGGGAGGGGGCGCTTGGGCTCAGGTCTTGCTTGTGGGTTTCCTACAGGCATCTGGTCAGCCACTGTGAGAACAGGATGCTGGACTAGATAGGCCACTGGCCTGATCCAGCACGGCTCTTCTCAAGTTCTTTTGAAGGGAACTCGTGCAAGCCCATTCACGCTTAAAATCAGAGAGGCTCAACTGAAGAAAAATAACAGCAAATGAATGGGACAAGCAAGAAGAAATGAGCGTTACGAGAACCGACATCCTGAACGGCCTCAATTGGCCACTGGGCAAGGAGCCTGCCTGAGGGAAAGCCAAGCTCCTCAAAGATTCTGGGCAAATGCAAAGAAACTGCAGATGACAGAGTTATTCCTGGCACTCCTGGGTCTCCACCACCACCTAACTGTGAACTCAATGAGGTGAAAAAGCAGAAAATGCATGGGCGATCTCAGGTTCATAAAGAGCATGGGAAAAGGTTCTGGAAGGCAGGCTAGACTTCAAGCCAAGGAACCAGACTGGACAGCTGGGCGCCAAACAGCTTTAGATCCAGAACCTCATGGGAAGAGAAACTGGTTCTGCCAGAAAGTTCATTCCATCCTGGATAGCTGTTTTGTTTTTCTTTTTTTACAAAAAGCTTCTTTGAACCAACATGGAATTAGATTGTGCAATCAGAATCAAGTGTTGTACAGCAAGTGCAACTCTGCGCGATGCCATAAAGAGCGTTCAGACTTGGAACTGCCTTTGTGAGTAGACAGTTTTATCAGATTCTTGGAGAGTTACGCCTACTGCGCAGTAGAAAGCGGGTGGACCTCTTGTTTGGTATGCAAAGGAGCACCAAGGAGGGGAGAAGACTAAGGGTGCATCTTATAATCATAGAATTGTTGAGTTGGAAGGGGTCCCGAGGGTTATCTAGTCCAACCCCCTGCAATGAAGGATTCTGGGAAATGCAGCTACTTGAGGGTGCTCAGAGTTGCTGGCAGGCCCCCATTCCCCTCAGACAGTAACAATTCCTAGAGTAGTTAAGCTATCAAACCCTCCTCACAAAGAACTACGGGAAATTTTAGCTCTGGGAGCTGAATAGGGGACTCCTAGAGACCCAGCACCCAAAACAAACTCCAGCTCCCAGACTTCTCTGAAGGAAGCCAGGATTGCTTATAGTGGTACCAGAGTGCTTTGAATGTATTGTGTGAATGTGGCCATAGTGTGCTGTAAGACGTTAAATGATAATAATGAAGGAGGTTTGGGTAAAGGTTGCCATATTTCAGAAATATGGTAAAGTTGTTGAGGGTTTATTTTGTTTTGGCCAAAGTTGCTGAGCTGCTTTATTTTTTTGCAAAATCTCAAAAAGAAGTAGTTTTTGAGCTATTTTTAAGGAAATTCACCAAAATCTAGACTTCCGGCTGGGCTTGCCATACATCCCAGATACTTCAGCTCTCAGAGGAGGGTGCCTGTCTTATCTCCTAGTGATCTGTTGACTTGAGATCACCTCCCTCCACTCAGCTCAGTCAAAGGTCTTGTAAACAAACGCAGGGGTGAAAGATCATTTGAGCGCAGATCATCTCTACGCTGACGTGAGCTATTTACATTTTGAGAACTGCCGTTCTGGAGACTGGACGGTTCATCAGCTTGACAAAATGAAAGGGAATAAATTGGAAGGACTGCTTTTCTGGGGCGGGGGAGAGAATACTCACCATCTAGATTGTTCAGAGAAATAACCATATCTAAATCTGCACCAAGGATTTCCCAAGCTGGTTGACCAGCGAAGTGTCGTTGGCTGGGTACACAGCGACGTGGTCCCCAGATTCGTATCTGGCAAAGAGATCAAGAGAGAGGCCTTGTCTCACCTGGTCTGGCTTTCAGAGCAGAGCCCCACAACACACGCCATGAACAAAACTCTCCCAGGCTGCATGGAATTGGGGTCAAGGGGAGACCCAGATGGGATCTCTAGGTAGGGCTGGGGGAGACCAGAAACCCTGCCTGAAACCCTGGTGAGCCACTGCCAGTCAGTGTAGACAATACTGAGTTAGATGGACCGTGGGTCTGACTATATTCCACTTAAAACGCAATTGAAGAAATACAGTGGGATAAATGCATCTGATCAGGTCTCAGCATGTGATTGTATAAAAGAGTGATTATCGCACAAGGCTGGGATCTAGATTCTGTGTAGTGATCCATGAAAATAATTCCGATGGGATCCTCTTGGACGTCTCTAGGGTTGCCATATTTCAAAAGCTGTTTTCTTTTGTTTTGGGCAAAGTTGTTAAGCTTTCCGATATGGAGTGTGGAAGCACCTACACTTTGGCTGCAGGGGACTATGGCTCTGGTAACCTGCAGGTTAATTACTGCAATGCTATTTGAGGCCCAAACTTACAGCAACCCTTGGGCTGCCATATGCCAGGGTTTTCCCCGACATTTTTACCAATTTCTGAAAATTCTGCCCAGACGCTATTTTCAGCACACAAATCCGGGAGATTCCAGAAGTATGGCAGCCCTATTCTGCATTCATGCACTTTGCTTCCTGGAAGTACGATTTCGAAAAACCTGAGCTGTCAACACCTCATTGTCTAAATAGCAACATCAACTTAAGGAAGATGCTGCATTGCTTGCTGCAAAATCCTGCACGTTTGTAGTTGGAACTGAAGTTCCATTGAGTTCAGTGGAGCTTACTTCCAAGGAAGAGAAAACAGGAGGACAACCTAAGGGAGAGTTTCCACCATGCTGCACTCATTTAGGCTAGACACTGAGATCTGTAGCCCTCCAGATATCCTTGGACTCCCATCATCCCTGACCATCACACATCCTTGGCATTTTCTCCCCCCCAAAAAAAAAAATCCATTTTAATAGAGGCCTCCCTAGCTCCAATCTTCCTTTATGCAAAATCATAAGCTAGGCATGGGGAAAGGACTGAAACACCAGAGAAAAACAGGCCCACTTTTACTTTAGGAGAATTTACACGTTGTGTTGGGGGGTGGGGAGCAGAGTATTTGTACCCTTCAGGGATCAGTCATACCCTCGGAAAATGCAAGTTGGTTAAAATGCCTGGAAGTACAAAGCAAAATGTTGTGTCGATTAAACACAAGGCAGGCAAGAGGTTCACGAAGGGTAAGAGGAACTGTTTTTCTCCAGGCAACGTAAAACAAATGGAACTGCCATTTTCAGGGGCAGTCTATCTCTGCACTTGCTGGCAGGGAGGACAGGAGAGAGACTATTATCAGGTTCTGCAGATGGGATCCCTGGAAGAGACATCTGTCTACTGTGAGAATCAAGGGACAGCCCCAGACAGGTTCTGTTTTCTCGTGCTCCAGGAGAGCTCTTCAGATTTCAAGTCATGCAACAAACTCAAGGAAGATGGGGTATGCAGGTGAATCAAATTCATTCTTAGACATTTTACCTGATTTTGGAGCCTGTAATATCCAGTTCCAGGTGCATGAGGTACCTGTCCCCGCCTTGGTTCAGCTTCCGGTTCACAGAAACAGGCGCCAAGAAGGGGTTCTTGGCATCGAACGGCCTGGAATGAACCAAGAAGACCCATTAGACTTATTGCCCCACGTACCTGAAGTCATCGATTGCACTGCAGTGGGGACACGGGGTTTGACACTTCCAAGGATTGCCCCCAAATGAATGTGTTCTCCCACCCCAGTAATAGTAACACCTTCACCTCAAGTTGAACTTATCATTATTGGGAAGGATATCAAAATGAAGGTATTGCCAAAAATGTTATTTTTATTCTTTTAGGCATTCTAGGTGCTAAAAGACCAGAAACGAGTATTTATGTATGTGACCACTGCTTCTCGGATGTTAATGGCCCAGAGATGGAAAGAAGACAAAGTCCCTGCCAGAGAAGAATGGCAGATTAAGTTGGTGGATTATGCCAAAATGGCAAAAATGACCAGAGGAATCAGAAGCCAGGAAGACCAAATTTTTAATAAGGAATGGGGAAAATACATAATCTGCCTTAAAAACCATTGCAAACAACTAAAAGCATTAGGAGGATTGGAATAGCACTTGTAGTTTAATGTTGAATTTTGGGTATAATCGAGATGCGAAAGATTTGGATTAATATAAGAGATGCAGGAGGAAAAGGTTAATACCCACAAAGGGGAGGAGGGAAGTTCAGCAGATTCTTTGGAATCTTGTTTTTATGCTGGTTGTTGGATAATTGTAAAATTTTAAAACCTGAAAAGCTTAATAAATAATAATAATAATAATAATAGAGAAGGTGTTACTATTAGTATATAAAGCCCTTAACAATTTGGGACCAGTTTACCTCCGAGATTGTCTTACCCAATATACACACACTAGTCTTCTTCGATCTACGGAACTAGCACTGTTACGGGTGCCATATAATACCCATTCCACATTTGCAAGAGATTGTGGAAGCACCTACACTTTGGCTGCAGTGGACTATGGCTCTGGTAACCTGCAGGCCAATTACTGCATTGCTATTTGAGGCCCAAACTGACAGCGACCCTGGGGGTGGGGGGCGGCAGTCCTGATACCAACCCTGCTGCTCCCACAAATGTGGCACTTACGGTTTTTGGTTCTCGTAGCTCTTGAGGCGGCCCATTTCGCCCGTGTAAACCTTGTCGGGGTTGATGTCCGTGTGGACCACCAGCTCGTACTGCCGTATGCTGGCGGAGGAGAAGGAGAAGTCAGAGGCAAGGACAAAACGGCCAGCTTCTCAGCTCTCCAGAGGACAACAGAGGAGAGCCAAGCAGATGGTACTGCCCAGTTCTTAGATTTGGGACTGTTCCGGAAACATTGACAGTGTGCGTGACCTGTGGTGTGACAGGGCCTTTTCGGGGGTGGTCCCCTGGGCAAAATTCAAGACATGGGTACTAGTGTATAAAACCCATACAGTGCCTTCTGCGACACCAACCAAATTCAACCCTGCGATCAGCAGGTGAGGCCTTGTTGGTGCTGCTGTCACTGGGGGCTGCCTAGATGGTGCTGACTCATGACGGGGCCTTTTCAGTGGTGGTTCCCCAATTGTGGAAGGCCTTGCCTAGTGAGGTGCACCTGTATCCATCGTTATTGGCTTGCAGCAGGCATTTGAAATGCAATTCCTGTGGACTCAGGCGCATTGCTGGCTAAAGACTACTGTTCCAAGCAACCCCTTGGGATCACCAGATGAAATCATGTGTTTAACTTTCTAAACTGCTATTTTAAAAACTGAACTGTAATTGATTTTATGTGTTTGTTCTTTTAAATGTGTCTAGTGTGCTCTAATCTGCTTTAAAAGGTTGTTTTGCTTTCGTTTTAAACAGTACGCTGTTTGCTGCCTTGAGGAGGAAGGGTGGGATATATTTTCAAAAAATAAAATTAATCATCATTAGACAGGACCAGGTTCAAAAGAGTTTACTGTTCCCAAGTGGCAATCTTGAGACAATGGGTTGCATCAGACATACTCAAGAGTAAATCCTTTGAAAACAATGGGGAAAGCCCATTAACTTCATTCAGAGTGAAAGGTAGATGCATACACCCCAGAGGGGCCCAGCTGTGGCCACACGGCAAGCCAACAGCAGAGCCGCATCTCCCACACTCAAACTGATGCTCCATCTGCAGCGGTTCTCAATCCCACCACCACCACCATCTCTTAGGACTGACCTGGTTTCGTCTCCTGTGGCTTCCACGCCAAAATGTTCACAGACTGCCGGCCAGAACTGCTCGCGCCACGTGATGAAATCTTCTTCCAGGCTGTCAAGAGAAGCGATTGCAGGGTAGGGGGTGGGAAGCAAAGTTATCATTTAGAACAAAACAGCAGCAAGCTGAATGCCAGTGCACCCCCCTGAAGGGAGAGGAGAGATGCCAGACCATCCTGGGAGGGCACTGGACCAACCCACCAAGAATAATAATAATAATAATAATAATAATAATAATAATAATTATACCCCGCCCATCTGGCTGGGTTTCCCCAGCCACTCTGGGCAGCATACAGCACATAAAAAATGGCAAAAAATTAGACATTAAAAACTTCCCTTAACAGGGTTGCCTTCAGATGTCCTCTAAAAGTCAGACAGTTGTTTGTTTCATCATCATCATCATCATCATTATTACTATTATTATATGCCTAGCGTCTCTAGCCTTGTTTCAGGGTCATGGATTAAAAGCTTCTTGCATGCACAGGTTAGGGAGAAGGTTCATTCTCACCCACCACCCACCCCCGACTTCTTTTGCTTCTCTCACGCTCAGCTCTCTCTACAATCACAGAAATGCCTCTTTAAAGTCAGAGAAACGCTTTTCTCATAGCAGAACCTGTCCCTCAAACTCTTCCGGCTGGTTTAAAGCCATTTGCTCTTAGCCACTTTCACAAATGCTCAACTTTGCAGTGGCTGCTGCATTTCTAGTCTTCTCAGCAGTTCCAGCAGAATTTTTTTTTTAAGCATTCAGAATAGCATTTGTTAAAGGGTGAGAAGAGAAGGACAAATTCGGCACTTGAAGTCCTAAAATCACAGAACCGTAGATTTGAAAGGGTCCCAAAGACATCATCTCGTCCAACCCCTTGCAATGAAGGAATATGCAGCTGTCCCATACGGGGATTCGAACCTACAACCCATGCCAACTGAGCTATCCAGGCTGACCAAGGCTCACTTACTTCCCGTCGTCGTCTCCCAGCCCGAGTTCAAAGATCCGCTGGGCTCCAAGCTCTTCCAGCCTCTTGTCCACGTACTTCCCCATGGCGTTGAAATGCTCATAGGTCTTGTTCCCCAAACCAAACACCTAAGAAAGCAACAACAACAACCAGCGTCAGCTCTTTCTGCAAAAGGCGCATCTCTCTGGAGCTCAGGAACCAGTTTTGGTCTGGTAAAGATCCAAAGGCTTTGGCTCTGTTTAGCAAAGAAAAACAACACCGCAAGAGGCGTTTTATATAAGTTGTGTGCAGGGTGGAGAAAGGAACTAGAGCCACAGGTCTTCAGGCAGTCGGTCTGGACCCACAGGTAGGTCCATGAGGATACCCTGGAGGAGGTTGCCTCAAAGTCGTTGCCACCATGTTGAGCTCCAGCAACTCTTCCCCATAGGTCTTGCCCCAATGAGGCAGTTGGAAGGATTGATGGTCCCCTGTCTCCCCACAACTGCCTATGCCCCCTTCTCTCCTGGGTTTTTGGCAAGTGATCGGAGACTGCGCCTGTACACAACCAATCTCTCCTCTGCTCTATTCATTTCTCTGCGTCTTCAGGGAGACCAGGTAGGAGGTGAGCGGGTCATTGCAGGAGGGGGAGACGCCCTGGATTCTGCGGCAGCCTGCCTCATCTCTGTCTCCTGGTCCCCCTCCTCTCCTGCCTCTGAGTCTGAACCGCTCTCTGCCACATCCTCTTCTTGCTCACTAAACCCTGTTGCCTCTTCTGCTTCCAACACCTCCTCCTCCCAGTCTCCTCCTCCTCCTCCCTCTGACCACTCATCGTCATCCCACCACCAATCCCCAGGCTCTGACCCTTCTTCCCCTGGGGGTTCCCCTCGCTCCTCTGAATCTAGCCAGTCCATGACATCCACATTCTTCTGATGAGATGCTCATTTCATCAGTTTCAATGAGAGCCACAATATGGCAAGAGCAGGGGGCGGGGAGCCTCTGCAGGTTTAAGGGGCTGGGTATGTTTCAAGGCTAAAATCACTGAGGTTATTTGCCACTCAGAATTCAGATTCACTGGGAGAAGCTGTTGAATGGTTTATTTAAATATTACGGTTCATTATTGTTTCTCAAGATGAGCATCTCTTTAAAGGCCAGAGTAAATATCATGACCTAGTTTTACAGCTGTGAAGCAGTATAGCAGGTGCTGTTAAGTTGTGTTAATTAAGCTGTGTCAGCAGTTAGGTATAGTATATAAAAAGCAACGTGTACCTCTCTCAGTACCCTGGTGAATGGGTCATACTTATAGATTTTATGTAAGAGGAGTTTTTGTTTTTGTAATTAAAGCCAAGCAAAATATATTTCTGCATTTCTTCATTGTTTCCTGAACGTGTGGTCTCCCCAGCATACTTTCTGCAGCGCAATAAATCTGCTAAATAGGAATCAACCCCACGAAAGATTTCAAAAAGACTGGAGCAAATTTATATATTATTTGAAAGAAAATTGTAAACACATGAAAACGTTTGGTAATGTGGAAAGGAGGAGCTGATTTACAAATGAGAGGGTGATTTTTAAAAGATCATATAAGGTAAAGAAGTGATTATAGAAATGTGATAAATATGTTAAAGTTATAGGAAAGTCAGAAAGAGGGAGGGAAGGAGGTCGATGTTCTTTTTGAGTAATAATGTAAGCTTTGGATATGTACAATGAAATGAAATGAAATATGGAAAACTCCATAAAAATCATGATTAAAAAAATAATAATCTGCTAAATACGCAACAGATGCAACTAGATTTTGAGGCAAAGAGCCTGAAATAGCCCCAATGCAGCTTCTTTTACACAAACACACATACCACTTACATATGTCAAACCTGAGCCCCGGAAAAAGAATGGTAGAGGGAGAAGTAAAAATGCTCACTGCAAATTTGAGGCCGGAGAGGTCAGCGTCTGTTTCCTGCAGCCAATCGTAGAAATCCTGGGCGTTGTCTGTGGGATCCCCTTCTCCGTAAGTGGCCATACAGAAGACCGCTAGCGACTTATCGATTTCAGAGAGGCGGCTCAAGTCAGCCTGGGAATGAGATGGGGCAGCACGTAAGGAGACAGCTCCTGAGAATGTCAAGAGTTCCCCAGAAGAATCCCAAACACCCCTGGGCATGTGATCTTAAGCAACTATCTTTCTTTGGTTGGAAACGTTCTTTGGGACGAGCCAAGTATTTGTGAGCAAGGCAGATGCTGAAAGCACATTATGTCACCCACTCATCCAACGTCTCCAATGTGAAGGGGAGGACAATGCTTAGGTTGCAAGAAGGCAAAGTTACACAAAGCAATTACTGAAGGAATCCAGGGAAGGCCTTGCTTGTGGGAAAAGCAGAGCAGGGCTTGTCCCTCATCACGTCAAGGACCCAAAAGGGCTGGATTTTGCAGAGAACATACCAGGTCGTACTCCTCTGGGTCGGCAGACATGCCCCGCATCCCATAACGATGGGCGTCTTTAGCAAGGCGGTTGGCAAATTCTTCACCAGTTCCCGTCTGAGATCCATAGAACACCACTATGTTTCTGCCCTGAGAAGGAAAGACAACTCAAGTCGGTTCAAAAACTCTGGGATCGCTCATCACCAAAGGCCTGGTCCCAACCTCCGCCCCTTAAGTGTTTCTGAATCAGTCTATGCAAACTCGCTCTGCTCCACACTGGGGCAGCAGGTGAAAGTGGTAAAACCCTCCCTGAACGGCACCCATTTCAGACAGCAGGAAGGTACGGGGGAGAGTTTTGTGGGGGTTTGATGTGAATCGAGCCAAATTTGCACTTCCTGACCCAGTACACAGATTGGACCACAGTTCCACATGCTCCTCTGAGTTTTGCAAGCCGGTCCTCAATTCAAGAAACGCATATTTTCAGAGTTTATGGGTAGGGGGGATGAGTGCAAAAATGTAAGTATTTTAGGGAGAAATGCATGCAGTATAAATTCTGGTGGTTTTTTTTTAATTAAACAACATTTATATACCACTTGACTGGCAGAGAGGTGACTCTTCCCTGCCGGCTACGTGCCATAGCTCAGAGGCAGAGGATCAGCTTTGCATGCAGAAGATCTCGGGTTCAATCCCTCCAGGTAGGGATGGGAAATATTCCCTGCTTGAAACCCTGGTGTTGTTGCCAGCCAGAGCAGGCAATATTGACCTAGACAGGCCAATGATCTGACTCTGTATAAGGCAGCTATCTGCCCATTCCGACCCTTTCCTAAGAACCACAAGGACCAGAATCGTCCTTAGGAACAGCTGGGAAAAGACTTCTGTCTGAAATCCTGGAGAGCCGCTGCTGCCACCCCGTGTAGGCAATACTGAGCTAGACAGATCAATGGTCTGACTTGGGACGAAGCTACTTCCTGCATTCCTAACCAGTATCACCATTCAGCTGGCTCAGTCACTCCATAGCAGAGGATCAAGGCTTGTGGACAATGCCTTAGGCAGCTTCCATTTCTAGCCTACTAGCTTAAAAGTATGAACGTAATAAAAGCCGAACATACCGTCTTTTTCATTTTCTCAATGAAGCTGCCCTCATTTGTTGTCTTCTCTCTGGAAGAAAGAGAGATAGAGTTATCTTTAACACACACACACACACACACACACACACACACACAGTGGTACCTCAGGTTACATACGCTTCAGGTTACATACGCTTCAGTTTACAGACTCTGCTAACCCTGAAATAGTGCTTCAGGTTAAGAACTTTGCTTCAGGATGAGAACAGAAATCATGCTCTGGCGGCGTGGCAACAGCAGGAGGCCCCATTAGCTAAAGTGCTTCAGGTTAAGAACGGTTTCAGGTTAAGTACGGACCTCCGGAACGAAGTAAGTACTTAACCCGAGGTACCACTGTATATATATACACATATATATTTACGATTTTCAATAGTTTCACAGTCATTTTAACATTTCAAAACTCGACTTCCTCCTCTTTCTGCAGTTCCTTAAATTCATTTTTATCATTTCCTGCATATTCTAAATCAACATTCTTTTATTCATCTACTTATATGCTCTACTGCAGGTTATTACAATAATCCTGCCAATGTCCATCTCTGTTTACCATTTTTTGTAAATATTCAATAAAATTCCTGCTCACACAGAGCTATGCTTATAGGGCTCACAATGGATTTCTTACCCTGTTCAGAAAAGGACAACCGAAATGATCAAGGGGCTGACTCCTTTATGAGGAGAAGTTGCAGTATTTGGGAGTAAGAGGTGACATGACAGACGTCTGTAAAATGATGCACAACCAGGAGAAAGGGGATAGGAAAAGGTTTGTCTCTTCTCTTATAACACTAGACTTCCTCCTCTTTGGACATTCAATGAAGCTGAACATGGAAAATTCAGGACGGATAACAGAAAGTCCTTCTTTGCACACCGAAGTGTTAATCTATGGAACTCGCTTCCACAGGAAGGTATCAGCTTGGATGGCTTTAAAAGAGGATTGGACCAACTCACAGAGCAGGAGAAGGCTATCAGTGGCTACTAGCCATGCTGGTTCTGCTCTGCCTTCACAGTTGGAGGCAATAATAATAACAATAACAATAATTTATTATCTTTACCCAGCCACTCTGGGCGGCTCCCAATCGAATATTAAAAGCACAATACAGCATTAAACATTAAAAACTTCCCTAAACAGGGCTGCCTTCAGATGTCTTTTAAAAGTAGGACAGTTGCTTATTTCCTTGACATTTGATGGGAAGGCGTTCCACTGGGCAGGCGCCACCACCGAGAAGGCCCTCTGCCTGGTTTCCTGTAACTTCACTTCTCGCAGGGAGGGAACCGCCAGAAGGCCCTTGGCACTGGACCTCAGTGTCCGGGCTGAACGATGGAGGTGGAGACGCTCCTTCAGGTATACAGGACCGAGGCAATGCTTCTGAATACAAGTTGCTGGAAGCCACAGGAGGGGAGAGGGCTCTTCTGCTCGAATCCTGCTTGTGGGTTTCCCTAATTGCATCTGGTTGGCCACTGTCAGAACAGGATGCCAGACTAGGTGGGCCACTGGCTTGATTTGGCAGCCTGTTCTTGTGTCCCCTGCTGCTCCAGAGGGCAGGAACAGGACCCACGGGGGACCCATTGCAAGGGAGTAGGTTTTGGGTGAGCGTTTGGAAACACTTTGCAAGGGCAAAAGGCTTTTTGACAGTGGAACAGGCTGCTTTTCCTTTGCTGGAGAGACCGGGCTGCTACCTGCATTGCTTTTGGGGGTCCCAACAAACTCTGCAATTCTATGATTCTAGGGGGGGGGCACTGCAGATCTTGCACCCTGAGCAGGGGCTGGCTGGCCGGTCTCCAATGGGCCCCCCCTTTCAATTCTGATGCCCCGCAGACGGGACTGTTGTGACAACAGACCTTGCCCTGGGGGAGGAGGCTGCCTCGCCAAGGCCTTTTAGCGCAGCAGCCTTGGAGAGAGAGGGAAGGCTGTCTGGAGGGGGAGGAGGCAGACGTCCCCCTCCCCCCCCCAAAAAGGAAGAAGAAGAAGAAGGGGAGTAGAGAGCCAAGCTCATTAGGCAGGCAAGCAAACAAGAGCTTCAAAAAAGTCCAGGAGGGTCCAAGGCCTGTGCTAGAGGAAGCTTAGCAAGCAGCGGTTCCGGCGGTGAGCAACAGGGACAGCTCATCCGAGAGGGATGTCCAAATTGGCCTAAACGAAGCACACATCTGGATGTGGGAGGCGTGGGCCTCAAGAGGCGAAAGAGATGGAGATGTTTTTATTTTGCATGGGGGAGACACAGAGAGAGAGAGAGAGAGAGAGACAGGAGGAGGAGCGAGCGAGAGGCCTAATTGGATCCCACAGGAGGCAAGGATGCTTTTCAAAGGAGGAGGAGAGGAGCTGGCTGTCTGCCTGCTCCTAACAGCAGCCAAGAGCAGAGACATGGAATTGGTTCCCATTCCTGTTTCACAATAGGAGAAGAATGTGAGGCAGGCGGGGAAAGGAAGGGGGGGGGCGGAATCAGCGTGGTTTGCCAGCTTTGGATTTCAAGCACAGCACAACACGCAAAGAGGCATTGCAGGGGGTTGGACTAGATGACCCTGGGGTCCCTTCTGATTCTATTGTCCTTTGATTCTATGACACACACACACAGTCACTTTCTGCAGGGTCAGAGCTGGAGTGGGTGGGGCCAGGGGTGAGGGCGGAGCTTGGAGGGGATTTCAAAGGGGAGGGGAAGAGTCAGCGAGGGCCACACAGTGGCTGAGGCAAGCCAGTCAGATGGGCGGGGTACAAATAATGAATTATTATTATTAATAATAAAAATTACAACTGGCAACAGGCAGATGGGCAAGGCAGATAGACCAGAGCTTCATCTCAGGAGAGCCAGTGGGGGTGGAGTGTTTAAGAGTGCCAGACTAGGACTTGGGAGAGACCAGGGTTCGAATCTCCACTCAGCCACGAAAGTCACCTTGGCAGCCAGTCACTGAGTCCCAGCCTAACCTACCTCATAGGGAGGAAAAGCCATGTGTGCGCCCTTCGGAGAAAAGGGTGAGATATAAACACAATAAATGAATAAAAGCAAAAATAAATGGGAGCTGTAGTAAAAAGAAGAAGGATAAGACAGGATATTAACCCTGCAGATTCAGGGTAGATATAGATATAGATATAGATATAAAGCTACTCTTGAGGTACATTTCTCTCCTCCCATTTTACAGGAGGAGATCTGCTGTTGCCAACAGTATAGCCATGGCCAGAGAATCTGTAAGCTGAAACCCTCAACAACACACCCCTTGTCTTTGCTGGTCCATCGTGGATCAGCATTTCACAGCGCTCACATCAGAGAGCATGTGAGCTCCTTGCCCTGGCATGCAAAGACGACAGGACTGATTTATTCAGAACAGACAAACAACAGTGGAACTCCCTCCCACAGGAGAGAAGTGATGGCCACCAACTTGGGTGGCTTTAAAAGAGGACTAGACAAATTCGTGGAGGAGAGGGCCATCCAAGTCAACTAGCCATCAGTAGAGTCTCATGCTCTACTGACCAAGCTAGATTTTCTTGCTGCAGATTTAAAATCACCTTGATGTAAAATCAAAAAATCAAAAATATGTATCAGCCCACCCTGCCAGCCACCGCCAAAAGATTAAAAAAGAAAAGAGAACACTGCAAAATGTAATTTTTAAAAAGGAACTTTAGAAGCAGGTAAAGGGATGCCTTTGGAAACCCCAGGTAAACACTCTTACTTGGGATAGCTATTCCTCTTAAATTTAATGGGTCCTTTTTCTAAGCAGGAAGTGCAGAGTTACACCAGAAATTGAATCTGCAGGCTTCTTGCACGGAAACTTTCTAAAACAGATTAAAACAGTCTTGCTAGTGAAGTCCACAGGAGACCCATGTAGCCACATACTCTCATAATTCATGACTCGTACAATACTGACAGCTTTGGCTCAACTCTTCTGGTTTACAAAAACCGCCCTGGCTAGTTGTTCGGAAGAGACTATGACTTGCCCTCAAGCCCAATGGGTATCTGCAAGCATGAATCGGAAAAGAGATTCTCCTCTCGCCTTTGCCATCCTAACTGTGACAGCGGCTGCATAGCTGAATGCTTTTAAAAACTATCCGAGAATCCCTGCTGAATCAGATCCAGGGGCCCCTCTGGTCCAATATCCTGTTTCCCACACTATCCGGCCAAGATGCCTCTTCTGGGAAATGACCAGGCAGAGGCGGCAGCAGATCCCCGTTACATCTGGTCGTCAACGATAGACTGGTTTTGTAAATGGAGGTTCCACTCCTCTCGTGACTAATGATGACATTAAAGGATGAGACTATGGGTCCATCCAGATTTAGCCAATCAGGAAGCTCCCAAGCAGGGCAGAAGCCCCTCCCCATCTTGGTGCTCCCAAGAAACTGACAGATATACTGCCTCCCAACCTGGAGGCTTGATATGAGCCGGCATGGTAAATAATCTATTAAGGGAAGCTAACTATTCCAAACAAATAAACCAGTGCTGAATATCGAGAACCATGAATAAGTAAAAATGTGCAAAATAAGGGGTGGGTGGGAAAACACGATACTGACCCACCTTACAGGGCTGATGTCAGTGAACTTGCACAAAGAACAATTATTATTAATATAATTTCCTTAAATGTATATACCCTGCCTTTCCTCTGTTGCAGAATGCAGAGTGGCATATACAGGATTCCCAGATTTGGTGGCTAGTGGCCTCATGTGCCTCCAGACCTACAGATTTATTATTAGTCTGAAAAAGAGACTTATGGAGCCAGGTCAGAGCAATGGACCATCCAGCTTAGCCTGGACTTACTCTGACTGGCAGCAGCTCTCCAGGATCTTTTAACTGGGGGTGCAGGGTGAGGCGTGTGTTGAACCAGGAGCCAGCATCCTGCCATGTACTGAGCCACAGGACCCCTCCTCCTAATTTTGACACCTGGGCCTTCGAGAAAGAGCAAGCTAGCCCCTATGAAGTTTTGGGTGCTTTGGCAAACTGGAACACAAATCCTGGTGGTGTTGGACCTTGGGCCCATCTAGCTCAGTACTGCCTACACGGACTGGCAGCAAAGGATTCAGGCAAGGAACTCTTCCAGGCCTCCCCGGAGACGCCACTGAGGTTTCAACCTGGGACCTCCTGCATGCAAAGCAGAGGCTCTTTTCTGCCCTTCCCCAAAATGATGGGGGAAAGAAGAGAGAAAAAGGAAGAGGATTGAGCCATTCCTGCAACGCACCAGCCTCGCATGGCAGCATCCCTGCGAACTGCAGAGTGCTTTTCTCTCCACGGAGCTCCCCTCCGCCAGCCTCCAGGCAAGTTTTTGCATCCAAAACGGTTGGCTCAAGGAAGCTCGAGAAGAGCCAGCCTTGCATCCGAGGCGCAGAGCCACAAAACCTCCCGAAAGGGCACATCCGCTCACTTACCTCCCCGGAGGACCCTCCTCGGGTGGAGACGAGTATGTGCAGCCCATGGCGGGTTCCGACCCTGTACTTTCATGCCAGCTGCAGGGAGCCAGGAGGGCTGAGCCGCGCTCCGCCGCGAGACAGGCACGCATGCGAGGGGTCCCTCGCCCCCCTGAGCCCTCTCCCGGAGCTTAAAAAGCCAGCGGCCACAGCCCCCCTTTTGTTTAAGAGCGGAGCAGAGCTCTGCATACCAAGTCCCTGCAAAGAGACTGGCTCGATCCCACTGGGATCCGTGCCGGCTGCCTTTGCGAAAGTTACCCGGAGGGTCCGGCACGAACCCAACTATACTCCCAACATCTGGCGGGAGCAGAAAGGAATGAGTGGCGGCAGGGGGGGGGAGAGAGAAACTCAAGAATGAAAACTCCCAGGGTCCCTTGCAACACTCCCCATCTCTCTAACCATTCAAGGGTTGGGGGGGGGGGAGAGAGAGAGAGACGTCTCACGGAGTGAAACGCCCGTTGCCCTAACAACAGGTTTACATCACAGCGCTATTTCTTAATTAAATAATTAAAAGCATCTCTGTCACTTCCCCAGAGTTCTTGTCCCTGCAGGACCTTTTTCAGAACAAGACTCAAGGGGTGTGTGCAGAGGAAGCGAAGGGAGGGGAGAGTGTCCTAAAAGGTTAATCCTCTCCCCCAAAACTTTCTTTAATAAAAAAAGTTGTTCCCCACAGCCAGCCTGCCCCATGGGCCTCGCTGTGGGAAAATGCAGCACGCAGAAGCCACAGAATTAACACGCAGCATATCTTGGCACAAGCTGGTTTGTATTATCCTGCTTTTGCACTGAAGGCAAGCTGCAGAGTCTGCGACAGAAGGAATGGCTGAACGCAGGGCTTCCAGACCCAGAGACCCTCCGTCGCTGCAGCCCCATCTGCAGCATGCATTTAAAGCAGCATCAACAAATGATTTGAAAGAGTCACGGTTTCCCTCAAAGAATCCTGGCAGCTGCAGTTAACATAAGGACATAAGAAGGGTATGGTGCTGATTAACGCCAAGGCTGCAGGTTCGATTCTCTTATGAGACAGCTGCTTATTCCTGCATTTCAGGGGGTTGGACTAGATGCTCCCCAGGGGCCCCTCCAACTCTTATGATTCTATGACTTGAGCAATTGTTTGGGGAGTGACGTGGGTCTGGTTTGTAAGGCAACCCCGCCAGCCTAGGGCTCTCCAAATGTTTTGGGACTCTCGACTCCCACCAGGCTGCTGTTGGAGAAACCATTGCTTCAGTTCTTGGACAGGCCTGGCCACCTGAGAAGCAATCGGTGAGGAGGGTCGTGGGAAAGAGGATGCAAATAAAGGGAAGCCAGCGATCAGGGGCCAAGATTAGAGGCAGAAAAGAGATATTATTCACAGTCAAATGGAAGCAGGAATAAGTGAAATGACAGCAGACTTGGCTATAGTCAAACGAAGCAAAAGATGCATTTTCGACAAACTCCTTTAAACTCCCCGAAAGGTCATGCCTGGTCAGACCTCTGCCTGGGGGGAAAAGGGGGGCAAACTGTAAGTGTGAATAAACGCTTCCTCTGTTCCATTTATTAAGAGAAGTTAATGCATTTTCCTCTAGTGAGGAGGAAGAAGAAAAGACAGCTGTTGATGTATAGAGAACATCTGGAAAGGAGAGACTGAGGCCAACAGGCTGTGAGATAGAATTACAGAATCAGAGAGCTGAAAGGGGGCCGCCAAGGGGCATCTAGTCCAACTCCTTGCAATGCAGGAATCGCAGCTAAAAAATCCCTGGCAGGTGGCCATCCAGCCTCCGTTCAAAAAACTTGGAATGAAGAGTCCACCACTTTCTGAGGGATTCCATTCCACTGTCAAACAGCTCTTGCAGTCAGAATATCGAGTCAGAATCTCCTTTATTGTCATTTGAATCCATTGGTTTGGGTCCTCTCCTCTGGAGCAGGAGAAAACAAGCTTGCTCAATCTTCCATGCAACAGCCCTTCAGGTATTGGAAAATGGCTCTCATGTCACCTCTCAGTCTCCTCTTTACCAGGCTAAACATGCCCAACTCCTTCAAGCGTTCCTCATAAGGCTTCGTTTCCAGACCCTTAATCCTCTTGCTTGCCCTTCTCCGCCCACGTTCTGGATAGACAGCAACAGGAGACAAAATGTCTGTAAAGTAGGGGGGATCCATCACCCTGCAAGGTCACGAAGCGACATGGGAGGAGCATCACCCCACAGGAACAGCCAGCCAGCCCCATGGCAAAATGAGGAGATTGCCTGGGAGGAAAGGACTGCAGGGTTGGTTCCCCTTTCGGGTAATACCTTTTGCATTCTGGAGAATACTTATTCCTTCCCTCTTTTATCATTAGAATGGTAAAAGGCTCATCTAGTCCAGTATTCCTCTTCTCACAGTGGCCAGCCAGGTACCTGGGGAAAAGCAGGATCCCTCTCCCCTCCTGTGGTTTCCAGCAATTGGTTTTCAGAAGCATTCCTGGCCACAGCAACTGTGGGGGCAGAGCAGAGCCAACGACAGCCCTCTGCTACATGAATTTTCCCTATCCCTTTTCAAGCCATCTAGGTTAGCGCCCATCATTGCCTCCTGTGGGAGTGAGTTCCACAGGACCTTTCTTTTGCGAACTGGGACCATGGCATTCCACCTCTCGCAGGTGCATTAACCAAACCGCAGGTTCCTCCCCCTGCTCCCCAGGCTATTTTGTAAACAAAATCCAATCCCTTGAGGAAGGCCCAATTGCTGACCCCCAACTGGGGGAAATGACAGCATTCTCACACAGAGAGCCCTGGGTGGGGCACCCTCTAGGCCTCCTTCACACCATAAAGCAAAGTGGTGTGGTTAAGAGGTTGAGACTTTGAACTGGTTGCACCATCCCAGAAAACATGCTCCACGTGATCTCTGCTGCAATCCTTTGGTATCTACAGTGGTGCCTCGTCTTGCGAGTTCTTGCGAGTTTGTTTCCTTTTTCTTAAAGCCGCTAAGCCGTTAATAGCCACTAAGCCATTAATAGCCGCTAATAGCCGCTAGGCCGCTAATAGCCGTGCTTCGCAAGACGAAAAAACCGCAAGACGAAGAGACTCCCAGAACGGATTAATTTCATCTTGCGAGGCACCACTGTAGATGTGCTCCTTTCTCACACAGCTTTGCCCCTCTGAGCTACGGTAATTTTGGAGGTGATGGTGGTTAACAAGCAATTCTCCTCAAATACTCTCCTGGGCTTAGGAAGCCCCCTTCAGTGTTTTGCAACTGCTGTATGATAGCTTTAAAACCATGACAAAGCACTTGTGAAGCACTTGCTCTGCGCAGTAAGCACCCAGCAGCCCCGCAGGAGTTGCAACATCCCTAAACAGAGTCACTGCTCCCATTCTATAGATGGGGGAAACTGAGGCTGAGAGAGCAGCTCGCTTAAGGTTTCCTCGAACGTTTGCTTCAGAGTTGAGACTCTGAACTGGCGGCCTGCTAACGTACCTTCCTATCAGTCAGGTGGGAGGCAAAGGCAGGATCCAGCACCCCTGCTTGCCGTTAAATGCAGACCTATGTTTACCCCCAGCTTTAAGGAAGACACTTGCAAATGCAACGTCCACCATTAACCTGGCACTGTGGAAACAATGGCACCCTCGAGGTCTTCCCCTGATGCCAACTGAGACTTTTACCTTAGCCTGGTTTGTAGACATCAGCACAGACCCCTCTCTGTCCTCCATCCAGGCCAGCGAGGGGCTTTATCAGTGTCCGAGGACACCTTACAGCCAGGCAAAAATATCTGGGCTATGAAGCAGGGATAGGGAGGGGCTGCGGCCTGAGGAGAGATTCAGGGGCCACACAGAGATGCCTGCAGGGCCACATTCTGCCCCCAGGCCTGAGGGTCGCCACTCCTGCAGGAATAGGTCCACCTACACATAGCAGGAGCAAAGGTGGAAGGTGAACTGGACAAAGGATTCTGCATAGACAACCTCCCCCCCCCACCCAATTATGCTGCCATCGCATTTCAGAGGAGGAGAACCACAAGCCCTGCAGCATCGTTGACTGATACCAGCCAGCGGCACCTGGCAATCTGGGTCAGCTGCCTCTGAACCTCATCGCTTCATACCGTGAATTGCTTTTGTGAAAAAATCCAGCTGAAAGAAATATGCTAGTATGGTGCGGAGGAATCATCCTGTCTGAGGCATATTTAGGGAACTCTCCCTCCCGGCTTAACTCCCCAAGCTGGGATTCGAGGCAGCCTGCTGCATTTTAAAAGCAAACATGACAGAATGCATCGTAAAACAAAGGATCTGAAAACAGTAGTCAAAATACAGTAAAAGCACGTTTAGAACTGGGAATGAAAACTCATTAAAGCCCAGAGATTTGCACTGCCTGCACGTGAGTTTCTAAAGGCCTGCCTGGAGAGGAAGGTCTTAGCCTGCTGGTGGAAGGATAACAGGGAAGGAGGGAGTCAAACCTCTCCTGGGAGGGGATCTCACAATCTGGGAGCAGCCACAGAAAAGGCTCTGTCGTGGGTCACCACCAGCTACACCTCTGGTGTTGGTGGGGTCAAGAGAAGGGACTCACTAGGCAGGTTCGTGTAGGGAGACACGATCTTTCAGGTAGCCTGTGCCCAAGACACCTAGGGCTTTGTAGGACATAATCATCAGTTTGGACTGTGCCTGGAAACAGACTGCTAGCCACTGAAGTTGTCTTAACGTGCTTCCTGTACCTAGGCCCAGACACCAGTCTGGCCACAGGATTTGGGGCCAGCGGAAGCTTCCAAACCCTTTCCAAAGGCTGCATGTGCAACATGACTCCAGCACTCGCCTCTCTGAAGCTGTTGGGTGTAAGTTGCCATGGGTGAAACCCATGTACCTCGCCACCAACCCACTCACCCCGTTGGCGGCTGGATTTTCGTAAAGTCGGGGACCTCCTCTTTCTTCTTGCGGAAGAAAAACCAGTACGTCAGCAAGCCGATGATGATGGAGAAGAGGAAGACGTCCGTCATGCTGAAGGGGACCGAAGCCTCCGGGGTCTTTGCGGAGGGAGAGTCATCCTTGGATGATGCTGTCCCCATGGCAACGGGAAAACTAAAGCGAGGAGGAGAAAGAGATAGCCGTCACATGTCACATATCGGTTTCAGGTCTTGGCAAGAAAGCAGAACTTCTGGAACGAAAGCAGCCTCCCGGCTGCGGGGAGATGAGCAGGGATCAGCTCTGTAGCGGCAAGAAGCAACCTCAGAATATTGTGAAATAATAATAAAGAGCACCTCTGAGCATAGCCAGAGTTTCTTAAACAGAGTAGCTGCAGCCACCTACAGAGAGGAGCAAGGTAGTGTGATGTATATGCTACAACTTTCGAAGATTTGACTTGAGATAAGAGTTTGACAGCACGCTGTCAGCACTGCCACACCTTATAAAATTTCGCAAGGCATGTGGGAGGCTCATGAGTGCGTCAGTGAGTCTACTCCACAAAGAGAAGGCAAATATTCCTTTTCTCTCACAACGGCGCAAGCTTTATCCTGCCTTTCTAGATGTCAACTTCAAGGCAGCTCGTGTTGTTCTTTGCTACAAAAGAGAGCATGGCGTAACAGGCGAAAGACACACAATCCAAACCAGCAGCACCAAAGAACAACGTCATAAAGAAAGCCTCATACTGAGTCAGACCACTGGCCCATTTATCCAAGTACTGTCTGCACTGACTGGCAGCAGCTCTCCAAGGTCTCTCCCAAACCTACCCGGGGATTGAACCTAGGACCTTTGGCCTGCAAAGCAGGTGTTCTAACCACTGAGACACAGCCTTTCCCTGTTATTCTGCGTGTGGATTGTGTTTGACTTTCACGGGGCCACAGCAGAGAGAAGGGAAATGACAGCGGCACCCACTCCAGAATTTGTTTTATTCTGGATTGCTTCATTTGATGTTTTAATGTTAAAGTGTTGCAAACCGCTTTGAGGTTTCTTCTTTAAAATATAAAGCGGTGTAGAAATGAAATTAGTAACAACGAAGCATGTGGGCTTTTCGTCTCTGTTTTAGCTGGGGGTTGAATGGGATAAAGACACAGCCTGACTGCAGAGAATAAAATGATTGGTTTCCTGCGTGGAATGCCATCGCCCCTCCTCTCCCGTCACTGACGTTTCCACAGTCCCTTCGCTCTCTCTCTTTCCCACCCAACACACCCTCTCTCTCACATCCTAAAATAAATAAAACTTCTAGCGCATATGTGTCATGGACTGTCTGGATGCAGAGGAGTTGTGCGAGGCAGCGGCTGGGGAACCCCCTGGGGAACCCGCAGAAGGCGGCTCAGAGCCAGAGGACTGGTGGTGAGACAGGCAATGAGTAGTCAAGGGAGAAGGGGAAGCAGACTGGGAGGAAGAAGTCTCAGAAGCTAAAGAGGCAACAGGGTTTAGTGAGCAGGAAGAGGCTGTGGCAGAGCACGGTTCAGACTCCAAGGCTGAAGCAGAGGCTGGAGAGGAGTGGGGTCCAAGAGGCAGCTGAAGAATCCAGGAAGTCTCCCCCTCCTGCTGCAACCAGCTCCCCTCCCCCATGGTCTCCCAGGACACACAGTGGAATGAAAAGAGCAGAGCAAAGATTTGTTGTGTGCAGACTGCATGGGGGAAAGCCTGGAGAGGAGGAGTCTAAGAGAGGGATCCTTGCAACTGCATTATCGGGGCGAGAGCTGCTAGGAAGAGTTGTGGAGGCTTGAACTCTGTGGTTCGTATCCTTGAGTAAAGATTTAACTTCACTGGCCTGGGGTGATGTTTGTTGCTGACCTATGCCTGAAGCAAGCCCTGATAATATGCAAAGCTAAGCAGGGTCTGATTATGGCTGTTTCCTACATCTCAACTTTCAGAAAGACTCCAAGAAAGCTGGGACTCTGGAATCGAGGGCGTGGGAAGAGCCAACAAGTTGTGTAAGAGGGAAAAACTCACTTTCCATGGCTCATCAGTGCGCACCTTCCTGCTTGAGCTGTGGGAAGGGGGCGGCGGGGGAAGAGGCTCAAAGACCCAAAAATGTCCTCAGGTTACATAAAAGGCACAACCCTTTACTGAGTGCATTTTTGACCTTCTGCCTCCTGAAAAGAGCTTTCCCTGAGAGGAAGAGAAGTGGGCAGGGAATTCATAGAGCATGGTGGTTAGCAGTCAAACAGGCCAGGCAGCATTGGTGACCTGACAGGTGCGTTTATAACAGTAAACACAGAGTACACACTCTGTTCTGCATTGATTCATCTGCATTTCAAGCCAACCTTTGCCAATTTCAGCGGGCTGGGGGCTGATGGGAGTTGTGACCCCAAATTAATCAGCCCCAGCCCACTGCAGTCCAAAACATCTGGAGGTGGTAAAAATAAATGGTGGCAGCCTCTGATGTCTTAAGAGGGACCGGGCCATGCAAAGGATGCTCCGATGTCACAGCATTCCAGCCAATGGAAAGCCTGAGAGGCAGGAAAGGCAAAAGGTGGGGTCCAAAAGAGGGAGAGGGAGATGAAATGGCAAAGAGGAGGGAGAAAAAGAGGCAGATCAAAGAATAAGGTGTGAATATGTAAGAAAGGATTTGAAGCGGGAGTGGCTCAGAGGAATGAGCAGAATGCTGGAGGAGTTTGGTGAAGAGAGAAAGGAGGCAGAGTTCAAGAGAGGACAACATTTGTATTCCAATCTGGTGCAAGAATGCAGTTGGATTAGATGAGGTGGTCGTGCTTCTGTGCCTTGAAAGCAAAGAATCCTTGTGGACAAGAGCCCCAATTTATATCAGGCCAGAAGCTCACCCAGTCCAGCATCCTTTGGGAAAGGCCACAGCTGAGTGGAAGAGCACCTGCCTTGCATGCAGAAGGCCCCAAATTCAATCCCCAATTGGCATCTCCAGGTAGGGATGGAATATCCTGTGCCTGAAACCCTAGAGCAGGGGTCTGCAACCCGCGGCTCCGGAGCCGCATGTGGCTCTTTTAGACCTTTGCCGCGGCTCCGGGGCGGATACTAGCGAGGGGAGGAGGCGCATTGTGTGCCCTGACACTCCCCACTGTGGCGGGCGCTGTACTGGCTGTGACGTCGCATGGGGGCGGTGCCTGCGTTAGTCACGCACCGTCCCGACGTCACCTTCCCGCCCGCCCGCTACATTGTAAGGGGCATGTACGCTGGTCACTGCATTGAAAGGGGGCATGTACGCTGGTCACTGTTTTGAAGGGGAGTGAAGAACACACACACACAAAAAGGTAACTTGTTAATTTAATGTTTATTTCTATGAGGAGGAGTAATTCTGAGGGGTCAAACAAAGAAATAATAAAAAAGTGACAAAAAAGTTATTTTTATAATGACGAGTTTTGCGGCTCCCAGTTTTTTTTTCTTCGGAAACGGGTCCAAGTGGCTCTTTTTGTCTTAAAGGTTGCAGACCCCTGCCCTAGAGGGTGCCTGAGCTAGAGGAACCAATAGTTTAGTTGCGTATAAAGCAGGTTAGGAACTGCCATAGCCCAGGGGTAGAACAGGTGCTTTGCATGTAGAAGGTCCCAAGTTCCATCACCATCTCCAAGTAGGGCTGGGAGGGTTCCCTGTCTGGAACCCTGGAGTGCTGCTGCCAGTCAGTGTAGACAATACAGGATGAGATGGACCAATGTTCTGACTTGAGAGCCACTAGTGGTGTAGTGTTTAGAGTGTCAGATTAGGACCTTGGGAGACCAGGGTTCAGCACTCCACTTGACCACAAAGTTCCCTGGGTGACCTTGGGCCAGTCACTGCCTCTTAGCATAAACTACAGGAGAACCTTGGTTCCCAAACGGCTTAGTTGCCAAATAAACTGGCTCCTGAACGCGGCAAACCCGGAAGTAAATGTTCCGGTTTGCAAACATTTTTGGGAAGCCAAACGTCCACTGCAGCTTCTGATTGAGTGCAGGAAGCTCCTGCAGCCAATTGGAAGCCGTGCCTTGGTTTTCGTATGGTATTGGGAGTCGAACGGACTCCCGGAACAGATTAAGTTCGAGAACCAAGGTACCACTGTACCTCAAAGGGTCATTGTGAGGATAAAATGGGGGGGGGGTATGTAGACCACTTTGAGCTCCTTGGAGAAGAAGGGGGGGGGATATAAATGCAATAAAAAACTGGAATCAAATGGAATGAGGCCATGTTAGAAACTCAGGTATAGAAGCTAATTGCCAAATAGCACCTTAAAGCTCAGTTATGGTATGTCTAGGCGCCTTTCTTTCCCCCTGTAGGGCTTGTGGTTCTTGATGTTCATTTCATTTCTACACCATTTTATATTTTAAAGGGAAAAAATCTTCCAGCTAAGGATTGCCATTTTGACATCTCCCAAACTGTCCAGATCGGTGTCGTAAATTGAACTCCCACTTCTCCCTGCTGGCCTTGCCTCTCAGATAAAACACCTGGATTTCTCCCTGCCGTTCTTATTGGTGAGCGTGGGCACGGGGCCAAGAATCCCCTACAAAGCTGTGATTTTCTTGGTAGCGTGTCAACAAGCAAGGCTTGAGTGTGACGTGTGGGCAAAGGACTTCCTCAGTCGTGCAGAAACCAGGTGGCACCGGAGAGCTGCCGGAAGAGAAGTGGTTTGCTGTCATCTCATCCACCCAACACCCCTGTTTCAGGCAGGCAACCCGGTGCTTTCCCCTATTCCAGGCCAGCTGGTAAACTTGGGAGGAAAGAGGCCGGCGTGGCAACTTTTCCCAGCACAACGGCCCACACACAACCACCACGGAACGGAAATGCCTCCTGCGGGGCACTGAGCCCAGCCTCCCGCACACATCGTGCCAGCTCTCTGCGCTCCAAAGTCACGTTGTGCAAGCAGGGTTGATGCAACCGTGGAGCAACACAATGGAGGCTTATCCGCCTGTGGCTGGGAAGGGCAGCTGAGAGTCACGTTCCTCAGGAGCCAGGTGATCAGCTGAGAGCACAGGACAAAGGACTCCAGGGCAAAAGCCACCGTGAACAGTGCCTAGCACTACGGACAACCAGTTCCGCATCATAAACATTAGGAAGAACTTGGAGGCATTTAAACAGAGGTTGGGTGGCCACCTGGCAGGAATTCTTTGGCTGTGAGCGGGGGGTCAGACTAGATGACCCCTGGTGCCCCTCCCAACTCTGTGGTGTTATTATTGTTTTGCTGCCTGTCACAGATGCCAATCTGAAAGGGCTATAGGCTCAGTGGTCTCCTCTGTATGTAGAAGGTTCAATCGCTGGCATCTCTACGGAGGGTTGAAAATATCCCCTGAAGAGCCACTGCCAGCCAAGGCGGGCACTACTGAGCGAAATGGACCCAGTGGCTTAACTCAATTTAAAGCAGCAGCTCATGTTCCTGTTTAATTCAGTCATTTGTCCAGAGGCATGAGGACTAGAACCTTAGCTTGCTTTTAGATGACAGGCAACAGCTCAGTAGCAGAGCATCTGCTTTGGAGGCAGAAGCTCCCAGTTTCAATCCCCAATGGAATCTTCCAGGTAGGACTAGGAATGTCCCCCCTGGAGACCGGCTGCCAGTCTGTGTAGACAACACTGGGACTGGTCAACTGAGATCAAACTTACTGCATCAAAAAGCTCATTAACTGTCTCTAAAGTTTTTATCACCCAACCAAAAGAAATTAAATTAAGTGCATGACTTTTGGCCCAGTGGTTCCCAACCTTTCTGGCACGGTGACCCCCAAGTCCCAATCTGTTTGGTACAGTGGACGCTTGGGTTGCGAACGTGATCCAGTGTGAGAGCCAGTGTGGTGTAGTGGTTAAGAGTGGTGGACTCATAATCTAGGGAACCAGGTTCGCGTCTCCGCTCCTCCACATGCAGCTGCTGGGTGACCTTGGGCCAGTCACACTTCTCTGAAGTCTCTCAGCCTCACTCACCTCACAGAGTGTTTGTTGTGGGGGAGGAAGGGAAAGGAGAATGTGAGCCGCTTTGAGACTCCTTAAAGGGAGTGAAAGGCGGGATATCAAATCCAAACTCTTCATCCGTGCGGGATGCACGTTCGCAACCCGTGTCTGCACACGCGCGGGTTGCGATTTAGCGCTTCTGCACATGCACAACCGTCGAAACCCGGAAGTAACCCGTTCCAGTACTTCTGGGTTTCGGCGGTCCACAAACCGAAAAAACACCACCTGAAGCGGCTGTAACCCGAGGTATGACTGTATATAGCAACCCATTGATTTATTGCCACAGACCTGCCTGGAAATGCAATTGGTACCAGGGACCTTCTACATGCAGAGATTCTACCACTGGGCCACAGGACCTCTTAGAAGAGGGATGTTCTCTCTTGTGACAGTAACCTCTGCTATGGCTGCCTTTGCCATCCACATCTGAAGGAAGCATTTTGGAAAATACCATGTCCGGTCCCCCCCACCAGATACTTTTAATCGGAGGCATCCGGGATTGAACCTGGTCCCTTCTGTATGGGAGGTGGGTGCTCTACCCCTGAGAAGTGGCAATTCCTACATCTCACCTATACAGAAGCAAAGATAAACCACTTACCCACCAGGTAGACCAGTGCATAGATTTGTGTACGTGTGGAATGAGACAACTGCAACTGTTGATAGGGCAGGGAACTAAGTTACTCAAGATGCAGTGGGAGGAGGAGGAGGCTGGCACGCGAACGCCTAGGATTTCACCTGTCACTCTCGCCTCCCACCCAGATCTGGGTGCGAGTTCCACCCAGTGGGACATGTGCTGTTACCCCAGGACACAACAGAAGCCTTTGGCTCTTCCCAAACTGGTCAGCATTAATTATTAATTATTAATTATTAATTATTATTATTATTATTATGTACCCCGTCCGTCTGGCAGGGCAGCTTCCGACAAAGATTAAAAATACATTAAAATGTCACACATTAAAAACTTCCCTGAACAGGGCCCGCCTTCAGATGTCTTCTAAATGTCAGGTAGTAGTTTATCTCTCTGACATTACTGCAGAGGGAATTATTATTACTTTAAAAATTAAGAATGTCAGGCCAGTAACAGGCTAGTACCAGGAAGTGTGTAATGTCTGACGTTTTACTATGTTTTTATATGTGTTGTTGTTGTTGTTAGTCTTTTCAGACTGTAAGCCAGCTGACAGAGACAGCCCAACACCTGAAGAACCACAGATTCCCCATTCCTGGGGCAGACAATACAAGCTGGATAGACCAGTGGCTTCAGTTCATAGAAGTTGCTTCCTATGTTCATTACTTAAGACTCCAGCTAAATCTGAGCCCTCATCTTTTCCTCCCCACCCGCTCCAAATTTAGAGCTGCATGGTCCTTGGGGCAGGGACCCATTTGCTTATCCAGCTACCCTTGATGACGCAGAAACTTCAACTGGTCCGAAATGCAGCAGCCATACTGGCTGGGGTCTCGTTTAGATCTCAGACAACCCCTGTTCACAAAGAGCTGCATGGGTTGAGAGTCCATTTTCAGGCACAATTCAAGGTGCTCATATTAGCGTTTTAAGGCCTCAGGCTCCAAATGCTTGAAAGACAGCTTCTTTCCCTACAGACCGCCCCCCCCAAAGGGGGTGACAGCAGGCATGAAATCAAAAGACGCCTGCTTCTTGGGAAAAAAGCGATGACAAACCTAGACAGCATCTTTAAAAGCAGAGACATCACCTTGCCAACAAAGGTCCATATAGTTAAAGCTATGGTTTTCCCAGTAGTGATGTATGGAAGTGAGAGCTGGACCATAAAGAAGGCTGATTGCCAAAGAATTGATGCTTTTGAATTATGGTGCTGGAGGAGACTCTTGAGAGTCCCATGGACTGCAAGAAGTTCAAACCTATCCATTCTGAAGGAAATCAGCCCTGAGTGCTCACTGGAAGGACAGATCCTGAAGCTGAGGCTCCAATACTTTGGCCACCTCATGAGAAGAGAAGACACCCTGGAAAAGACCCTGATGTTGGGAAAGATGGAGGGCACAAGGAGAAGGGGATGACAGAGGATGAGATGGTTGGACAGTGCTCTTGAAGCTACGAACATGAGTTTGACCAAACTGCGGGAGGCAGTGGAAGACAGGAGTGCCTGGCATGCTCTGGTCCATGGGGTCATGAAGAGTCAGACATGACTAAACAACAATCAGCAGAGGGGGTCCTCTTGACTGTTCCTCTATCCTCAGTGGGGCTGGGAGATCGCCTTCTCTGTTGTAGCCCCCTAAGCTGTGAACTCGTAAATGCTGAGGACGTGCCTTTTTACCCTGGCTTTTGACACCTGAGGTCAGGTGTACGCTTCTTGGGTCCACTCTATTTCTGCGATTGGAAGTTGCTTTAAACAGTTTTTAATATCGTGTTTTAATTGCTGCAGCCTGCCCTGGCACCATAGGGCAAAGGTCCATCTAGCTTAACATTGTCTACACAGGCTGGCAGCAACAGCTCTCTAGGGTTTCAGGCCAGGGACATTCTCAGCCCTACCAAAAGACGCCATTGGGGATTCAACCTGTGACCTCCTGCATACACAGCAGATGCTCTATCACCAAACCTGGCTGATTAAAAGTAATACCAGTCAGGTGCATCTGAAAGGGAGCAGCACCATCTGAAAAGGGCAAGGCAAAGCTTTCAAAAACACATGCCACCAAAACACTGAAAGCCACGATGTCGTCTCTGCTCACGTTGCAGGGTTGGCCACCGCAAAACCCAAACCTCTCAGGTGTTAATCCATTTTGAAGAGCACACCTTGTCTGAGAGCATGCACGGAAGCCACCCAGCTATAATGTTTTGTGCAAAGATTAGCCGTAGAGTTAGGGTCAAGTTACATTCTCTGCCCCACGTGTCTTACATAAGAGCCATTAAACACAGGGCTCTTTTGGTCTCTTGCAGCAGGCGTGGGACACGTAATACACACATACACACACAAGCGCGTAAATATTATCTGAGCAAGTTTGCTTTTCGAGAGCTGTTAATCTGCCCACTACAGGTAATTTGGGTTTTATTCAGACAAGAGGCTATAGAAAGCAAAATGGGACTGAAAGAACCTCCTGAGTGTACATAATTTGGTGCAATTTGCAGAATTTCATATTTTGGGTAGTTGCAGTGACCTCAGATGGAGTCGATCTGACATTTAAACACTCCGCCTGAGATAGGAAAACATCTGCCTGACAGCCTCTCTTGAAACAATACTGAATTAGTTTTTGGAGATCCTCCCCAGCTCTTTCGCCAAGAAGATTTTAAAAGTCAAAATTCAAGAAAAGCGATTTCGAAACCAACGCTCCTGCTTTCTGAATTCCTTTTCTAGAGACGATGTGGGCAACCTATTCCTCTGGACCAGAAGACACAGCTAACCAGCACGATCCCCTACCTCCTGCTCTAAACTGTATGCAAATACACACAAAGAATCATTAAAGTGTGCTTTAATCTATGGCCTTCCAGATGTTGCTGGACTACAACTCCCATCATCCCAGGCTTTTGGCCGTGCTGGCTGGGGCTGATGGGAGTTGGGAGTCCAACAACATTTCAGAGGACCCCGTGGTCCCCATGCCTGATTTAGAGGGAAGCGTTGTAGCTCACTGGGAGAGCACCTGCTTTTGTAAAAGATTCCAGGTTCAATCCCCCAGCATGGGGCTGGAAGAGACCCCTGCCTGAAAGCCTGAAGGGCTGCTGCCAGTCAGTGTAGATGATGCTCAGCTAGATGGACCAATTGTAGTGATCAGGTGGGATTGCTATAAGGAATTATAACAAATAAAGAGTAAGCCATCTGTGTCAGCAATGAAAGCATTGCGTTGACTGGGTTTAAACTATTTTGATATGATTTTTGATCAATCCACACCTCTGCACCCCTGTTCCATTTCTCTGTCTTCACAAGTCACATACACACTTAGACAGGCAGGGTCCTGGGTCATCAGAGACAGTGGGCAGTTTCTTTGAAGTAGCGTTTCTGATATGTTAATCCCAGGATGTTAATCTTAGGGCCAGGAAACAGATCTCACCTGAAGGTGATAATGATCCTGTCCTGCTGGCCATCCTTCTTATCATATATATTGCTTGTTTATGACCTCAGGGTTGCCAAATGCTCTCCTTTGTAGTTCTGTTTTATTTACCCCATGCTTAATTAGTTTTGGTAGTTTAACTTTGTTCCCACATGGGGTTTGTTGAAATGCTCAGATAAAATCTGATTGGTTCTTACGAACACTCTGTAAAAGTTCTTTTGTGATTAAAACGACCTGGCCCGAGGGGTGGAGGCACGAACAGAGAGAGACCCTTCCAAGAGTCTTGCTGGTTCAAGTCTCTGTGTGTATTCTTATTAATCAGAGTTCAATCCTTCCTTTACTTTGTGAACGCCTCACCAATGGTCCAACTCTGTCAAAGGCAGTGTTTGTATGGAATGAAACAGTCCACTAATCAGGGATCTAGATCAGGGATTCCTAAACAGGGGTCCATGGATCCCAGGAGGTCAATGGATGGGCTTCAGGGGGTCTGTGAACCAGATTCCCAACCCCCAGTGAAATAAAATAATTTGCATGCAACATTTTGTGTTTGTATGAATTTTTCTGGCAAATAGCTTTCATCAGATTCTCAAAGGGATCTGCGGTCCCAAAAAGGTTAAGAGTCACTGTTCAATTCTATCAGTTGACAATAGGCTAAATAGAGGCGCCTGCTTCTGGACAAGCCATACCATGATGTCCAGCTTCACACATTTTAAGAGTCTGACAAAGGGTCTTCCACTGGCAATTTGTCACCAGCCAACTGGACCCCTTAAACCAAGAATGTTATCTCACAGATATCTCACAGAATCATACTGTTGGAAGGGACCCTGAGGATCATCAAGTCCAACCCCCTCTAATGCAGGAATATGCAGCTGTCCCATACGGGGATCAAACCTACAAACCTTGGCGACGCCAGCACCACTCTCTAACCAACTGAGCTATCCAGCTATCCAACTGGTTATCCGAGATAACAGGTGAGATACAGTCAAGGACACAACCATATGCTTAGCTGTTAATACGATAACAGCGTTAGCTCCCCCAGAGTGGTGTCGCAATGGGTGGGGGGGGCGCCCCGGGTTCCATGTCTGGGGAGTTACAAGAAGACACCCCGTGGGGGCTCGCCACGCCGCCAACAGCTATCACGCCGCTGCCACCGCATGTGGAGGATCCTCCGTTTGAGGCTGCAGCCGCGAGCAGAGGATTCCGGGGCTGGCAGCAAACCACCATGTACAGCACATGTGCGGCATCGCACACATGTACTGTATGTAACAACGCCACACATGCACCATATATAGCAGTTTGCCGCTGGTGCCACTCGAGCGCCGTACAGACAGTGGTGGGATCCCTCCATCGCCGCTATAGCCGCATGTAGACGATCCTCCATTCACAGGTGCAGCGGTGAGCAGTGGATCCTGGCACCGTCCATACGGCGCTGGAGCACCGCTGCTGGCAAACTGCTATGTACAGCGCATGTGCAGCGTCGCTACGTACGGCGCATGCAAACCTGCAGAGTTTTTTGCAAAACCTCCCCCCAAAATGTATTTTTAAAGCTATTTTTAAAGAAATTTGACCCCAAAAATCCAACACTTTCGACATGGGTTGCCATACGCCCGGGTTTTCCTGGACGCTGTTTTCAACAGACAAATCCCATATATGGATGGCAGCCCTATAAAAGTGTAAAAAGAAATAAAGCTGTAGCTTCCCAGGCTGTCCCTACAAGGCAATTTCCACTTTCAGAAGCAATTTGAGAGGACTTATGGGAAGACTGCATGGAATTATGGGAACATGGCCAAGGCAAGACTCAGGGATTGTCACGGTAGTGGTGCCCAGTGCCAGTGAGGTGGGCATGGTCTGTATATTCCACCCATCGCACCTCAGGCAGATCAAGATGCCCCACCAAACCTGGGTAAATAACACCTCACATTTCCCCAGAACGGCTCCAGCACAGCTTTAAGAACAACATCCAGCCATAAGCAACAGGGCAGTTATATAATACCAAAGGAGGCATTTATGCATTCATCATGCCAGTTAGCAACACAATCTCAATACCAGGGCGGGGATGAGTGTCTCTTTATTCAAACAGAGTCTCAGGGAGATCAGTTACAGCTCAGCCACTCAACACAACCCTCTCCAAAATGGCTTGCAAAAGAAGCTCAGAGAAAGAGTTGTCCCCAAGACTGCAAGTTTTCCTGACAGTAGCCTTTCCCAAGGGACTCTTCAGCTGTGATTCCTGCATTGCAAAGGGGTGGATTTGATTACCCTTTTGAGGTCCAGTGATAGAAACATAGATATATAAGCCAATTGCCAAATGGCACCTTAAACCTAGGTTACGGTCACAACAGAATGTCTAGGTGCCATCTTTCCCCCGTGGGGATTAATAAATAATAATTATAATAATTATACAGTCGTACCGCAGAAGTCTGTTCAACTTCCAAAACGTTTAGGAACCAAAGCGCAGCTTCCAATTGGCTGCAGGAAGCTCCTGCAGCCAATCGGAAGCCGTGGAAGCCGCAACGGATGTTCAGGTTCCAAAGAACGTTCGCAAACCAGAACAATCACCTCCAGGTCTGCGGGGTTTGGGAGCCAAAACGTTTGTCTCACAAAGCATTCGACTTCCGAATGTAATATCATTTCTATATTGCTTTATATTTTAAAGAAGAAATCTCTAAGTGGTTTACACCACATAAAAACATCAAATAAAACAATCCAGAATAAAACAAATGCAAGCTTCAAGGAAAATATTTCAGATCCTTACAAAGTGACATTCTGCTTTCCTCATATTTATTTACCTACTCAATTTATAGAGCTGCCCCATAGCATACTCTAGCAAGCCAGTGGGGTATAGTGCTTAGAGTGCCAGACTAGGACCTGGGAGATCAGGGTTCGAATCCCCACTCAGTCAGGAAGCTCACTGAGTGACCTTGGAATCAGTCACAGCCTCCTAACCTACCTCAAAGGGTCGTTGTAGGATTAGCCAAGGAGGAGAATGAACCATGTACTAAATGGAGAAAAAGGTGGAATATAAATGCAAGAAATAAGCTCTTCTGTTTACCTGCTTAAGAAAGCTGGAGAGGCCAGTCAGATGGAGAGATGTCAGTCACCAACCTGCCACCCACAGATCTCCATGTGGTTGCAATTGGACCCACACCAAGCACAAAAAGTGCCCACTGCCTAGGGCATTTTGAACCCTATAGTCTATTAAGCCTGCGGTCTCCTGATATTTTTTGTGCACAATTTGCCTTCAGCACCCAGCAAGTAAAAGTTATGCTGTACAGTTGATTATTTATCAAATGCTTGAGGAACTTGGTCTCCAATATATCTAAGGGTTGATTTCTGAATTCTGATATCCAAATAATCTGACTATCCCCAAATACTGCCAGAATGGCCCCGACATCTCCACCATTTGGCGGAGCATGCCTGGGGATCCTTGGATCTTTACTGTTTTTCACACACCTGCAACACATCCTGTAGAATTCTACCCCTTGCAACACATCCTGTAGAATTCTACCCCTTAAATTTTATCTGCACAATCAGAATGAAATTCAGGAACCAAAAAATCATATTGAAAAATATGGCTTTTGAGGCGTTTGGTCCAAAAATGGCAACTAGGCATTCCATTTTGGTGACTGTTGCCCAGCTTATATATCTGAGTGTCTTTAACACTTGGTTTGTGCATGGCTAAAATGGGGCCACTCTTTAAACCAGGTGGTGGGTATTTTCATGCAAATGCTCCCAGCGCCCTTAAACTGCAGCTCCCAAAATTTGGGGGGGGGGGGGAGCCATAACTGCTTAAAGCACTGAGAATGCATGGGGTTACTGTGGCCCTAAACCAGGCATGGGCGAACTCGGCCCTCCAGACGTTTTGGGACTACAACTCCCATCATCCCTAGCTAACAGGACTGGTGGTCAGGGATGATGGGAGTTGTAGTCCCAAAACATCTAGAGGGCACCGAGTTTGCTTATGCCTGCCCTAAACCTTCTCCATTGGAAGAACTTCATGGCAGGGAAAGAGAAATATTATGCAATGCAAAAGTTTCATGATACAAATTGGTTGGAGTGTGGGAGGGAGATTCTCAAAGCACCTGGCCAACCAGAGACCAAGAACGAACCCCATTCCAGGGCCAGGTTCAGTGCATTCTGGGGCACATGCCAAGCTTGGCTTACGCAGAGAGAAGACACCACCCTGCCAAGTCATGGCAAAGGTTATCCCAAAGGCCAGTGCCAGACCAGGACTGCCCAAACAGCTTAGGCTTCTTGGGAGACCTTGTCCTAATGGAAGCAATGGTGCCCTTGAGCCAACAGATGGCGCCGTCCCTTTAAATGCAACAGCCTGGCAAGGAGCCAGACCCTATGCAAAAACCTGAGGTTGTTCCTTCCTCAAGTGTTAGAAAGGAACAAGCAAAGTCGAGGGCCTTATGCAACAAGAGAGAAATAATTTCCAAGTATCACAGGGAGGAACACACAGCTTTAACAAACAAACGTGCTCAGGAAGCTTGGACCCAAAGCAGGTCCGCGCAACCAGGGCTGGAAAACAGAACATTCTGAACAGCAACAAGCAACACGTCGGCCAATAATATACTGGCAACGTTTTTGTAACACTACACTGTTCCAAAATTCATAATCAGAAGACATATAATATGTGTGTGGAGAACTAAAATTATGGAAAGGGCTTGTGACTTTAATTATCCACCACCACAATCTTTTACTGGTTTTAAACAGGCATGGGGAAGGAAATGGGTACTTGTGGGTTTCATTAAGCTACCCACATACACACCCTTTGGCTAGTTTTGCCCTAGCCAGCACTGTTTTTCGCATCTTGATTTTTTAGGAAATATTGGTTGCATTTCATAGTTTCTTGTTTTTATTACTTCACAAATCAGCTAGAGGCCTTGACTGACGGGCGGTGCAAAAGTGGCCTAATAAAACAATCTCCTATAATCAGAGTCACTATAATCTGCTACTAACATCTGAAGTCACGCCTAGCATTGAAGAGTCACATGACCTAAGACGTGCCTGGTTGCTGAATTAGGCCAAAGGGATGGGGGGGGGGTTTATAGTCCAGCAACCTGTTCTCACAGTGGCTAACCAGATCCCTTGGACCTGAACACAACAGTGCTCAAGATCCCCAGCATACTGCCTCCGATACCAGGGGACAGCATATAGTTCTCAGTCCACCTATAAAACGTGCTTTGAAAGGCAAGGAGAGAAAAAACCATCTACCAGGACTCCCAAGTAAAACCAGGTGAAAGACGTCTGAGTTTGCTTGGGGAAAAGCTGTTGATGCCCATGCTCCAGAAAAGACTGGAGTCCAGGGGGCCATGATAGTCAAAACATTCCTTGCTGTCACATCTAATCCCAAAGAAGTTGGTTCTTATTATCCACGGTCCAGAAAACTGAACAAGTGCTCCTGGCTCACAAACACTGTGCTTATTCAGGAGGTCCTTGGTGTCCACATTGCATAACCCCCACAGCAAGCAACGCTCCAGAATCTGGCTTCCATTCAAAGAATTGCAGAGTTGGAAGGGACCTGATGGTCATCTAGTCCAACCCCTGCAATATTTCGCCCAGCATGGGGATTGAACCCACAACCATGAGATTAAGAGTCTCATGGTCTACCAACTGAGCTGTCATCATCATCATCATTATTACATATTTATCTATCCCCTGCCTTTCCCCCTGTAGCTTCTTTCCAGAGCACAAGCTCTCTCTGATAGACAGTTCTGGTAAAGTATACATGTAGCCAGGATCAAAGTGCCTGCAAGGATTTGAAAGCCCCAGGGTCCCGAAGGAAGGCGCCCACCCTCAACATCAAGGATGGAGGACACCCTGTAGTCCTCACTATGTTTTTTGGATTCGGGCTCCCAGCAGCCCCAGCTACCATGGCCAATGGACAGGGATGATGGGAGTTGCAGTACAGCAACAGTCAGAGCTGCACAGGTTGTCCCCAACCCTGAGACACATCTATTTACAGTGGTACCTCTGGTTAAGAACTTAATTCGTTCTGGAGGTCCGTTCTTAACCTGAAACCGTTCTTAACCTGAGGTACCACTTTAGCTAGTGGGGCCTCCCGCTGCCGCTGCGCAATTTCTGTTCTGATCCTGAAGTAAAGTTCTTAACCCAAGGTGCTACTTCTGCGTTAGCGGAGTCTGTAACCCGAAGCGTTTGTAACCCGAGGTACCACTGTATTGTCTTCATATCCCATCTTTTCCCTCAAAGGACAAATACACGGTTCTCCCACCTATCCACATTTCATCTCCACAACAACAACAGTAAAAATCTGTGTGTATGATTGCTGTTTTTAAAAGGCTTTGATTTTTATCTGTTATGCTGGGGAACTCTGGCTCTTCGAAACATACTCCTTGTTCCTCAAAGAAGAAGGAAGCCCTGCAGCAGCTCCAAAGGAACTCAGAAGTCGCAGACTTAGCAAAGAGATAACATATATTTTAAGACCTTAAAAGAAAATTCAGAGGTCTGAGTTCACTTCATTCCTCCGCGTCCCAAGTGAACCCAGGAGTCCAGCACCATTCGCATTTAACTACCAGAGAAACCCTATGACTCCTGGTTCTGTAAGACACCCTTGAAACGCCCCCTTGAAAAGGGGGTCCCCGATTTATTTAGCTGTTTGCTGCCTTCAGCCCCTTCCCCCCCCCCCCCCGTCCTTGCGGAACAAGCACAGGACGCTTTTCTCAACTCGACCTGCACGAATCTGAACTTTCCTCTACTTCTTACTTAAAGGGACCCAGGCGTCCGGCCTCCGCTCACATCTTCCTTTTCAAAGCAAAATGGACCCAGGAGTCCGGGTGCTAACTCTCTTCCTCTTTTACAAATTAAAGGGACCCAGGCGTCCGGCTTCTACTCTACCCATCTTTTTTATAGAGACCCAGGCGTCCGACTCTGTACTCCCCCTCCCGTTAAAGGGACCCAGGAGACCGACCTCTACTCTCCCTCCTTCTTTCAAAAGCAAAAGGGACCCAGGCGTCCAGCAGATTCTACTCTCCGCTTTTCCCCCACCCAGTTTCTAAAAGGGACCCAGGCGTCCGGCCTCAGCTCTCAGCCTCTTTAAAACAAGAGCGACCCAGGCGTCCTGCTCTTCTTCCTCCCCCCCCCGCCCACCGCCAAGAACCTAGGCGTCTGGGCCCCTTCCCCCGCCACTCACCGAGGAGCCCCCTCTAGAAAGCGGCACTGGGAAGTGCAAGCCGGCAGCAGCAGCAGAACCGAGCAGGGCCTTCCCTTCGCGCAGGGAGAGAGAAAGAGAAAGGGAGGGGAGAAGGGGCGGAGCTAGAGGAGGGAGGAATCTACCACTGAGAGACGCGGGGGAGCAGCCAACGGCATCCCCTCCACCGTCCCCGTTCATGGCAAGGCGGGCGCTCCCAACGCGCCTCTCAATCTTCCTCTCCCCCTCTATATGCGCGCGTAATGGTACATCCCGTCCTGCTCGGAGTCGAAGGGAGGCAGACTTTAAAGGGACGGCGCATGCGCAGGTGGGGAGGAGTGGATTCTCAGAAGGCCAATTAGTCGGACCTTTTGCAAGGCGAACCAGACTGCAAGTTTTGTTTTAGGTTAAAGCATTTATGACGTCTTCTTTTTCGAACAGAAGCAGCAGGAAAATATGCATTTAAAAAAAATCAGCAAGGGTGCCAAACTGACCAGCCTGACTGGTCCAAAAGTCCCTTCTGAAGAATTAGTAATAATAATAATAATAATAATAATAATAATAATAATAATAATATCATCACTGACTCATTGGAGGTGGAGTTTACTTTCAGGAGAATGCAAAACCCATTTCTTTGTCTCTAATGGAGGTCAGCCTCACCGTGAAACAGGCGAAGCCCCCAGGGAGAGGGCTGCTGACATTTCCTCACATTTCCAGAGCTTCAGTCAGCAGGAGAATTTATTAAGGTAATGGGGTTGCTTTTATATAAGTAATTATATAAAATTCTATGCTAATAATATGTAACATTACTCATTGTAATCTTGATTATTTTAATTATATGGTGGCACCATTGTGTGCAGCGTTTTACAGCCTGACGCGCTCTTGAACCAAGCTCATCCAGGGCCAGCTGAAGCAGCCCTGCACGCTCTGACAGAGGTTGTCTTTACTGTGACTCTCCCAGGGAGCAAGTCCTCACACTCAAGGTGGCTTCTAGCGTACCTCTGAAGTATCTTTCCCCCTTTTCCAAGAATATAAGCAGAGCCCTACTGGATCAAGCCAATGGCCCATCTAGTCCAGCATCCTCTTCTCACAGATGCTCTAAAGTGCCAACTAATAGTTCAGTAGGTAGAACCCCACAAGCAGGACCTCAGCACAAGAGCCCTCTCCCTTCCCACAGCTTCCAGCAACTGGAATCCAGAAGCATTTCTGCCTCCTCTGTGGAGGCGATCTGTAGCCATCATGGCTTGTAGAAGAAGAAGAAGAGTTTGGATTTGATATCCCGCTTTATCACTACCCGAAGGAGCCTCAAAGCGGCTAACATTCTCCTTTCCCTTCCTCCCCCACAACAAACGCTCTGTGAGGTGAGTAGGGCTGAGAGACTTCAGAGAAGTTTGACTAGCCCAAGGTCACCCAGCAGCTGCATGTGGAGGAGCGGGGAAGCGAACCCGGTTCACCAGATTACGAGTCTACTGCTCTTAACCACTACACCACACTAGCTCTCTCTTGTACCCGTGGATAGCCTTCCCCTCCACAAATTTGTTCAATCTTCCTTTGAAGCAATCCAGATTGGTTGCACCATATTTTGTTGTTTGATACTGATTAATCAATCAATCAATCAATCAAGCTCTCCCCTCCCTCCTCTTTTTTCAGGTATCCTGTTGGAGCTTATCAGGATAAGCGTAGAAGAGACAGCAAAGCTAGTCTGCCCAGAATTAGATGTTTTGCCTCAATACAAATCAAACCCAGTGTGTCACATTTTGAACCTGGCATAAATACATCTAAATGTACGAGGGTGGCTATGGCAAATGTGTCTGCGGATGTCATCATTCACCAGGGCCAACCTTACCCTTGTTCTTACAGTAGCCAGCCAAATGATTGTGGGAAATCACCAAGCAGGACTTTTGCAAGAGCACTCTCCTCTTCCTGTGGTTTTCAGTAACAGAAGCATTTGATGCCTCCCACAATGGAGCCAAAACATAGCCATTATTGTGTCTAGGAGCTAATTGATAGCCTTACCCTCCAAGGCCATTGGCCATGCTGGTTAGCGATGATGGGAGTTGGAGTCCAGTAATATCTGGCTGGCCTCAGGTTCCCCACCTCTGGTCTACATTGATGGGCAGCAGCTCTCAGGGTTTCAGGCAGGAATCTTTACCAGCCCTACCTGGAGATGCCATTAGGAATTGAACATGGGATCTTCCGTTTGCGAGGCAGATACTTAACCAATCAGTTGGCGTCCTTCTGTTCAAATCTAAACCACACTCAGCAGCTATTCCCACGGAAAAGCATTACTTCTAAGCAAAGGATTCTGCTGCTTCCGTTTTCAGCCCACTTCCATAAAATAAAATAAAAAGACCCCTGGAAATCCATGGGACTTGCTGTCAAATAATCACATGTGGGAGTGAGAAGGGGATACATTTTTGTCGCTAGAGGCTCAACTGTCTTCTGTGGCCAGAAGAGCCTTTCGCCAGCTTTGTGTTGTTCACCAGCTGCAGCCATTCCTGGGCAGGGATAGCCTGACCACTGTAGTCCATGCGTGGATAACCTCGAGACTGGATTACTGTAATGCACTCTGTGTGGGGCTGCCCTTGGGCCTGGTTCAAAAGCTCCTGCTGGTGCAGAATGTGGCGGCCAGCCAGCTAAGAGCATGCAACGCCTTTGTTAAAACAGCTGCATTGGCTGCTCATTTACCACTGATCCAAGTTCAAGGCCATTGTATTGCAGTCCACTCTTGGCTTACACTGGGGTTATGTTTCGGGGATAGAGCCTGAAGCTAGAATCAGAAACAGTGGTACCTCGGGTTACATACGCTTCAGGTTACATACGCTTCAGGTTACAGACCCAGAAATAGTACCTTGGGTACCTCGGGTTAAGAACTTTGCTTCAGGATGAGAATAGAAATCGTGCTCCAGTGGCACGGCGGCAGCAGGAGGCCCCATTAGCTAAAGTGGTGCTTCAGGTTAAGAACAGTTTCAGGTTAAGAACGGACCTCCAGAACAAATTAAGTTCTTAACCAGAGGTACCACTGTGTAGTCAAAACAACCCATAAAAACCATAAGAAGCACAGCACTTAACTTACCACACTCCCCCAGGTGAGTGCGATAGTGGGTGAGATTACTGACAGCCCCCCCTCCCTCTCCCAAGCATGTAAAGCTGTAATTGCACAAGTTAAATGCATGTAAATTGTGAGTCGGCTGTAATTTACAGAGCCCTGAACTACTTGGGTCCAGGGAACAAGGGACTGCATGAACCCTTATATCACAGCTCAATCGCTGAGATCATCTGTAAGAGGACCACTGGTCATTCCCTGGGTTGGCGAGACTCATTTGACAACAACAAGGAGCTGAGCCGTTAGCGTCATCAGCCCAGTCTTGCGGAATGCTCTGCCACTAGAGATTTAACAAGCGGCTTCTGTGCCAACTTTTAAACACCTCCTGAAACCTTTTCTAACCTGTCAGGCTTATGACAGGCAATTGTCGACACATCTTTCCACAAAAGCCAGCTGATTTCTGATTTCAGCTTTCCAATACGGTTTTTCTGGTGTGGTTCCATGCCCAGTTGTTGTATACAGTGGTACCTCAGGTTAAGTACTTAATTCGTTCCGGAGGTCCGTTCTTCACCTGAAACTGTTCTTAACCTGAAGCACCACTTTAGCTAATGGGGCCTCCTGCTGCTGCCACGCCGCCGGAACCCGCCGGAACCCTGTACTGCTCTGATTTTGGTGAGGGTTGAGAACCACTAACCTGTTCTGAAGTTGGAAATGAAAGTTCTTTCAAGAAATCCCAGTGATAGTTCTTTCTTGCGCAACCCAGCTGACATAAACGTTGTAAAGTCCACACGGAAAAAGTGCCTCTGGATGAATGATGAACTTGATGTCTCCGAGCTGGCTTTGCCCCTTGCTCTGGATCTCAATACACAGCTTTGCCTTGGAGTTTCTTATTTATCCTAAGCCTCTTCCTGCTAGATTCAGCCTGCGCCAGAGGTCAGTTGCGGAAATGGGTGGAGGGATGGAGGAGGAGGGTGGAGACTGATTGGCTGGCACAGCTGGCTTCGTCCCAATGGGGAAGGCTCTCCAAAATTGGAAAGGTGGCAAACTTTTCAGTGAACCATACCGCAGGCAACAGTGTGCAACCCTTTGCTGGTGGAATGTGGTAATTCATGCCTATTTGCTTCCGGGCCAGATTGCCCTGTTGCCACAGAGTCATGTTGCAAGAGACATCACTTTGTAATATAGAATAACAATGGCCAGAGTTTTGTTTGTAAGTTTAGGCTGATTATGGAAGCTGGAGACACATAGGAATGTCTTGCTCTGAGCTAGACCCAAAGCTGACTGTGGGGCTTCCCCAGAAACCTTAAAGGGAGGCCAGATCTTTCAGGGTGTTAATGCTGTGAGCCCATCCATCCTATGCTCAGGTGGTATAGATGTGTAAATAAAACCATATATCCAAAAGACACCACAGTCTCCATTGACCTTCATTCCAAGGAAGCCAAGCTCAAGGACCCCAGAGTCTCTCACCAGGTGCAGGCACTTGAGAAAAGTGCTCCAGATATCAGGGAGATGTGTGTGAGTGATGTTACAGGCCCTAGCCAGTAGGTCCCTATCACAGCCAACTTTTCCTAGTGTTCAGTGTGGAGACTTGTTGGGTCAGTTTTTTCAGAGTCCACCCTGGGAGAGAAAAAAGGTGCATTTTCTCCAAACCAGCTCCACTATGCTAAAAAAGAAAAAGTGACATTTGTCTTCATTGAGATCACATGGCTTTCAAACTTCCGATCTTTATGGGGCACTAGCGGGGAGAGATGTAGTGCTGCCTAGGGCTGTGTAGAAACCAAAAAAGATTGTGATTTTAAAATGGATAGTGCAATTTGTGAGTTTGGACCTGTCACATCAAAACTGGACAAAGTCACTCCAAAGTTATATTTCAGCCTGCCAGCTTGATTCATCATCATTATCATCATCATCATCATCATCATCATCATCATAATTTTATTATTTATACCCCGCTCATCTGGCTGGGTTTCCTCAGTCATTCAAAATGGCTCCTGGTATCCAAACATCAATGAACATGGCTAGACCACTTCAGGAACCCTCGTGCTGAGTTTGATGATAATATATTGTGAGGCAGCCAAACCTATGCCAAAAAAGTCACAGCCAAGCCGCACTGGAGTCTGCCATTTTGATTCAAAATACTGCCTGGCATCCAAAAAATTGTGCCAAAGTGACATTTTGGTTTGCTAACTTGATTCAAAATGGCGGCTGGTGGCCAAACATCAACAACAACTGCTGCCCCCACCTTGGGAACTCCATACCCTCCAACATTCTTCAGATGAAAATAGGGGCAATGCTCAGTCCCCCCACTCCAACTGATCCCCTCATCCTCCCCTCTAGCATTTCCTATCCAAAGAAGTGTGAATGTCACCACCATTCCACCAACAGAACGCAGCATGCATGCCCTCCACCGTCCTGTAAAAAAACCTTAAACCCTATTTTATTTTATTCTTTGGTAGACTTGCAAAACACACACACACCAATAAATAAATTTTAGAAAGGGGCAAGATTAGATGTGGATGCATAAATAGATTTTTTTAATAAGAAAAAGTCAAGACATTTTGCGCTCCAGTCCGCTCCCCCTTTCTTCCCACCCAGGGTGACCCTGCCCTCTGCCCACCTGTCACACAGGGTTGGGTCTTAGCGGCCGCAGCCTCCTATCCTCCTCCTCCTCCTCACTCGCTCTCCAGGAGCAGCTATAAGCTGCCCAAGGGAGGAAGTCAGTAGCAGCGCCCATGGGGGGGCCACAGGATGCTCCCTCGCTGCTGACACCACTGCTCAAGACAAATGCCAGCTCATCCTCCTCTCCAAGCTTGGCAGTGGCAGCACTGGCGGGGAAAACAGGGAGGTTCTGGGATCAAATCAGAAGGCAGGATGGCTTTAGTAATTCCGGAACTGTCCCTGGAAAGGTATGGAGGGTATGGAACCCTTGTGCCGAGTTTGATGACAATATTTTGAGATGGACAGATAGATAGACAAACCCCTTTCCAAAATTTGTTGCTCTTAATTACGCCACCCAACCCAACTATGTGATGCAAAAATATTCTGGTGCTTATTTTGGAATGACTATTCCCAAATTTTGTGCTGGAGGACATCAGGGTCACAAGAGGTGCCCTTTCCAAGCATGTCAGAAAGCAAGCTGACTCACATTCTGTAAATAAACCTGCCAGCTTGCTTGCATAGTAAAAGCATAGCGTGCTTTGCTTGTTTGTTTTCATTTATTTGGCTTGCACATAGAGTCGTCGTCCCCCCTCTCTCTCTCACACACACACACACACACACACGACACAAAATCAACCCACACAGTATTCCGGCCTGATTAATCCACTGCTGCAGAAGGTTAAAGGTAAAGGGACCCCTGACCATTAGGTCCAGTCGCGGACGACTCTAGGGTTGCGGCGCTCATCTCGCTTTACTGGCCGATGGAGCCGGTGTACAGCTTCCGGGTCAGGTGGCCAGCATGATTGAGCCGCCTGAACACCATTTACCTACCCGCCGGAGCGGTACCTATTTATCTACTTGCACTTTGACGTGCTTTCGAACTGCTAGGTTGGCAGGAGCTGAAACAGAGCAATGGGAGCTCACCCTGTCGCGGGGATTTGCACCGCGACCTTCTGATCGGCAAGCCCTAGGCTCAGTGGTTTAACCTAACCACTATTAAATGTGATGAACTATTTGTAGCAACATAAAACTCAGAGGGTCCGAAAGTCTGTTGCATCCATCCAAGCATAGGATTTTGTGCCAAGGCTAGACATAACCTACTCCAGCTTACCAGATGTGGCAGCTGACACCACATAAAAGCCCCAGCGAGCCTATCTCGCTTTGAGGAACTTCCCGTCTCCTTCCCCTGCATTGCCTGAAGTATCAAGGATGCACCTATTACTCGCTTTGGCCACTTTCCCACAAGCTTTGATCTGTATATGTAGGCAACAGCCTCTTGTTTGTTCATTCGTTGTCTCTCTCTCTTTCTCTCTCAACGTTTAACAAAATGTACATATGTATTACCAGACCTATATTTTAGACATCCTAAGATGCTCATCAAAAATACAGGAAAAAAACAAGTAACATTTTTTAAAAAAATATAATATGAAATAAAACCAGTAATTATAAAACACTAAAATAATGGATTGAGGCTGCAGGCCAAAATTACATTCCTGCATAGGCATTCTGGAACAAAATATCTGGAACAAATTAGGTGCCTGCCTAACATCAATGAGCAAGGAGTTCCAAAGTGTAGCTGCCACTGCCCTGAATCACTGATTTATTGCAAGTGCAAAATGACTATTATTTGGCACTTGTAAAAGACACAGTCAAAGGGCTCTCTAAACCCTTAGCTCCAAATGAGGAGAACAGCAAGAGGCTTTGGAGAATCCACCCTTGGCCACTGACCCCAGGCAAAAAAGGTAAAGGTAAAGGGACCCCTGACCATTCGGTCCAGTCATGGCCAACTCTGGGGTTGCGGCGCTCATCTCACTTTATTGGCCGAGGGAGCCGGCATACAGCTTCCGGGTCATGTGGCCAGCATGACTAAGCCGCTTCTGGCAAACCAGAGCAGCACACGGAAACGCCGTTTACCTTCCCACTGGAGCGGTACCTATTTATCTACCTGCACTTTGAAGTGCTTTCGAACTGCTAGGTTGGCAGGAGCAGGGACCGAGCAACGGGAGCTCACCCCGTTGCGGGGATTCGAACCGCCAACCTTCTCATCGGCAAGTCCTAGGCTCTGTGGTTTAACCCACAGCACCACCCGCGTCCCTGACCCCAGGCAAAGGGCTCCTTAAATCCCTAGTTTTAAGTGAGGACATCAAGAGGCTTTGGCAGAACCACCCTCCAGTACTGACTCTGAGACTTGGGCAAAGGGCTCCTTAAACCCTGAGCTCCAAGGGAGGAGGACGGCAAGACTTTGACTGCTTACACCCATGAAGAAGTGAGATGTTTGTGAGAGAGTTGCGCAAAAGATAGTGGTCCTTTCCAACTCTACAATTCTATGATTCTATGTTTCTAGTAGGCTCCTTCCAAAGTGGGAGGTCAAAGAAACCTTAGCATTTCAGGGGCAAGTAAGAGGGGTCAGTTGTGCCTTTCACTCTTGCTCTATTCAAAATACAGTCCTCCTTTAACGAATTAAGTTGTTGATGCTTGTGTACTTGCAAGTGCATCCTTGAAAAGTGCACCACCCTTCCAAAGAAGGTTCCTCAATGAAATATAGGCTATGCTGCAATCGTAAGAAGGCAGAGGAAACACGGCACTGTAATTAGCCAATGGGAGCTGTGCCCAGATTTCGAAGTCCCCATGGGACTCGTGACATACATGGCTAATTGGGAGTTTAAACCATATGATTAAAATATTTTTAAAACACTTGGCAGATTGATACAAATGGCGGAAAAAGGAAGAAAACTCAGGGCGCAAGACTCTAGGGCTTTCCTGAGTTGAGAGGCTTTTAGCGCAAACTATGCTGTGTTGCTGCCTGCTGCTGTTATTATTTTAGCAATATGCCACCTATCTGACTGGGTTTCCTCAGCCACTCTGGGTGGCTTCCAATAAAATTAAAAACACAATAAAACATCAGCCATTAAAAACTTCCCTGAACATAAACGGCTTGTTCGAGCTAGACAGCAGGTAATTGATTTTATCAATGTCACTGAAGGGGGTTTCTTTAAATATTTAGCCCTCAGAATTTCATATAGCTTACAGTACAACATACAATGAATGGGGTCCTAAATTGGCTGACATCCACAACTGCACAGGCATGTTCTTTGGGAATGTTTTTATATCGCCCTTCCAGGAAGTTGCTTTTCATTGTCTGGATATTTCACTGGCATAGATCTTTCTCAGTTCCAAACTTGTTCTTTTTGACAGGATAGGTTGTGGAGAATCTAGATACCATCACTGTTTCCGTATCCCATTTGGCCAATAGATCCTGAAAATAAACCTTCGGCTAGAATGCACATTAGATGACAGGAAGGTCAGTGGATCAAAACATAATTTTTGAAGCAATTTATTACAACTTTCTATCCAAGAAGCCTTAGAGAGCGATTGCAGTTGCTCTGCCACACATAGCTTGACACATCTGGGATCTTTCCTTTTTTCTCTCATCCTGGCAGACCAACATTTCCCTACTTCCCACCCAGGGTGCCCCCCATCAAATTACAGTTTCCAGGAGTCGGGGTGGGAAGCCATGAACATTTCAAGTGGTATGATACCGTCTTAAATGTATAGCACAGGTGGCCCCTCAGTTTGGGTGTTTCCTTGCCAGTGTGTACACTGACCCGTTATTGTGTTATTATTTACTCAACCTCGGGATGCACCTGTTCCCAGGTGAATAATGGAGCTGAAAGCACAGGTGCATTTGCAACAATACGCTGAGCTGCCAGTGGGGCTGCCAGTTGCTGATTGGTATCTCATTCAAAGCAGGGACCTTCTGAACCATTATCCTGGGGAGTTTTTCCAGCTGAGGGGGGCTGTTGTTCTCAACGGACCAAGCAGCAATTTTACCACTTCATCTTGCAGGACATTCAATAGATCTTTGGTGACTGCCACACCTCCCAACCTGATCTGGAAGGTAAGACATTTGCTCCAGGGGTCTCTGCTTAACAAGGACACTTCTGATTTCCTGGAACCTACCTGTGATAAATCACTGGGATTTGTCCCTAGCAGGGAGTGTGTTTTTTAAATGTTTGGAGGGGCTGATTTCTGCAGTGTTCCAGTTTCAGACTTGCCTCCCCACCCCCCAAGGTTTTTAAGCAGAGGTTGGATGGCCATCTGTCAGGGATGCTTTAATTGAGATTTCTGCCTTGCAGGTTGTTCGACTAGATGTCTCTTGGAGTCCTTTCCAACTCTATGATTCTGTGACCTTTTTTTAGCCATCTACTATTTATTGTTGCTTGTATTTTTATTTTTATTTTTTTGGTAACATTGTGATTTGTAAAAATAATTTTTATTATAATTTGGAGAAAGGAATACAAATATCATTATCAAATATCTTTTCGATCAAAACTAAAGTGTTAATCTAAATAAAAACACAAACCAAAAAGAGAAGAAAGAAAAGAAAGAGAAATAGAGAGACAGAGAGCAAGAGCAGGGATAAAGGGGAAAAGGGAAGAGAAAGAGAGTGAGGAAATACTGTAATTTAAAAGAGAAAGAGAAGAGAAAGGGAAAGGGGGGAAGTTAAAGTTGTTTTTCATGTTGCTGTATTATTTTTTTTACAAACGTGGGCTCTGTAGATAGATTAAATATTGAATTAAATGAAATGTTTCATTTAGATTGTAAATTAAATTAAATATTTGCTAAATTAATTAAATGAATATGGGCATCATGAGACCTGGCAACCTTGGCCGACAAACAGGAAATGGCTTTGAGTATCAGGAAATGCGTAAGTAAGATTAGCAAACAGGCTCTGCATCGGGTGCTAATTGTTAAGAATTAATCGATAACTCTGCACGTGTAGCTATAAAGCTGCAGGCACAATAAGCCCCAGAGCAAAACGCAAAGCACACAATCCAGCCCAGGGCTGTAATCATATTTTGCCTGTCCTAATTAAAGCTATGTTCACACTCCCAGATCCTTCAAGTGTCCCTATTTTCCAGGGACATCCCTGATTTAGAGAAGCCGTTTGATCTGATCCCGGAATGTCCCACTTTTCCTTCTTGTTGTTTAGTCATGTCCGACTCTTCGTGACCCCATGGACCAGAGCACGCCAGGCACTCCTGTCTTCCACAGCCTCCCGCAGTTTGGTCAAACTCATGTTCGTAGCTTCAAGAACACTGTCCAACCATCTCGTCCTCTGTCATCCCCTTCTCCTTGTGCCCTCCATCTTTCCCAACATCAGGGTCTTTTCCAGGGAGTCTTCTCATGAGGTGGCCAAAGTATTGGAGCCTCAGCTTCAGGATCTGTCCTTCCAGTGAGCACTCAGGGCTGATTTCCTTAAGAATGGAGAGGTTTGATCTTCTTGCAGTCCATGGGACTCTCAAGAGTCTCCTCCAGCACCATAATTCAAAAGCATCAATTCTTCGGCGATCAGCCTTCTTTATGGTCCAGCTCTCACTTCCATACATCACTACTGGGAAAACCATAGCTTTTACTATACGGACCTTTGTTGGCAAGGTGATGTCTCTACTTTTTAAGATGCTGTCTAGGTTTGTCATTGCTTTTCTCCCAAGAAGCAGGCGTCTTTTAATTTCGTGGCTGCTGTCACCATCAGTTAGGATGTCCCTATTTTCATTAGAGAAACGTTGGTGGGTATGGTAGGACGTGCCTATTTTCAAGCTACAGGATTGCCTTCAGATGGCTCGGAGGAGCCGGATAACTCCATACCATCCAACATTTCTCCAATGAAAAAAGGAAAATAGGGACACTTGGAGGGTCTGCAAGAGACTCTCCTCTTCTGTGGCTTCTGGCAACTGGGATTCAAAAGCACTGCTGCCTCTGACCGCGAAGGCAGAGCACAACCACCAAGGCTCATCTCCATCGATAGCCTTCTCCATGAATTTGGTCCAATCCTATTCATTCATTCATAAAAATATTCAGTGCTTTTTTTCCTTTAAAAAATGTTTAGGTGCACTCTCATTTTTACTCAAGAAAACCACCGTTTTATAGTACAAATCGGGGAAAATAAATACAGTAAATGGATAAAAGTACAAAGATTCGCAAAATGTTTAGGGGTATACGTACCCCTGCGTACCCCCAGAAAAAATGCCTATCACAGCAGTTTACAACAATATAAAAGAATAACATCACAAAATGTTAAAAACTAGTGAAAAGCAAGAAGAAATCAGAAGCAAACACCCATAGACCATTGTGTGAAGTGTACTCTTAATAGCCTGCATTTTTAAAGCCATCCTGCGGGAGGGAGTTCCAGAGTTTAACTACTTGCTGGGTGAAGAAGGATTTCCTTTCTTTTGCTGCTGTTTGATGCCTGGTTTCTCAAAACCAGCACACTGACGGGAGTCCTGAAGCCTTTGCACAGGGCAAAGACATCGAACCCCGCCCCCAACCCTATGTTTACATAGACAGAAGCCAATCTGGCACTAATGAAGCTGTGCAGATGCAACTTCGCCGTGCTCTAAAGAGACAGCGTGAACACACCCTAAACCAGGCATAGGCAAACTCGGCCCTCCAGATGTTTTGCTACTACAACTCCCATCATCCCTAGCTAACAGGACCAGTGGTCAGGGATGATGGGAATTGTAGTCCCAAACATCTGGAGGGCCAAATTTGCCTATGCCTGCCCTAAATGTACACTTTGCTTCTTTCATTCCTGTTCCAAGGCAACAACTGCTCCCCAAACCTCCCAGTCCTTCCTTCCTTTTGTCTGGTTTAACTATATTGTTATGCAGAACCTTAATCTTCCAGCATTGAGAGACCCCAGGGATTCCAAGTGGTTTCCCAGAGTTCATTTTCCTTGGAATGAAGGTCAATGGAGACCTTGCCAGCAGATATTGCCCCAAGTTCCTAATATAATGCAATTATTTTTTATACTATTTTCACTAATAGATGCATCTTGGTGAGGTTGTTTCCCTCATGGATGCTTCTGGTACATTTCCCTTCTCTTTCCGGGAACTCTAGCTGGGAAGTGTGGATTTTTAAGGGTTCCTGTGTTCTGGTTCATGTACAAATGATTCATTCATTCATTCCATTTATAGCACACCTATTTTCTCCAAGGAGCTCAAGGTGGTATATAGGGTTCTCCCCCTCAGCATTCCTGCATTGCAGGGGGTTGAATTAGATGACCCTGGGATCCCTTCCAGCTCTACAATTCTATGATTCTATAATTTAATCCCCACAACAACCTTGTGAGGAAGATTTGGCTGAGAGGCAGTGACTGGCCCCTAGGTTCATGGCCAAGTGGGGATTTGAACCCTGGGCTTTCTCAGGTCCCATTCTGACCCCTCTGGTTACCCTCCAAGGGCTGTTTAGCTCAAACTACTTTGAGATTGCAAACGTTTAATGATTTGAGTAATACTCCAAGCGCCTCTAATACTTCCCTGTGCATCCAAAGCCACCCAACAAAATTTGCCACCAAGACTTAATGTTTTAAGACTGGGTACATATCTATTTACTGCATTTCAGGTGGGTTTACCTCTGTCAGCAACGTGACTACTCTGCAAGACGTCAGAATGGTGCAGTTCCATTACCAAAAGGTAACTTCAGTGTGTGGGTATGTCCCCTCACCATTTTAGACTCACAGCAACCCTGTGAAGGAGGTTAGGCTGAGAGATGGTGACAGGCCCAGGGTCACCTGGTGAGCTTAATGGCCAAGTTGAGATTTGAACCTTGATCTCCCAGGCCCCATTCTGACACTCTAACCACACACTATGACTTTAGTCTTGTTTTAAATGCATTTGGTTTTGGGTATGTGCATGTGTGTTTTAAACTGTTTTTAATTATATCATATGTAAATTGCCTTGAGACAGTGGTTTAGAAGGTGATCCATGAAATCATCATCATCATCATCGGGATCAGTTGAAGTCCCGTTCTCCACACTACATTTTAAGAAGGGCCTTGATAAACTAGAATGTGCCTTCTCTCCTTTGTTTGGGTTTCTGTCCCCTATTGGAGGCAGTGTGCCGGAACAGATGGACCCTTGATCTGATCCAGCGCAGGCAGTTATTACGTGCCAGAGTCAAATGGCTATTTCTGGATCCTCTTTCCGCAGCGCAAGAGGAAGGTGCAACGCTGCTGCATTTGCTTCGTGGAAGTCCTCAGCGGATTCCTCCTCTTGTTGCTGGTAGCGACTGTCTTCACTCTCCTGCGCTGTTTTCTAGGTAAGGCCCTTTCCTTTATCTGTGCCTGCTTTGAATTAGAGCGTAACATTGATTTACTTGTATGCTGCCTTTCCATAACTGGGAGGGGAGGGAGCCTAAACTGGTTCGGTTAATAATGTGGACATGTCCCCACCAACAGAGTTCTCCGATCTTACATTAGCAAACAGTGGGAGTAAGGCAGAGCTATTGAGGAATTCAACCACACCTACAAAAGGCCTTGCGTTTCTCAGAACTGTTCCTCACGCCTCAACCATGAATGAGATCATTTCTCAGCAGCCCACAGTACCCCTGAAGTCAGTGTCACCTCAGGCCCCATCTCAGAGCAAGATGGGTTCTCCTCCATCAACCACTGAGAAGTCCAATCCAGAGACTTCATTGCCGCCATTAATTTCAGTGACGCAAAGTAGTTCGCCACAGCAGCCCACCTTAAGCACAAAACTGAGGCCCACTCAGCTGGACCTGCTCATACAATGGATGCCTTCACAGCAGCTTACCTTGGCTGCAGAGCCATTGCCTCCACCGACCACGACTACAAAACTGGAATCTCCTCACCAGCTAACTTCAGATGTGAAGCCAGTGATGCCTCAACATAACCCCTCAGCAATGGAGGAGTCTTCTGGACAACCAGTAGCCCCAGCCACCAAGTGGCCTTCTCCTACCCAGCTAAGTTCAGCCACAAAACAGAAGTCTGTAACTCGTCCAGTTGCAACTGTCCAGCCGGTGCCACAGCACCTAACCAAAACTGCAACCTCAGCTTCTCTTCTGTGGTTAGCTGCTACCACAAAGCTGAGATCTCCTCAAATCTCCTCAGCCATGCCATCTTCTCCACCACAGCTAACCCAATTCACCAGTCTGCCACCTCTACAGCAGCTGACCACAGCCATGAAAGGAACAACTTCCACCACGAAATCCATTTTTTTACTTCAGTTGATGACAAGCTACAGAGTCTCGACTTTGGAAAGTTCCAGCAGTGAGGCCACAAAGCTGGACTACATGGTAAGCATAATGTTTCACCATTCGTTGCGTGTACTAAATGTGAAATGATATATGCAACCATGCCAAATGCAGCAACGTTTTAGCCTGCTGTTCAAACATTGGGTGTCAGTTTTTTTTTTCCAAATCTGAAATAGCATTTGTGAACGTTTAACTGTAAACATAACAAAAAACTTGATTTTCAGAGGTATTGACAACTGTCAATAGTCAGTGACAAGATCTCAGATTGTCAATTTCAGCATATTTTGATGTCAGACTAGTCAAGAAATATCCACATATTCAGATACGTCCAGTATCATTGGATGCCAAAGACCAGCATCAAATGTTTCAGGATTATTTGGGAAATGCACAAAGATTCAGGGGCTTTCAATATAGTATTGTGGTTGTTCAGGAAATATCCAAATATTCGGAGGATGTCTGGTGAATATCCTACACTGAAATTGACAGGGGAGAAGGGCAAGGAACATTGGGAGCAAATTCTTTCAGTCCCAGAGTATGGCCACTATCCTAATGAGTCTCTGATAAGTTTCTCCCCTCAACTCATGGTGTGTCAGTGTGTCATAAAAGCTTCTGCTTCCTCCCTCATTGTATGTGTGGCCTGACTGGCTGGCTTGAATCAGCCTGACCCGTTTGTGCTGGCAAATGTGCCCCCTGTTTACACTTACAATGACAGCATGCAGAGCAGCCTCACAAGTCTGCTTGCTCATCCACCTGGTTCAGGATTTCCCACTCTGAGACAGACACCGGTCCCACAGGGCCACAGGAAGAAAACAGCCTTTCTTCATCACCTGCTTTGAAACTGAGATATATTAACCAGGGGTCTCCAACCATTTTTGGAGTAGTGGGCACATTTCAAATGTTGAGAGTGTGCTGGGGACGCACGTCACAAAATGGCTGCCAGGGAGGGGGCATGGCATAACACAAAATGGCTGCCATGGGGAGCATGGTGTTAGAGAGATAACCACTCCAATGACCTCATGCTGACCATAGGAAATAGCTATGTCCTGCTCGTCTTGGTTATGGAGAACACACACACACACACACACACACACACACACTGTTGTGATGCTGCTGCTTTCTAATAACAACAGAGAGCATTTCTCAGTACCAGGAAAAATATACGAGGTAGCCACACCACTCTTGTTTGGGAGGAATAACTTAAAAGGTACCTGTACATTTTGCCCCATAACTATCTTTCTAGGAGGGCTACTGACTTACTGTTTACAGAAAGCTTAGAGTCTGGGGTACCTGCCCAGGGGCACCACTAAATGCCTTCACAGGCGCCATAACACCCATAGACACCCCCTGCTTTTAGCTGATACCAGGGATTGAATGAGCGACTGGCTGCCTGGTAAACTGAACTCTGGCCTCTCCCTGACATGGCTTGATCTGTAGATTGAGTTGATATGCAGATGGATTACGCCTCCAGTTCAATACCATTATCAGCTTCTGCTGATTTCCCAACCTACTCTGCCTATCCAGGATTTCCTGTATTCATTCCAAGAACATCCGCATGCCACATTAGTTGGATAACTAAGCCTTTAATTTGGGCTAATAGATCTCATCGGAATTTGAACCCATAACTCAGACCAACAGAGATGCTTCAAAGGTTCTAAATCAAGGCATGAGAACCTCTTCCAAGTGGGCCAGTTGGCAAAGCAAGCAGGGTGGGCACCTGCTGCTCCTGTGGGACAAAAGGATGTATCTAGCATGTGCACAAGCTAGCAGGGCTGATCATAAAAGCGTAAGAAGACCTTTCTGGATTGGACCAATGGCCCGTCCAAGTCAGTTTCCTGTACTCCTTTTAGAATACATCCAAAGGCAGCCCTGTATTGGGAAGCTTTTAATGTCTGATGTTTGATTATGTTTTTATATGTGCTGGAAGCCACCCAGAGTGGCTGGGGCAACACAGCCAGATGGATGGGGTATAAATAATAAAATTATTATGATTATTATCATCATCATCATTATTAGTTGCCTGGTGATTCGGGGCAGCCCTGAACAAATGCCGGTTTGACAACAGCTGCGTTCACCGCCAGTGGTGCTAAAAACTAGCTATCTCCCTAGCAGGTTTGGGGATCACCCCTGATTGGGGTGCAGGTCAAATAAATGTGCCCCTACCTCCCTTGTTCTCTTAGATTGAGGCAGATGGCTGGGGCAGCTTAGAAGAGCCTTCGTGCAAATGCACGTGTGTGCAACAGTAGAGGCCTGGCCGGAAAGCTGAAAGCCTCTGCCACTACATGGGAGACGGATTGAAGAAGAGGAAATGCGAATTGGCCCTGCCCTGTAGCTTGACCAATTGTGGCTAGGAGCTAGGTGGAGTCATAGTTCTTTAAAAAAGTACAATGGTACCTCGGGTTACATACGCTTCAGGTTGCAGACTCCGCTAACCGAGAAATAGTACCTCGGGTTAAGAACTTTGCTTCAGGATGAGAACAGAAATCGTGCTCCGGCAGTGCGGCAGCAGCGGGAGGCCCCATTAGCTAAAGTGGTGCTTCAGGTTAAGAACAGACCTCTGGAACGAATTAAGTACGTAACCAGAGGTACCACAGTATAGACTTGCACACACCGGCCAGCTTCCATTTTGACTTGAAATGTTCATTTTGGGCTTCTCAGAAATACACAAAGGCAAGAAGCAGGTGAAGGGGGGAAGCACTGGCCCGCAGTGGCACCCACCTGAGAGGCACCGGAACTATGCTTCTGTGTGCTCTAGCTGAAAAAAGCACTGAGGGTATGCAGTATTCCAAACATGGTTGCACCAAAGTTTAGTATAACAGCACTGTGCGATCAGCAGTTTTATTTTCCATTCCTTTACTAATGATCCCTAGCAGGGAATTTGCCTTTTCAAAATCTGACCCGCACAGGGTCAATATCTTCATTGAGCCATCACCATGACCCCAAGGTCTTCTTCCTTGTCTGTCACCCCTTGACCAGCTGTGTGAAATCATGTTACATCACTTTACTGCCTCCAGAAGATGTCCCTGCCATAGCTGTCAACTTTCAGATTTGAAAATAAGGAATCAGCAGCCTCACCTGTCCCAGGGACAGTCTACGGGATATCTAACAATCCGGGATAGCAGCGGGAAGCAGTGGGAAATGGTGCTGGAATAAGGGAATTTCCCGTAAAAAAAGGGAAGATTGACAGCTGTGGTCCCTGCCATCTCCATTTTCAACTGGGAGAGACCCCTCCTTGAACTCCTGGAGAGATGCTGCCAGTCAGAGAAGACAACACTGAGCTAGACAGGCCAGTAGTCTGACTAAGGCCGTTTCCTGTTTTGCACGCTTTACATCATTTATGCAAGTTTTGATGCCTGAAGAGCCTTGTGGCTCACAGCAGAATGGCATGTTTCACAGCCAGTGCATGGCCACCCATAAAAGCAACAGCCCAGTCATTTTTCCTCCCATCCCTGTTCCCCCTCCCAGCTATTTTGTGAAACACCTGGTGTGATGTCAATGAGTCACCAGTGTCATTGTCTCCCATTACCATTCATGGAGGAGAGGGCTATTAATGGCTGCTAGCCACAATGGCTATGCTCTGCTATAGTCAGAGGCAGAAATGCTTCAGAGTACCACTTGCTGGAAGGGACGTGGATGGCGCTGTGGGTTAAACCATAGAGCCTAGGACTTGCCGATCAGAAGGTCGGCTGTTCGAATCCCCGCGACGGGGTGAGCTCCCGTTGCTCGGTCCCAGCTCCTGCCAACCTAGCAGTTTGAAAGCACGTCAAAGTGCAAGTAGATAAATAGATACCGCTCTGGCAGGAAGGTAAACGGCGTTTCCATGCGCTGCTCTGCTTCGCCAGAAGCGGCTTAGTCATGCTGGCCACATGACCCGGAAGCTGTACTCCGGCTCCCTCGGCCAAGAAAGCGAGATGAGCGCCGCAACCACAGAGTCAGTCACGACTGGACCTAATGGTCAGGGATCCCTTTACCTTTACTACCACTTGCTAGAAACCACAGGAGGGGAGAGAGCTCTTGTGCTCAGGTCCTGCTCGTGGGTTTCCCAGCAGAGGCATCTGGTCAGCCACTGTGAGAACAGGGTACCTTGAACCAGCACTCACGTTCCCAGACCCTCCAACTATCCCTATTTTCCAGGGACAGTCCTGGATTTACAGAAGCCACCCCAGTCTCTGATTTGATCCCAGAATGTCCCGCTTTTCCTTAGGACATCCCTGTTTTCATTGCAGAAATGTTGGGGGGCATGGAGTTAAGTGATCCCTGAGCCAAGAAGATGAGTAACTATACAACCTTTAGAAGACATCTGAAGTTTTTTTTAATGTTTAATGTTTTATTATGTTTTTATATATGTTAGAAGCTGCCCAAAGTGCCTGGGGCAATTCAGTCAGATGGGTATGAAATAATAATTATAATTGTTATTATGGAAGAGGACGTCCCTATTTTCATTGGAGAAATGTTGGTGGGCATGGGTCCTCTTATGTTCAATATCAGGCACCCCCAAACTTGGCCCTCCAGCTATTTTGGGACTACAACTCCCATCATCCCTAGCTAACAGGACCAGGGATGATGGGAATTGTAGTCCCAAAACAGCTGGAGGGCCAAGTTTGGGGATGCCTGTTCTAGGTCCTTTGTGGGAGGCAGAAGATGCCTCTCAATAATTGCTGGTTAATCACATGCAATTGCACTCAGGCGCTGCTTACGGGTTTCACATTGATACATCTGGTTGGCCCCCATGAGAACAGGATGCAGAACTAAAAGGGCCATTGGCCTGATCCAGCTGGCTCTTCTTATGCCCCTAGCAGCTGTTGGAAGTGGACTGGGGAAAATGCAGTGACATCACAGCACTCGTTTGCATTGCTCCATGTGACGGGGCAGAGCAGAGGTGATGAGCACCCTCCATTTCCTCCTGAACAAACAGAAAATTAAATTAAAATGAGAGCTTTCCTTGTTGCCAAGAGAGGCTCCTGCTTTTCTCCTTGGCCAGGTCCTATGACCGCGTCTCTGATGCATTGCTAACCAAGCTCATGTTTCAGCTGACATACCAGCAGAACAACAAGGCAAGATAGTAATCTCATCCTTGAAGAGTTTTGCTTATTAGCAGCTTGTTGACCACCAAGGAATTTTATCTCTTGATGTGATGCACCTTCCTGAGGGATGGAGCGGATGCAGGGCATTGATAGAATCATTTGGAGAAATGTGACCTCCACAACCCTTGGCTGTGGGTGCGCAACATCCTTTTACAACAGGCTGCAATGTTACCAGCAGCACCGATCTGCTTCCTGCTGTTGGTTGGGCAGCAGATAGGACTGGGGAAAGCTTCCAGCCCCCAACGCTTGAGAGCCACTGCCAGGCAGTGCAAACATTACTGAGCAAAAGAGGTTGGTGGTCTGACTTGGGTTCTAGTCACCTCACCTCAAAAATGGATATTGAAGACATGAAGAATGGTTCAGAGAAGGGCAACCAAAAGGATCAGGGAGAGAGAATGACTCCCTCGTGATGAGGAAAGGTTGTAGCAATTGGGACTTTTTAGTTCAGTGGAAAAGTGAGTAAAAAGTGACATGATAGAAGTTTATAAAATTATGCAAGGCATGGAGAAAGTGGACAGAGAGAATGTTTTCTTCTTCTCGCCTAACTCTAGAACTTGTGGAAATCCAATGAAGCTGAAGGTTAGGAGATTCGGGACAGAAAAAATAAATTCCTTCATGCATCACAGAATTAGACTGCAGAACTCTCCCACAGGAGGCAGCGATGGCCACCAACTTGGTCGACTTTAAAGGTGCATTAGTCAAATTCCTGGAGGAGAGCTCTATTGATGGCTACTAGTTGTGATGGCTGTGCTCTGCCTCCTCTACAGCTGCAGGAAGCAATGCTTCTGAATACAGTGGTGCCTCGGGTTAAGTACCTTCGTTCTGGAGGTCCGTACTTAACCTGAAACTGTTCTTAACCTGAAGCA